TATGTTTGTAAAATGTTTTTCTTTTTATAGCATTTTTATGCGACAGAATGTTTTCCAACTATATAAAAAATGTTATGTGGAAAATTGGAGACGGTAGAAATTGCATTTTCCCGAATTTTCTTTTCGATGAAAGCGAAGCATTAGATGCATATCTATATGTATAGCATACATCTATGTGTTGTGGAAATTTACGAATAAGAGGGTAACTTTAGGGTATATAGTGCTGCTTCTGTAGGGCGTTAGGGAGGGATTAAAACTTATTTATTCATCTGAGCGATTTACAGTCCAGTTCGATAGTTTCAAAGTAAAATTTCAAAAATATTTTAAAAGTAGGTATTTTAAATTTTTTGAAAAATCGAAACATTTTATGTGAGGTAACTAGTGATGTGCCAATACACCTAAATTTTAAAAAATATTAGTATATTAATATTTTTCCTTCACTTTCTAGATTTTTTTAAATCGCATCTTTTAACCTATTAGCAAACATTCTGCTCAGAGTTATAAAAGTTTTAAAAATTGAAAATTTTGAAAAAAGCAACTTTTTATATTGTGTTTAAAACTTTAAGTTATGTGTTTAAAACTGTAAAATAATATAAATTTTTTTCTTTTGTTTAACAGAGTTTCTATAATGTTTCAATTACTATTGGTAAAATTATTACTAAATCATTAATTTGATGTATAACTTTTCGTCGTTTCATTAGTAAATTATTACTAATAATTCAGATTTAGAGGTTTCTCATTATTCTGAAAGAAAATTTTAGGGTACTTTCAAAATTATGCATAAGTATATATAGATAAATAAATTATTTTTTTCCAGAATTCAAAACTCTAAGATCAACTTTTATAACTATTTTTGAAATATTAAAACATTAAGTATGAAATTAATTCTGTTTTTAAATTAATTAAAAAAAAAAATTCTTTGAAAAAGTGCATTTTTTTCTTATAAATTGTACTCGCTGACATTCATTATTTCATTCAAGCATAAATATGAATTAAAATTACAGAATAATATTCTTATAAATCAATCTTTTCTTTTGAAAGTGAGGTGTGTGTTATTCAACTTTCACATGTTTAGAAATCTAGTAAAAAATGCAAAAAATTTTAATTAAAAGTTTTTGAAAATTAATTACTTTTCAAAATTCAATAACTTTTCGTAAAAGTAGGTCAAAAATGTGTTCAAAAATAGATCAATAATTATTGACGCATTTTTAAATATTCTGCAGAATATATATTACATGTAAGCTGGTTTTTAAAACAAGAAATTCAAAAAAGTGTTAGTTTTCAAAATTTTTGATTTTCAAATGGTTAATATATCTCTGGATCACATGACTAAAATTTTAACATTAATTGTTGTATATTTCTGAAAAGTAATAATCGAAAACAATAAAAAAAAATTTCGTTGATAAACTTTATGGACTTCAACATCATATAAAATAAGAGTACTTTGAGCAAGATTAAGAAAGATTAATTTTTTTTTTTGCATTTTAAAAATAAAAAAAAACCGTTTTTTGACAATAATTTTTAAAAAAATGTTATGATAGGTACCTAAAAATGTTTTTCTTTGATTTTATATAGTTTTTTCAGACAATGCTTTTGACCTCTTATTCAACATTTTTCGTCCATGGTAACCTGAGATATTAAAATTTTTAAAATCTGAACCAAATTCAATCAGAAATTACACAATTATTGGTATTTTTTTAAAAATTATGGAAAATACCATTTTCTCAACTTTTTACAAACCAAAGCAAAGTATATATTCATGAAATGAATACAAAAAACTAGCATAACTTATTTGCGGTCTTTTATTCTAATCCTATTAAAAAAGAGGAATTATGTTTTAAAAAAAGGTGCTGAAAAATATTAGATAACACAAATTAACTTGTAAATTAATTAATATGTTGTAATTTTAATCAAAATTTACTTTTTCTATTATCAACACTTAAAGTTTTAATATATTGTTTGAAATTTGAATCGAGGGAAATTTGAATAGATTAAGATCGCAGTTTAGATTAATTTAGACAAATAAAGTTATAAATTCAGTAACAAAATTGTTACATTTATTAATATTAATGAAACAAGGTGAATAGCTGATTTCTGAGTTTTCAAATATTCTTAAGGTTTTTTGGGCTTGCTGATTAACGATTCCGAAGTCAGTTTTTAAAAATCCAAAATTTTCAAAACAAACAACTTTTAGTGGTACAAAACTAAAAAATGTCACAACATGGTAACAAAGTGTGAAAAAAGTCACTACTTTTTTCACACTTTGTTACCATTTTGTGCCATTTTTTGGGAAAAATATAGAGACTCTTTTCACACTTTTTTACTATTTTATAGTAAGTTTTAGTAGTTTAGAGGAAAGCCTGTCGGAAATTAAACTATCTCTAGGAAGTACATCTCTTTTTTAAAGATCCTCGAATATCCTAGACACGTCCTTAAAATATTCTAATTTCCGAAAGCGAAAATACCCCCAGGACGTTCGTAGGATATCCTGAAGGAATTATTTTACTATACTTTCACCAAAAATTCGAAAAATTATATTCAAACATTAGGTATAAATAATCCGTAAAGGTTAAATAATGATAAAGAACTGATTCAAATCGTCACAATTTTCACATGGAGCTTTAATGTAAAAATTGTCACGACCCTATCGAATCCTCAAAACCCTTCAATTTCCATAACAACCGACAGTCGAAAGCAAAGGGAGTACAAAGATTTCCTGGAACTGAAGAACTGTCATCAATGACGTACCTATATTTTCCCCTCATGAACTGATGGCCTCAAATATTCCATAGTTGAGGATAAAATTTTTTTTTCCAATTGTCACACGCACTAAAACACACGAGAAAACGGAATCGAATCAGTCTTGGAAAATTGATCAGGAAGACGAGAGAGTCTTTTAAATGCGCATTGTATATATTCTCTTAATTGCATTCGACCGCAAGTATAGTAGAGAAAGAATCATGTCACTCACGACTTAACGGGAATTGAACCTCCCGAGAACTGGCTCGCTAGGGCGCTAAAAGCGTGTCGACGACGACAGCCCCCGCCCGGGTCAGCGCGTGCGCATCCAAAACCACCCCTGTTCTAAAAAGACGCTCCTCTCTCTCTCTCTCTCTCTTTTCCACCCCATCGATGTCTGGCTCGCTTGCTTTCTTGCTCTCCCATCGAAGTAGTGAACCCTAATATTCGCGCAGAGAAAGCGATGTGTCGATCTACACACACTATATATACCTGTATATTTCTATTGTTCTTCAACCATTCACGATTCTCTACATTCGACCTGCTTCCTAAAACAATAGATGTGGAGTGAAATATTTAATCGCTGCAAACAAGCTCATTATGACTGTTTACATAATATAGAATTTGTTTGATTCTGATCAATAGTTTTGCGCTTATAAGACGAACAAACTTTCACATATAGACAATAGACTGAAAATCTTGTCTTATATATACTGTTACAACAAACAATTTTTATCCAAAAATAATTTTCATATTCTAAAAGAGCTCTATTTTTTAATTTCGATTTTTTTAATTTAAATATAACGAACAACAATTTTAAAAAAATGTTTCAATCGCCCCGTCCGAACAGTAATGTTTTTTTACAATCTACTGTTCACAATTACTAGAATTTACAAAAAATAAAAAGGAAAAAATTTTTTGCAGAAATAAGTAATTTATTTGTTTAAAAAGTAAATAATTTGTTTATAACAAATGTAATTGTTTACGCTAATAAATTTTTAAATTTTTTGAAAGAATGTACATGTATGATATAAACATGCCCATATCGAAAAATTTCATGGAAGTATACCCCCTGGAAATTTCATGGAAATTCTGCAATTTTTTTATTTTAATAATATTTTTACATTTCTATGATATGATTAAAATCTAATAATAAGCCGAAACACAAAGGTACTCAGAAATTTTGTTTAATTAAAAAAAAATTATTTATTGCTTCTAAACTATGGCAAGAACAATACCAATTTATATCTGAGTCATCAAAATTAATTTAATTTACAATTCATAAAAAGTAACCAAAGCCGATAATAATCAGCAGAAGATGAAATATTATTTTTTGAGGGAACTTTATCTTCTGCTTACTAACAATTCTTAGTAAAAAAATTGTTGACTGTTCTCAAACTATTGCTAGAACAATTCCAACAATTATCTGAGTCATCAAAATTAATTTAATTCACAATTCATAAAAAGTAACCACAGCCGATAATCAGCAGGAGATTATTATTTTTGTTAACAGTTGTTAATAAAAAAATTATTTACTGTTCCTAAACAATATGGCTAGAACAAAATTTTCTCAAAAATCTTTAAAAGCAGGCAAAATTCCAGAAAATTTTTTTAATTTCATACTTTTTCCAGGTTTTTTTATACCTATTTATAATTTCCATGCTTTTTCGAGGTTTTCCAGGAGTTCCAGGCTGTGTGGCAACCACGATTTTGATATTTAAATCCTATTTTTAATTTTTATTTAACCTAATCATATAACTATTTGACAATAGGTTACGAATCAACGTTAGCTACACTTTGAATTCAATGATTTTGATTTTAGAAATATCCAAAAGATTAATTTATTTAATTTTAAAACATTTGCCAGACTAATTCATAAATTGTTGGGAAAATTTCTAAGAAACCGCAGAGAGAGGGGGTTTAACCCCTTAACTGCCATGGCATAGATTTTAGCCGTCAAATCTTTGCCATGGCAGTTATGGGGTTAAGGAGATTGACACACTAATTATTACACTGTCACTGAATTTAGATTTATTATAAATAATTTTATTCAATTTAATTTACTTTAAATTCTAATTTCAGCTGAACAGTTTATTTATTCGGCAGAAGTAGAATCCGAATTTGGAATTTAAATACCGCATAACCATGCGGCTCGCCATGCGGCGACAAGCATCACTCTCAACATTCGAAAATTTTCAATAACAATTATTTGACAATCTAGCGAGATAACAATTTATAATACCGTTTTTACTGGGACTCACCGTCAATACGACGTCGACCTCTCATCGCTCCTCGTCTTGACATGGCACTCAACTTATAATGATGATGATGTTGGTTTCAAACCGAGACGTCGAAACGTTGCACATCTAATGAAATGGTGTTTCATTTATTACTCTTCCGATAATCGATTAAAAGAATATCAACAAAATTCAACAACGGAAGAAAAAATCAACTACATTTTAATTTTAAAGTTACGAAGTGATGCGCCTTACGACAACACCAAATCGAGAATTGTCGAGAATGAAATGTCCGTCTGCTTATCCACGAGCGCGCTTCGTTTCCTTATACTCTGGTGAGTTCCAGGTGTACTACTATTTTTACATTCTACACTTATCGCGCGGGGTAAGTTAACCGCGGTCGGTATTGCAGAGCGCCATTATTCGTCTGCCGTCTCCTCAGCCTTTAATTCAATATGTCCGCAAGCAGTGTTTTGACAGGACCAAAAGAAAAGTGATTTTCGTCTTCCTAGTGCTCTTGAATATTCAGGAATCACGTCCGAATAAATGCACCAGAAAGCACTTCCCCTGATGACTTCGAACAATGGATAAGTTATGGTGGAACAACAATCAGTACTAGAGAGTATTTTTTTTGGAAATCAACCTGAACACATCGTTTAGAAGTTAACTAAAGTACATCCCGAAGTATTATTTTTTAAACCAACTTCGGTATAACATCTAGTAAAATACACCGATTTTACCACGAGTAATAAGTAAAATTCAAAAAGAATTAATTTGAAAATAAGTCCAAAGTTTTGTAAAAGTTTCAAGATTTAATATTGAAACAGTATATTTAATTTCGAAGTATCGAAATTTGTTCTGGAGGCGATAGTCTGGAAGAAAATTAAATCCCTAAGAATACAATACCAGTTTCAACACCTGCACTAATCGTTATTCTTAAAGTAAGATTTTCAATTAATTTTAAATAGACTCGTTGTATAATATTGCCAACTCTTTTCTTTCTTGGTTGTGTTTTTGAATAAATATTCTCTCACAACATTTAGTAGGTTTATTGACTTACCCTCATCCCAAATTATATTCAATTCTGAAACTAATTTAAAACGAGGAACGTAGGCATATTTAAAAAGGTTTCAATTTTGACGTAACATTATTTAATAAAATTTAAATTATTTAAAACTCATATTTTCTAAATTTTTCGTGACCTCTTCTAAAATCTAATTACTGTATATGTCCCAGTTCACGACCACTTTTATTTTAACAATAACCACAATAATTTAAAAATTATTTCTCTAAATCTATTTAGGTAAGATTGCTTTTTAAAAACAACAGTTTTTCAAATTACTGTAAATAATAAAGTAAAAATAAAAACTGGATAAAAATAATAATTCCGTAATATACAATATTATATATACAATTTCATTTACAAAATAACATTTCATACTGATGAATTTTAATTCAACAGACTTACATCAGAAAGAGTTAATTTTGGAAATTGAACACTGTCTTCAATCCACTTTGCAACACTTAATAGTCTACGTTCCTCAAGATTTGGCGCCATTAACTGCAAACTTAAGGGCAATCCTCTTTTTGATATGCAAACAGGAATATTAATAGCAGGTAATCCCGCCATATTAGCAGGTTGAGTAAAATAATCCTGTACCACACACTGCGTTTGATTATCAGCTTTTATAAAATCTTTATACAACGGAGCGTCCGACAATGTGGTAGGTGTTAATAAAAGATCAATTCCCTCATTCCACGCACCGTCAAAATCCTCTGCAATTAATCTCCGAACTTTCATCGCCTTAACAAAGTAATTTTCATAATTTTCCGAGAGTAAGAAATAATTGCCAGCTATAATTCTTCTTCTAACCACATCATTAAACCCTGTACATCTTGTCTTAGCAAACAATTCATTAGTGGAAAAATTTTCGTCCGCTCGAAATCCAAATTCAATTCCATCATAACGTGCCATATTACTCGCGACCTCACACTGATTTAAAACCGAATAACAAACGATTGATAATTCTGTATGTGGTAGAGAGACGGGGACAATTTTCGCGCCAGCTTCCTCTAAAAGTCGGGAAACATTTTGCCAACAGTCATTTACCTCACTGCTGAGATTTACCAATTGATATTCTTTTGGTATTCCAATTCTAAGTCCACTTACGTCAATTTTTTCTGGTAATGAAATTGGTGAAAATTCGCGTTTTAGAGTTGTAGAGTCTGAGCTATCTGGTCCAGCTATTGTATTTAAAACGAGCAAAGCGTCATCCACGTGTCTTGCGAGAATGCCGGGAACATCCATGGAATTTACTAATGGTATCAATCCGTGACGAGACACCAATCCATAAGTTGGTTTCAATCCAATTAATCCACAGTACGAAGCTGGATTACGAGTCGAGCCTCCGGTGTCAGATCCTAAGGCGGTGTAACAAGTTCCTGAAGCTACTGCCACTGCTGAACCTCCACTGCTTCCTCCTAAAAAATATATTAATTTTCCAAAAAGTAATCAACATTTTGGGTTGATTAATTGTTCTTTAATTATTTTATGCATCTCAGGCGTATTATGGTCACTTTATCTACCTCTTCAGGCGCATACTAAGTTCACCCTTTTAACCCAGAGGTCGATAAAGTGCCCATTATTGCTCTAGGGCAATAAAGTGTAGTTTATTGACTTTTTGTACTTTTGCTTGTTAAATAAATAGAGTTGGCTCTCAGTTAAGTAACCAAGTCACCAAAAATAATATTATTAGTTGTTCCTTACGATGACAACATAATTAATTTTTACCTAATAATATTTAATTACTTAATTAGTTAATAAGTACGGGCCAAAGGCGCTTCGATCGATTAAAAATAAAAGTCAAAAGTCATTTATTGAATTAACTCAATGTTGTCACAAAAATTTTATTTTGTATTTCTCTGACCTATTACTGATTTCTTAATTCAATTCACCTTCTGAAATTTAATAATAATTTCTAAAAATTACAATTTTTAAAATTTTCTTAAAAGTTACCCTTTCAAAATACAATTATTTTCTTTTTTTACTAAACTTCATCTCTAAATCAATTATTTTTAACTTTTTATTTTAATTGTAACTGTAACTGCCCATGTTTTTTTTAAAGTTAACCTGGTATAATATTTTTAAAAAATTACATTAAAAAAATTTTATAATTTAAATGTTTTTAAATATTTTTAAATAATTTTTTAATTATATTGAATTAAAACATGTCCAAATAATTGGAATGTGAGAAAATTTTTTAAAAGTAAATGAATTTTTGAAAAATATTTTTAAAAAATTATCAAATTTTTTAAGAATTTTTAATTTAATTTAATTATTAAACAGAACATGATTGCTCCAAAAATTAAAAAAAAAATAAATTTTTAAAAATTTTAATTCAATTTGTTGAAAGATAATTGAAATTTAAAAAATTATGATAATATAATTCTAATTAGTTTTTTTTATTAAATATTGTAATGTAATTTTTCGAAAATAGTTGAATTTCTTAAAAGAATTTTTGTATAATTTAAAAAAACCCTAATTAATTTTTTGAAGAATTTTAATCAATAATTTTGAACATGATTGTCTTCAAAATATTAAAAATAATTCTAGAAAATTTTAATGATTTTAATGTTATTATTTTTTGTATGTATTTGAATTCTCAGAAATATGGAAAATAATTAAATTTTAAAAAATTAGAATGAAAAAAATTCTAAGAATTACATTTTTCAAAAATATTTTTGTATAATTTTTAGACACTAATTTTCATTAATTTTCATTTTTGAATTTACAAATTTTATTAAAATTGTAATTTTATTAACTAAATCTTGCAAAGAATTTTGTCAACATTTTTTTAAATATAATAGAATTTTAAAACAATTTTATTTAAATTTTTCGAAATAATTGAATTTGTCAGAACTATTTTTTCAATTCTCTGAATATATTTGAATTCTTTAAAATTTGAGAAACTTCATTAAAAAAATTTAAAATAATTGAATTGGTGCAAAGGAATTTTATAAAAAAAATTGGTAAGTAATTGAATTCGTATGAAATTTTTATTAAAATTTTGTTTAAACAATTGAATTCTTTTAAAAATTTTATTAAAATAGTAAATATTAAAAATAATTTAAACGAGGAAAATTTTTGAAAAGAATTGAAATTTTTGAGAATTAAATTATTTTCAAAATTGCCAATTAAAATTCTTCAAAAGTTGATTTTGAAAAATTGTAAATAAAATATGTAAGTAAATTTTTTTAGATTTTGAATCTGAAATTATTTAAAAATTAAAGTTTTTTATTTGAAAGAATAAAAAAATTTGTAATTTGTAAATTGAATACGCAGCGTAATATTTGGTACTAGTTAATATAATAAAATTTTTAAAAAGAAAATAAATTTCGATAATTTAAATTTTTAGAACTTTATGGTCACACAACTTGCTCTGAATTTTGTAGAATCAAAATTCCAATTAATGGAAATTATATTTATTCTTAATTTGCATTGATAAATAGTTGTCATTCCCATTATTAAAGTTTTAACTTTTTTAATTCTCAATTATAAAGAAAAAAATAAAAACGAGTGTTTTTTAAATATCAAAAATTTAGATTTATATAAAATATTAAGCTCTACAAATAAATAAGAAATTGGAAAAAAAAGTTAAACAAAATCTGAATAAATACAAATGACTTATTTTCATAATTTACCTGCAATGTGCCAATCGTTTTCACTCGAGCTCAACGCTTTTTTCTCCGAATTTTCCTTTCCATTGTAAAAATAATTCTCCATTAATTCACAGCCCCAGATATTTTTCGTCGGTCCAAAAAATGAATCAACAGTTCCACATCCCATGGCAAATTGATCTAAATTTGTTTTTCCTATTAAAACAGCTCCCGATTTTTTTAACCGGCTACAAACTGTCGCATCGTAACCTGGTTTAAAGTTCGCGAGCATTAAAGAACCACAAGTTGTTAAATGATTTTTCGTACAAAAATTATCCTTTATCGCAATTGGTATTCCATTGAGTTCACTTAAAGTATCCTTATTTTTTAATTTTTCCCCCTCATTCTCAATTTCTTGATTTTCAATTTTCGTTACACTCACATAAGCATTCAATGGTTTAATAGCTTCTATCAATTTTCGGGAAGAATTCAAAATATCCGATGGACATATTTCGCCTGTATTTATTTTCTTACTCACTTCTTTGATGGGAGAAAACAAAATTTTATTCATTTTTGCATTTAAAAAAAATCAAGAATTAAATTCTAAACGTTGTCCGTTTTGAAGGTTAAAAAATCAAATTTATTTACAATTTGAATAAAAGAAAAAACTGGGATATTTTGTACACTGTAAATAATTATTGTAGAAAAACAACAATTGTATTGTGTTAAGAATTGTTTTACAATTTTCCATACAAAAAAAAGTAAAATTGAATACAATTTGTTTACTTTTTGCTTGCGGAACTTGCGGAAAAGCGACGAAATCTTCTGCTAGAAAGTTGCAATTTTTCCCCACTTGCGCTCCGATCGCTTATAAACAGCTGTGTGTGTAATTCAATATGGCGACGCTTGTCAAATTCGACAAATTTTGACAATTCATTTTACAAAAGTTTATATAAAATAATAAATAAATAAATAACGTCACCAAAGTGATAATTTTTTTGTGATATTTACAACAAGAAACAAAACAAGTGTAGAAAATTGATAAATTTTTCATTTTAAAAAATGAATTTCTTTGTATTTCATTGTAAACCTTGTAAACAATTATTTATCTTCAACGATTATGTAAATTCATTTGTTTTTAAAACAATAATAGCACACTCTTTGTGATAAAAAAAAGAAACAATTATCTATTGTTTAAGAGAAATTTTCTTCTTGTCAATTTTTCTTTTTAATACTAAATATTATTATATAGTTTAGATTGAATATAAAGTCAATGACATGGTATCGTGCGACGAAACAAAACTTGAACTTGTGCCAGTTAAAGGAAAAGGTGGCGGAAAAGAAGAATCTGTTGTTTTTGTTGAACAGTTTGTTAAAGAAGTGCGTGATTTTAGTTCACAGTATGGAAGCAATATTAGTATATCGTATACGGCTTATAATATTGCCGGAAATCCGAGTAAATTTCCAGATTATGGAGATTTTCCTCAAGCTTTTGTGATGGTACGTGTATATATATTCGGGAAAAAATCGATAAAAGTATTGTTTTCGTTGACTCATAATTTTATTGGGGGATTAATGGTATTAATCTTTTTAAATTTTTTACTATACTTTTTTTTACTTTTATTTATTACGTTTTTTTAGATTTTCCATTAGAATATTTTGTTTAAAAAATATTTGTAAGAAACAAATTTTCAATTATTTTTAATATCTACTATTTTAATAAAATTTTCCAAAAGAATTCAATTGTTTAAACAAAATTTTCCTATACAATTCAATTATTTTCAATACAATTCTTAAGAATTCAATTATTTTCACAAATAATACATTTTTTTATGGGAATTCAATTTTTTTTAAAAATTAGAATAAAATTCTTCGCAAGAAATCAATTATTTTCATAAATAATTTAAATTTTTCTCGAGAATTCAATAATTTTGATAAAATGCTTTGTAAATTTGAAAAATTATAATAAAATTCATCATAAAATACAATTATTTTTTGTAAAATATAACATTCTTCCTAGAAATACAATTATTGTCAAAAATGTTTGTAAAAATCGAAATTCTTCTAATCAATTCAATTATTTAAGAAATTTTAATAAAATTCTTCCCAAAAATTCAATTATTTTCAAAAATAAAATTTTCTACATGAGTTCAATTATTTAAAAGAAAAATTTAATAAAATTCTTCGTCAGATTTCAATTATTCTCAATTTTTTAATGAAATTTCTCGATAGAATTTAACTAATTTGTCTCAAAAAGTTTTAAAAAATTCTGAGAAATTCAATTATTTAAAAAAATCTGAATAAAATTCGTCACAAGAAATTAATTACTTTCATAAATAATAATATTTTCTCATGAATTCAATTATTTTCACAAATAAAATTCTTCACAGAAATTAAATTTTAAGAAATATTAAAATTATTGAAAAAAATTCAAAAATTTTTTATAAAATCATAATAGAATAGAATAATTTAAAAAAAAATGTTTATAAAATTCTTTGGAAAAATTCAATTATTTTCAAAAATAAAAATATTTTCACAGGAATTCAATTATTTAAAACAGAATTTTCCTAATATTTTTCGATAAAAATCAATTATTTAAATAGATTTTTATAAAATTCTTCGCAAGAATTCAATTATTTTCTTAAATAATAAAATTCTTCTCAGGAATTCAATTATTTTTAAAAATTTTAATAATAATCGTTACAAGAATTCAATTATTTTTATAAATGTTAAAACTCGTCGCAGGATTTCTTTGAAAGAATTCAATTATGTAAACAAATTTTAAAGAAATTCTTTATAATAATTGAATTGTTTTCAATGTAGGCAATTTTAATAAAATTTTTTTAAAGAATTTAATTATTTTCATAAATAATATATAATTTTCAAAGAAATTCAATTATTTAAAACATAATTTTCATAACATTTTTTTAAAAAAAAATTTCTTTAAAAAGATTATTCTAAAATTCTTCTCAAGGATGCAATTATTTTAAAAATTTTAATAATAATCATTGTAAAAATTCAATTATTTTCATAGATAATAAAACTCATCGCATGATTTCAATAATTGAATTCTCGTAGAATTTCAATTATTTACAAATTATTTTTATAAATTATTATTCAATTATTTTCATAAATAATAAAACTCTTCGCAAACTTTCTATTATTTTTAATAGAATTTTATTAAAATTCGTCTAAATAGTTCAATTATTTTCAAAACTAATAAAATTCTTTGCAAAAATTCAATTATTTCGTTTTCAATTTCAATTTAATAAAAATTGTGCAAATAATTGAATTCTTTTGACAAATTTTATTAACAAAGAAAAAAATGAAAATCATTGAAATTAAGGAAAATTTTTGAAAACAATTGAAATTTTGCTAAGATTTTTTTTAAAAATTTTGGAAATAATTTAAATCCTGATAAGAATTTTCTTATTTAATAAGATTTTCTTATTTAATAAATAAGAAAATTCTTATCCGGATTTGAATTATTTCCAAAAATTTTTAAAAAATTCTTAGCGTTTTCAAAAATTTTCCTCAATTTCAATGATTTTCATTTTTTTCTTTGTTAATAAAATTTTTCAAAAGAATTCAATTATTTACACAATTTTTATAAATTTCTTGGCAATAATTCAATTATTTTCATAAATAATACAATTTTTACAGAGATTCAATTATTTTTAATGCAATTTTAATCTAATTTCTTGAAAATGGAAATTATTCTGAAAAATTTTATTAGGATTCATCTGAAGAATTCAATTATTTAATAAATTATTTATTTGCATTTTATTTGTATTTAAATAATTAAATTTTCGTAGAAATTTGTAATAAAAATTAATTTAAAAATAAGTTTTAATAAAAATTTTAGATAATAATTGAATATTATTATAAAATAATATTTAATATTTTTTTTAGAGAACGTATGGACAATGGTGGGATGAAGCGCCATCGAAATTGACTGATTACATGCCACAAAACAACGAATCACCATTTAGTCACGATTATATAGGTTTGTATCGAAGACAATCTGTAAAACTTTTTTTTTTTTTTTTTTTTTTTTTTTTATAAAAAGGGTAGGAAATTTTTTACTATATTTGTATTTTTCTTATTTTACAGATGTTGAATATTATCAAGAAGTCTATCCCATTAGAATTTCCGTTTACGAGACATACAATCCAGGAAGCGTCGTTAGAATCTGGGCACGTGATGGTAGCGGACAGTGGTTTCAATTGTGGAGTGGACCTCCACAGATTGTTCCTCCAAAGTCACGAATATTCTCACCGCCTCTCCAACTATGTAATTTCAAAACAAAAATGCTGCGATTGGAATTCAATCACAGTCTCTTGGATTATTATACTGAACTAGACGCTGTACTGTTGATCGGTACAACTGAATTAATTCTTCCACACGTTGGCTTTCAAAATCGAAGTCTCAGTATTTTATTGCGTGAATTAGGTGGCACTGGATCTAATAAGGAAGATTGCCTTAATCTCACACCCGATTACTTAAAAGCAAATCACGATTTGAAGGCACTCAAAAACAGTCTTCATAAACATTGTGTTCTTTACAAGAGGTAATTTTATTTTTTAATTTTTAAAGCCACTTTTTTGGTCTAGAGATAAAAACTGTTTTTTTTATTAACCACATTCTTCAGGAGCAGGACATTTTTTGCGCCTTAAAGTTTATACCTTATTTATGAGGCATTTCACGTCAGAAATATCACGATTTGGAAAGGGTCTGCCGATTTTCGCAAAACTTCGTGGGATTATAGTTCTATATAAGAGACTTCTTTCCCCCAAATTTTTTCAAAAAAAATTGAAAATTGTTGAAGATACGCCATTTTGAATTTTAATATTAATTTTATAACATTTTGAATATCTCGGAATATTGTTTATGGATTTTTATGAAATTTACACACTTTTCAGGTAAAAGTATGTTCTTTAAAATGCAAATAAAATTTTTTAAAAAAAATTAATTTTTAAACAAAAAAATTTAAAAAAAATTTGTTAAACAATTTTTTGTTTATTTACTCCTCTCGGAGAAAAATATTATTAACATATTTGGATTCCTTATGAAATCACCTTTAATTTTATAAAAAAAAATTGATGGAGACTCAACTGGATCCGGAGATATTTAAGTTTTTGTAAAAAAAAGCGTCGCCGCGCCATAGCACCATACTGCACAAGTCGCGTAGTACGTTACCGTAGTCGTGCATTGCTGCTGCAACTAGGACTATTTTTTACAAAAACTTCAATATCTCCGGACCCAGTTGAGTCTCCATCAATTTTTTTTTATGAAATTAAAGGTGATTTCATAAGGAATCCAAATATGTTAATAACATTTTTCTCCGAGAGGAGTAAATAAACAAAAAATTTTTTTTAATTTTTTTGTTTAAAAATTAATTTTTTTTAAAAAACTTTATTTGCATTTTAAAGTACATACTTTTACCTGAAAAGTGTGTAAATTTCATAAAAATCCATAAACAATATTCCGAGATATTCAAAATGTTATAAAATTAATATTAAAATTCAAAATGGCGTATGTTCAACAATTTTTAATTTTTTTTGAAAAAATTTGGGGGAAAGAAGTCTCTTATATAGAACTATAATCCCACGAAGTTTTGCGAAAATCGGCAGACCCTTTCCAAATCGTGATATTTCTGACGTGAAATGCCTCTTATACTCCATATTATAAAAGTCTAATAAAAAAATAATAAAGCCACAATTTTACTTTTTACGCTACAAAAGCGGAATTTAAAAATATTTTTCTTCAATATTCAATTTACATTGTTATTTAAATTTTTTGAGTCTTAAAAAATTTTAAAATACGTATAAAAAGAAAGAATAATTACTTTTTCTATTTTCAGCAAAGTTACCGATAAGCTACCTAAGGGGAAACTAGCAGCTAAACTTGGATTACATTGTCATTACGTTCCACCTATAGAAGAAGCTTTCAATAGTTTGCAGCATTTTTTGCAAGAAGAATTTCCAAAGTTAATAAGAGAAATAAATCGATCTTCTCTAAATTCAGTTGCAGCTGATAGTGATTTATCTCCTTGTTCGAGCAGCGTTGATCAGAAGACTTGCGGCAGCTTTTCTGTTCTTCCCGTAAGTTTCATTCTTTTTAAATAAATTCATTTTTTTACGTTAAAGTCTTCGTAAAAATTCAATTATTTTCATGAGTAATAAAAATTTTTCGGGAATTCAATTATTTAAATTAGAATTTGCATTTAGTCGAAAGAAATTAATTATTTAAAAAATTTATAAAATTCTTCGCAAGAATTAAATTCTTTATATAAATATTGAAATTTCTTCATGAATAATAAAATTCGTTGCAGGAATTAAATTTATTAGCAGGATAAGAAATAAATAAATATGTTTGATAAAAATTAGGGAAAAATCAAGAAAATAAAATATACGGAATTGAATTTTTTGTCAGTTTTGTGAAGTTTCCAAAAAATATAATTATTATAAAAGTATAAATTTACAAAAATTATTCTATTTAAATATAATTCAATTCTCGTCGTTGAATTCTGATAGAAATTGACTTAAAAAAAATGACAGTTAAAATTTTAGAAATTAAATCGATAATTTAAGAGATACAAAAGTATAAAAATGTATAAACTTTTATTTTAAAAAATTATTAATTACATTATTTTTCTTCAAAAATTCTTAATGTTTTGAATAATGTTATTTAGAATTTTTAAAAAAAAATAATTGAATTTTGGAAGAATTACAGTTGCAATTTTTAGAAATATAATTAATTAAATTTCAAAAGGTTTTTCATTGAAAGTATTTTGAAATTTTAATTCCTGTGGAAAAATAAATGGGAATAAGTTTTTAATTTTTTGTTTACCAAAAGTATTCAAGTTCTGAATATAATTTAATTTAAAAATTTCGAAAAAATTTGTTTCTGCAAAGAATGTAATTAAAATTTTTTAAAAATAATCCTATTTCTGAAAATGATTTTAAAAAATTGAAACAATTAAAAATTTTGTCGTATTTCATTGAAATAAATTTTATATTTTAATGAATTTTATTTGTTTGCTGTTAACAATTATTTTGAAATATAATCGTATTTTTGAAGAATATTCTAATTAAAAATTTGGAAAATAATTGAATCTTAAAAAAATTTAGAATTAGCACATTTAATTAAAATTATAAGAATTAACTTTTGATCAATTTTCTTCATTATATTGAATGAATTAATGTTTTTCTCTTTTTTTAACAGGATGAAACTGTATTAAAGATATTGAAAAACTTGGACCTTCGATCTCTTTCTCGATGTTGCAAAGTGAACAAACACTTCAACAATATTGCAAGAGATGCTTTACTTTACACTAGTCTGAACTTGAAACCTTATTGGTATTGTATAGACGCGACGGCGTTACAAATTCTAGCTCCTAGATGTCAGTATTTACAACGATTGGACCTTTCCTGGTGTGGAAATTACGATGCAATTAGTAGTCAAGATTTTGTGGATTTTCTACAAAATTCCGGTAATCTTATAACCCATCTTCGTCTTAATTGCTGTCGATTTGTCAATGATTTTGTCATACGAGAAATAGCACGAATCTGCAAAAATCTCAAAGGTAAATTTTTCAATAAGTAAAATTCGTAAAATTTATAAATTATCAACTATTACAATTGCAACTATTAAAAAATTATTACTTTTACATTAATTAGCTAATAATTTTACTAAACTGTCCAAAAATAATTGAATTTTAAAAAAGTTGCGCTTAAAATTGTTATAAATAATTGAATTTCAAAAGTCTTCGATTAAAATTTTAGAAAATTTGAATTTTAAACAATTTTCATTGAGAATTTTTAAGAAGTTAATTATTGAAAAATCTTCGAATCTAATTTTCGTAAAATTGAATTGAAAATAAGTGAATTTTAGACTTTCATGTCAACTTTTATTTATATTTATACTTATAATGATTGAATTAAATTCTCAAAATTAGTTGAAATTGATTTGATACGTAAAGAAGAATTTTAGTTAAAACAAAATTCAATTTTTTGTTAAAATAAATTATGATATTGAAAAAAGTGCGTTTATCCAATTTTGAATAACGAAAGGGAACAGATCTTAAAAGTTATTATTATTAATTAAATTATAAAACAATCTTTTTTTAGAGCTGTGCCTGAGAAATTGTACTGAAATTACTAACAATGGATTCGCGGAACTCGGAAGTTTGCAGGCACTTGAAAGACTGGAATTATATAGGACGAATATTGAGACAAACAATCTTTGCGCGATTCTACGCAAGAATTGCAATATTCGACATTTGAATTTAGCTGGAATGCATGATCGTTTGAATATGGATAAAGTGGCCATAGAAATAGCCAATTCCTGTGCGAATTTGGAAAGCATTGATTTCTGGAAGGCACAAACTCTTACACCTCAAGGAGTTAGAGCATTGACCCGATGTGTTCATCTTCGTGAAGTGGATTTTGGTTGGTGGTAAGTGCAAATTTTTAGATAAAAGTTTAACTTCTCCTACTTTTTTCTTAACTATTCAGTAACTTTTTTAAACTTGAAAAAAATTATATTTAAACTTTTTTCCTTTTTATTTTTAAAAAACTGATAAAATTCTAAAAAAAAATTACACCTTAACGACAAAAAAATGTTAATTTTTCAATCAGATATTTAACAAAAAACCCCATTTTCAAATTAAATTTTCGAAATATACAATTAAAAATATAGATTTTGAATAATTGGAATTTTGTAAAATTTAATTAAAAATAATTGATTTTTTTCAAGTATTTTATTACAATTTTTGGAAATAAACTTTTAATGAATTTTAATTGCGAATTTTGAAAATAATGAAATTCTCACAAATTTTAATGAAAAATCTTCAAGTGCAAGTTTAAAAATGAAAATTAATGAAAATTAACTTCTAAAAATTATATTATTAAAATATTTTTGAAAAAAGCAATTTTTAGAATTTTTTTTATTCCAATTTTTTTAAATTCAATTATTTTCAATATTTTAAAATTACACAATTCCTAAAATTCAAATACGTAAAAAAAATAACAAATTTTTTAGAATTATTTTTAATATTTTGGAGAAAAAAATCATCTTTAAAATTTTACAATTGAAAAATCCATCAAAAAATTAATTAGTTTTTTAAATTATACAACATTTTTTTTGAGAAATTCTTTATATTACAATAATGATAAAAAACTAATTCTTAGAATTATCATAATTTTTTAAGATTCAATTATCTTCGAACAAAGTAAATTAAAAATTAAAAAAACTATTCTTTGAAAAATTATTTTAAAATATTTTTAAAAAATGAATTTTAGAATTGATTTATTATAATTTTTTGAAAATCCTATTATACCTTAATAACTTTAATATTCATCACAAGAAATCAATTATTTTAAATACAACTTTAATTAAATGTTTTTGAAATAATTGAATTATTCTTTTAGATTTTAATTAAATTTTTCCTAAGAATTTAATTTTTTACATAGATAATTTTTCGAAAGAATTCAATTATTTCGATAAATAACAAAATTATTCCCGAAAATTCAATTATTTTGAGGCATTTTAATAAAATTCTTTGCAAAATTCAATTATTTTTAAAAGTAATAAAATTCTTTGCAAAATTCAATTATTTTTAAAAGTAATAAAATTCTTTGCAAAATTCAATTATTTTTAAAAGTAATAAATTTCTTCTTAAAAATTCAATTATTTTTAAAAGTAATAAATTTCTTCTTAAAAATTCAATTATTTTTAAAAATTCTAATAAAATCGTTCGTAAGAATTCAAATATTTTCATAAATAATAAAATGCTTTCTAGGAATTCAATTATTTTCAAAAAAATTTAATAAAATACCACACAAACATTCAATTATTGTCAAAAAGTTTAATTGAATTCTTTGTAAACCATATTTATTTTTAAAAACTTTTCGCAAATCAATGATTTTCAATGTCTACTATTTTCATAAAATTTCCAAACAGAATTCAATTATTTAAAAAAAAATTTTGTAAAAATCTTTGTAAGAATTCAATTATTTTTATGAATAATAAAAATTTCCCAGGAATTCAATTATTTAAATTAAAATTTGCATAAAACTAGTCGAAAGAAATTAATTATTTAAAAATACCACTTTTTTACTACTTTTTTAAAATTTATTATCGAGTGCGAAGTCTGTCTAATGCTTTTAATTTATTCAATCATTATCTGAAATTTTAATTAAAAATCATTTTTAAATTCATTTATTTTATTAGAAAACTCTACGAGAATTCAATTTATTTATTTAGAAATATTTATAAAAATAGAATTCTCATATAGAATGTTATCAATAAATTTTTAAGTAATAATTGAATTCTTTCGATAAATTTGACTAAAATTAAAAAAAAATAATTTTATTCCTTAGAAGAATTTTATTATTTATGAAAGTAATGGAATTTTTGCGCAAAATTTTTATAAATAATTGACTTTCTCAGAAGAATTTTATTATTTATGAAAAGAAGTGAATTGTTACGATGTATTTTATTAAAATTTTTAATAAATAATTGAATTATTGCAAAGAATTTTATCAACATTTTTTTCAAAAAATAATTGAATTCTTTTGGAAAATTTCATTAAAATAGTAGATTTGAAAATCATTGAATTCAGGAAAATTTTTGAAAATAATTGAAATTTTTCCAAGAAGAAAGAAATTTATAAAAAAAAATTTATAATTAATTAAATTTCTGTGAAATTTTTATTACTTATAACAAATAATTAAATGTTTGTGTATAATTTTATTAAATTTTTTTTAAATTATTGAATTCTTTTGGAAAATTATATTAAAATAGTGGATATTGAAAATCATTGAATTGAGAAAAATTTTTGAAAATAATTGAAATTTTGCCAAGAATTTTATTCAAATTCTTGAAAATAATTGAATTTCCGAGAAGAATTTGATTATTTACTTAAAGATAATTGAAATTTTTACGAGATTTTTTAAAAAATTTTTGAACATAATTGAATGTCTGCGAAGAATTTTATTATTTTTGAAGATAATTGAATTTCTCAAATAATTTGTAATTTCTTAAAAATTCTCCAAATTACGTCTAATTTATGAACTTTTCGTCTCTTGTCAATCAAATTACAAACTTTACGGACCTTTTTTCTAGAAAACTGACTTTTACGGACTTCAAGCAAATTTACGGACCTAGTTCGAGCCCTATAAAAATAAGGGAAAAAGGGGAGAAAATTAATGATGTTAGGTGTTTTTGGGAGATATAAAAAAGTGGAAAAAAAATTAATATATTTGTTTGACAATTTTTCTAGCAGTGGAATGGGCGTAGCGGGCGACTCGTTGAGAGCTTTCTTCACGTCATGCAGACAACTTGAGAAAGTCTTTCTAACAGCACTGAGAGGTCTTACAGATCGTGATATTGAACCATTACTCCTGTGTCAAAGATTACAACAATTGGATGTCATGGCTGCTCGTTCGCTCAGTCACGATATATTTCTACGATTTCTCCTCTGTTGTCCTGAATTAAAAATGATGGACCTAAGTTTTTGCGATGGAATAAGCGACGTTAAAGTTCAAGAATGGCGTCAACTTTATCCACATGTTTCGATCAAAAAAAGTTTTCAAGCACGATTCTACTTCTCGTGAAATAATTATTGATTTCTTATATATTCAAGAAACAACAAATTTTTATAAATTTATACACATACGCAAGTCTGAATATATAATGTAGGACTAAAAAAAAGACTCAAAAAAGCAACAAAAAAAAATTGTACCTAGTTTTAAAAAATATTATTTCGAGTTTTTCTCGCTAAATTGTATTAATTTCATTCCAAAAGTGTAAGTATTGCACGTTGTTCATAAATCAAATTGTTTTTTGTTTTAATTAAAAATTAATTTATCTACTGTAATTTATTGAAAGTGTTTTAAAAAAATAATTTGATGAAATCAACTGTTGTACTCGCTTTAATTATACGTTGTGAAGAAAATTTTTTACTTATATACTCACAAGGAAAACAAACCTTGAATGAAAAGGTTCTTTAGGTATATTTGATTGTATTTCCATTTTTATAATTCTTTAAAAAACTTCTTTTAATATTTTAAAATAGTAATAAAACTCAGGTAAAATGTATACTTATTTTTTAAAGAACTAATTGAAAATTTCCACAAGATAAATGTTAAAAATAGTTTTAAATTAAAATTTTCTTCCTGTGAAAAACAGTCTGTATATTAAAGAATGATTTGTGTGATAAAAAAAAATCGTGTTGTGTTAATTGATTGTCGTTAGGGATCTTACTCTTAAATATTCGAATATTTATTACGTGTACGTAATTGAAATTTTAAAGGAATCAAAATTATAAGAAAAGAAACTATTTATTTCTAATTTGATAACAATAGTGTTTGGAGAAAAATAAATTTTTTTTTGTTACTCGACTGAAAAAGACAAAAATCGATAATAAAATTTTACTTATCTCTGTATAAAAAAGAGTGTGTCACTTTTATTTGTCGTTAAATTTGAGAGATTTTAATTTACTGAACGATGCGTCTGACAAGTGTGACGCATGTCCACTTCTGAATTTCGGTTCAACATTTTTAATTTCTCTGATTACTTTTCCTGGCTTATATTCAGAGTATGGCTTGATAATCTTTCGAGTTGGTATACATTTAAAAGCTTCTTCCCAACTGTTTGTATTTTTTATGGTTAACATTATCTCTAGACAATGATTTATATTTAAAACTTTATTACTGCCAGAATGAAAGTCCACATAGCTGTCCAGTGGGAATTTTGCTATCTGAATGCCTTCCTCTTTTGCTTTTGCCAATGTTAATGGTTTACTGTGAGCCTGAAAACATTTTAAAGTTCATTTCTTATCTTAAAAATAAATATGCAAACAATTTTATTACATAAAAAAAAGTTCATTTTTTTAAAATAAATTTTTACAGACCTCGGCACAATAGTCATTTTAGTCGATTCAAAATACAAAAAAAAGTATAAAAAGTTGTTCATTTTATTCAGAAAAAATCAAAATTAAAATTGTTCCTTTAAAAAATTTTCTTTTTGAAATTTAATGAAATTTAATTAGGATTTTGAAAATATGAAGATGAAGTTTAGAAATTTCTAACAACTTGAATGTAAGATATTTTTGATTAAATAATTATTGAACTTTCGAGAATCTACCACAAGAACAATCCTAATAATAATTTTAATTCTAAATTTTTTTTAAATTTAATTATTTTACAAATTTTCAATTAGAATATTCTTCAAAAATAAGATTATATTTCAAAATAATTGTTAACAGTAAACAAATAAAATTTATTAAAATATAAAATTTATTTTAATGTGAAATTTGACAAAATTCTTCCACAGGAATTAAAATTTCAAAATATTTCCAATGAAAAGCGTTTAGAAATTGAATTATTTATAGAAATTGCAACTGTAATTCTTCCGAAATTCAACTATCTTTCTTTTGAATTATTAAATAAAATTATTCAAAACGTTCACAATTTTTAAAGAAAAATAATGTAATTAATAATTTTTTTAAATAAAAATTTAAGTATTTTTGTACTTTTGCAAATTTTCAAAGAATTTAATTTAAAAATCTTTTAAAATTTAATTAATTTTTAAACGCTTTAAATATTCAATTATTTTCTAAAATTTTAACCAAATTTTTTTTAATCAATTCTTATAAGAATTTAACGACGAGAATTTAATTATTTAAATAGCATAATTTTTGTAAATTCATAAAATAATGTATTTTCAAAAATCCAATTATATTTATAGATAATTTTTAAAGATAGAAAAATAAAATTCTTTCAAGTATAAAATTCATTGTAATAAAATTTTACAAAATTTCCAATTGTTTTAGTTTTTATAAAATTATTTTCGAGAATTCAAGTATTCCAAAAATTTTAATTACTTTCTTTCAAAAACCTAATTTTTCAGAATTTCTAAATTAAATATTTCAAACTGCAATTATTTTTGTAAAATAATTGTTTAAATACTTATTTTATTGTTCTTTATTTGCTTGAAATTTCGAAATACTTTTAATGTAAAACCATTTGAAAAATTTGTTATGAAAATTAGAACTGCAAGTCTTCAAAATTCAATTATTTTCTACAATTTTTGACTAAACTTCATCTCTAAATCAATTATTTTTAATTTTTTGTAATAATTTTAACTGTAAATGCCCATGTTTTTTTTAAAAATATTTTAATATCAATTATTTTCAATTAAATTAAAATTGAATTAAATTCAAAAATAAGTTGTGATGATTATAGACAATAGTTTCTAACAAATTTTAATGTTATTATTTTTTTAATTCATTCGAATTTTCGTAAATATTTCATTTTAAAATATTAAAAATAATTGAATTTTAAAAAAATTATAATGAAAAAATTCTAAGAATATTGCTTTTTTAAAAAATATTTTATATAATTTTTAGAAGCTAATTTTCATTTTTAAATTTACACATGAAAATTTTCCATTAAAATTTTTGAGAATTAAATTATTTTCAAAATTTGCAATTAAAATTCATCAAAAGTTGATTTCCAAAAATTGTAATAAAAGACTTGAAAAAAAAAATAATTTTCAATTAAATTAAAATTAAATTATTTTGAAATTTGTATTTTTACAAATTTTTGAGGAAATTAAATTTTGAAAGTGCTTTTGAAAATATTACTTACTTTGTCAACAATGCCACCAATAATATAAACTTTATTTGGTATAAAATTGTCCAGAACGTGAGTCGTATGAGGTGTTAAATATATTAAATCTTCTTTGGGAAAAACTTCAAGATATGATTTTGTTGTAATTTGTATAGGATAACCGGGTTCATCCATTGTGGGTATGAAGCTTCTTATTCTTCTTATCAAATCGCCATTTAAATCAACATTACACAAAAGAATATCATAGGGATCAATATTCTCTCGATTTACGGCAAATCCATGCATAAATTGTTTCGCACAACTTGAAATCTCACTGGGCGTCATTTGCGATTCAAATCCAAAGTCTAATACTAATTTTTCTCCAAAAGACATGGCGCTAATTAATTTGGAATTATGAAAGTGAGTCATTTTATTGTTATAGATACGATGAAACATTGTATTGTTATTTAAACCATATCTCAAATGTCCTTCTTTTTCTCGTTCTTCCATTTCCCTTTCCTCCACAGATTTCTTCAGCAGTAAATTTTCTTTTCTCCTTAATTTCGAATTTATCCTCTTTATTTCATTAATCCACAGAAACTCCAAATAGTTTCTATAAAAAAAATTTTTTTACATTAATTTTCGAACAAGTTTAATAACATTTTCAAAAATATTAAAGGAGAAAGAAGCTATCACCATGCTACCGTTTTTTTCTGAGTTCTTTGATAATTTTGAAATTATTAATTAATTTCGAAAATATTTTTCAGATTAAGCAGGTTTCTGTATTCGGGCAGCTGTGCTGTCGATACATATGAAATCCATGAGCTTATAGAGATTTATTTAAGATATTTAATTTGTTTGTAAAAATTTGATTCGCAAAATTGATAGCTTCTTTCTCCTTTAATATTTAACTGCCGAATGATAAATTCACTTTCTATAATTATTTTCAAAAATAATTGCATTTTTCGAAGAATTCATTTAAAATTGTATCAAAAATAATTGAAATAAAATTAGGTAAATAATTTAATTAATGTGAAAACATTATTATTAAAATAATCGACACAAATAATAAACAAAATTAAAAATTTGTAAAAATACAAATTCAATTGTTTCGAAGAAAATTTAAATTCGTATAAGAATAAATTTAAAAATTAAAATTGAACTGAAAATAATTGAATTCGTCAAAAGAGTTTATCGCATTTTTTAAAAATAAATTAATTCTATCAACAAATTTTGTTAAACCTTTTTAAAAATAAATTAATTCTATCAAGAAATTTTGTTAAACTTTTCAAAAATAATTAAATTCTATCAACAAATTTTATTGCAATTATATTGAAAATAATTGAATATCTGCATAGAATTTTATGAGTTTTATCATCACAAGGTACAAGTTCAAATGAACAAAATATTTTATATTAAAAATGTTTTCAAAAATTTTACACTAAAAAATGCAATAAAAATTAAAAACTTAAAATTGTGTTTATTCAGAAACTATAATATTGAAATGATTAAAAAAATTTTTTTTTTATTTTTACGCAAAATTATTGTAATAAAAATTTAATTTGAAGAAGAAATAATTGAATTCTTTTGGTAAAGCAATTATTCAAGTAGTAGATATTGAAAATAATTGAATTTCTACGAAGAATTTTATTAAATTTTTTTGAAAATAATTGAATTGCTACCAAGAATTTCATTGAAATTTTTGAAAATAATTGAATTTTTACGAAGAATTTTATAAAAAAAAGATTTTTTAAATAATTGGTTCTTTGGAAATTTTTTTATTAAACTACTTAGTAGTCATTGAAAATAATAGAATTTTGAAATTTTTTTGAAAATAATAGAATTTTACAATTACTACAATTAAAATATGTCCAAAAAATTGAAATTTGGTAAAATCTTTTAAAAAATAATTGAAATTTGGTAAAATCTTTAAAAAATAATTGAAATTTGATGGAATCTTTTCAAAATATAAGAATCTTAAATAAATAAATAAATAAATAAAAATAATTGTATATTTCGAGAATTTAATTAGAAAAATTATTCAACAATAACTTTTCAAAGATTTGTCGATAGTTATACTTTTCACGCTATAAAAATCGAAATAAGTTGCAGTTTAGACTAAAAATGTGGTATTTTGTTGTAAACTTTGGAAAAAAAGTCGGAAAATTCGCAATTTTTTAATATAAGTCGATAAAAGTAGCATTATTCGAAAGTAGTCGAAAAAGTCGTATCCGAGGCCTGAAGTTTAAAAAAAATAAATTTTTTAAAATATCATAAAAAATCATCATAAAAAAGTTTACGTCAGTAATTTTTTAGTTTTCTATGTGAAATGAATATTAATATTAATATTAATCAATAACAGTTAATTTTTTTATCGTTCAATTAATAATAATAAAAAACTAAATTGTTATTTAAGAAAAAGAACAAACCTTCTGCGATTTTGAGAATGAATGTCTAATATTTGTAACCATTCTGTAGGTCTCAATTGAGAAGGAACTTTCCCTCCACTTTGACGCAATAAATCTATTTCAAGTTCAATAACATTGTAAAACTTTTTCCGTTCAGGATTTGAATTTAATAATTCGTCGAGTTTCTTTTGAGCTTCGTCTTGTATTTGTTTTTGAATTACAACACTTGGATTACTCAGATTAGAATTTTCATTTTCTAAATTGTTGACAGTTTCCGTACAGAAACGCTTTGTTATATTACAGGTAAATGCACTTAATGAAATTTTCGATATTGCAGGAGCAGTCATTAGAAAATTGTTATTATTAACAAAACTCGTTGTACTCAATAAAACACTATTATGTACATGTTTGGATAATGTTGAAAAAAATCGATGTGTGTTTTTAAACATTTTCAATGTGTTTGATAAAAAAAACACAAACAATGAAAAAACTATAAATTATTATTTATTCGTAAAAAACGTAAAAAATGTGAATTTCAACATAATCAGCACTTGGAGGTTAAGTATTTTGTACTATTGATATCTAATGAATATATGTTTATGAATGTATAGTTGTTACTATAAAAAAGTTAAGTAAAATAAAAATTTCTAAATTAAAAATCAATATAACATAAAGGAGTGTTTCATTTACAGAATAAAATTAATAAAAGTCGAATGTTTTTATGATTTTTCGGCTTTTTTCAAAAGCACAACTACAACATGTGGAGATCAGATATGGCTAGGTAAAATTTTTCAAGTGCAGGGAGGGGAAGCGCTTACGAAATTATTGTGTCTTTTCACACCATTCTGTAAAGGTATTTCTGCAATAACTTTAAAAATGCATTTGTTTTGCCTGATTCAAAGTAATTATGCATATTCTGCATATAAATTCAGCTAAAATCATTAAATTCAAAACAAATTCTCGTAAATTTAAGATTGGGATTGATTGGGATGCAGAAATTTAGGATTACTTTGAATCAGAAAACCAAAAGGATTTTCTAATTATTGTGGAAACACCTTTACAGCTTGGTAAATCCAAACGGAGCATAAAGAAGCCAGTGTGAGAAAGTGTGAGATGTCACAAATTTGAGGTTGTGTCGTGTGTTTTGTTTTGTTATCAAAAATTCAAAATTGTTTTGAAGAATGGCATGTCTTATACCAGGTTGTAGTACCAAGTATTGGAACAAAAATAACAAGTTGCAAATGTTTACAGCCGATGGGGTATGCATATGTATAAATATTTATACGAAATAAATAACTTATCATAACCTCAAAATACATATACATAAGATAATTTCACACTAACAAAATTTCTGTAAATTTACAGTTTATGTAAATTAAATTTATTTATGTAAATTAATGTGTCAATTTCATAACTTTTTAACTAAATAATAATTTAAAAACATCAAATAGTAAGTAAGTAAGTATATAGTAAGTAAAAAATAAAAATACAGAAATAATTATGAAAAAAGTTTAGAATTTTCTTACGTTAAATTATTATAAAAAACATTTCTGCAAAAAGTCGTTTACTAATGGGTGTTGTTTAAATATAAATTTTTTACAGATGGAGACATTAATGAAATGGAAAGAAATACTAAAAGACAAATATGGAATTGAAAATTTTAGCCCCAACGATCGCATTTGCATTTTACACTTTGACGAAAGTGCGATTGAGAGAACATACAAAAAGTACTTTAAAGGTGGTTCATTCGAAGAAATGGAAATGAAGAAACCTAAATTATGCTATGGAGCTTGTCCAACAATTTTTCCAAGTCAAATTACAAAAGGAAAAGCAGATTATGCTGTAAAAATTGTAGATCAAGAAATTTTAAATGAACAAAGAAGAATTTTTGCAGAAAGAAGAAAGGAGAAATTAATGAAAGAAAAGAGAAAACTTGAAAGTGAATCTACTATTCTGGAAGAAGCAATAGTGAAAAAGAGAATGAAAGTTAATAATCTCTATAAAAAAGTCGTCAAGTGTATTGTTAATGGAATTAAACCATTTCGAAATTCAAGAAAGTCTTGGATTCCGTCAATTGATTCCGAAAATTGTATCGTTTGGTCTCTGTGGAACGAAGATAGATCCTGTTTGCTTAAGAATATAATTCTTTATCCAGATTTAAAAGTAAAAGTATGTATACAATATTCACTTGTGAATCATTCGAAATTTTAACTAATTTGAATCATTGACTGATTTTTTGCTTTCAAATCAGTTAAAATTTAAAGAGTAGTATCAATTACTGTGAAATTCTAAACAATTTGAACATTAAATAGAAAAAGAAAATTTTCTTTTTAAAAAATTATAATATTAATAAATTTCTTTAAGAAGTCTTAATCAAAGTCGAAACTTGTAGCAATTTATACAATTTTCGTAATAAACGAACATCTTTAACCGTAAAAGGCCTCTAAATACTATTTATCAAATTATAATATTCTTTAAATAATTCATCTTTATAATTATATCGAGTAAAATTAAAAATAACTATTTTTATTTATTTATATTTATTTTAAAATATAGTTAAAAATTTAATTAATAAATAATAAATAATATTTTTTCCTAAGTCCCAGTAATTGGTACAGTTAGAAATAAAAAATTGAAATGTTTTCAATTATGATAATATTTAAATTATTTCTATTTTTATTTTAGGTGCTAATAGAGTCAAAGGAAGTCATTCTACCGGAAACAAAGAATATTATTGAGATTGATGATCTTGATAATTTGTTTAACAAAGTTGAACGCTTAACACGTTATAGAAAAGTGAACGACAATACTATAAGTGGTCAAAATTTTTCACATTATAGCCATAATGACTGCAGTAGCTTTGTTGTGCTAAGGCAAAGTCCTACGAATCCTGAAGACCACGAACAACATTAAAATAAAAATACTCGTTGAAACGAAATGTACAAATCTGAAAATTTATGAATCCACGCAAATGTAAAAAGATGTAAAAGTAAAAGCGAAATTTTAAATTTCTTTTGTTTCATCCAATGTATATATAATATTAAAAAAAAATTGTCTAGCATCAAATTATATTTTTATGCGTTTCTGGAACATTAAATCTTCAAATATTAAATTAATATAATTATAATTATAATTAATATAATTTTGAAGTCTTAGTTTTCTTAAATTTTTGTAAAAAAGTACAATTTTAAATACTTTATACTTTTTTGTTTGTTAAGTATTTATTAAAATCATGTAGTTTAATTTCAAGCTACTTCTAAGTTTATATAGTGTAATAGATACTTTGAAAATAAAAAAATATTAATGTAATACAGTTTTTAAAATATTTTATGACAAAAACTGTATTAAAATAATAACTAGATGTACACTATATTAATATAAGAACAAATGACATTTGTATTAACAGAATAAATATATTTTGAAAATATATATATATTTTATTTTTATATTTAATATATATTATATTTTATATTTAAACACCCAATTATCCTGCAATTCTAGTCTTTCAAAAATAAATTGTCGCCTTCAAAATTGCCAATCTTTCCTTAATTTTCGTCGGATCATTTTTTGGAAAAATTTAATATTATCAAGTAATGCAAAAGTCAATATTTTACTCTTAAAGTGTCTCTATTGACCTTTTACCAGCCCGATGTCTCATTTACAAATGAAAAGACTTTCAACAAACCACTTTTTGGCGAAGATATTTCACGGATGCCCTCAAGAAAAAATAATCAAAAATTTTTAATTCTAAAACAATGTTTTAATATCTCATATATACAAGTAAGTACACAAAATATAATGGAAAGTGTACAAAAATAGAAGAACTAAAATCGTTGCAAAAGATGCAACAAATTGACAACAAGAAGTATTTTTTAAAAACTTTTTAGTCTAATTTAAGTAAAAAATGTAAAAGCTAACAGTGTGAGACATAATATTATAGTGCAACTGCATATTCTTTGGTTCATCGTTGATTTATCACTTTTTTTATAGTGTGAAAATTAAGAAAATGCTGATGATAATTTTCGAAGATCGCTCATTGAAAGATATTGCAAAATTTCAGCAATATCAAATAATGACAATTGAATTTTAAAATTTCGTTTAATATAATAAAACAAACAATTCATGGACATGTCCATCAAATCAATTTTCCGCTTTGCTTTCTCAATACGTAACTTTAAAAATTTTGCATACGTGGGAAATTTATCATACGATAATTCGATGGTATTTAATATTCTTTTATCTTTTATGCAATTGACTAATTTATCACTAGACTTAACGAGAATATCGTAAATAGTCAAATTTACTTCATCGATAACATTTGTTCTTTGCATACTTATTATCTGCTGATAACAATCATGGTGAAGTTTACCAAACTCTGATGTATCTTCTTTTAAAAGAAAATATTCATTTAGTGCCTGGGCACCAGGTGGAAACAATTCTAGACGAGCAGTTATCAATTTCAATACTTCTAAGCCATTCTTTCCTAAGGCATACAAACTTTCCTCGTCCTGCATTGCTAAAATGTCAAGAAGTTTTAGAACGTCATCTATTTCATTGATTATAAATGAATCATTCCAATTATTTCCAGAGAAATAAAATTCTTCTGGGAGAAATTTAGAATCGTAGTAGTCGATAATAATTTCAAGAATACTTGCATTATTGTACCAATGACTTAAGTATAAATTTATAACATCTTGAAGTAATTTGTTGTCCAAATAATTAAACAAGCATCTAATAATTTCAGAACGAAATTCCTTATTTCTATTTTTCTCGATATTCAGGTTATATTCATTGTCAGTGATCGAACTTTCTCCATCCTTTCGAGAAACTTTTAAATTCATGACACTTTTCAATAATGTTTCAACGACGAACATTGATTTATGATCGAGATCTCCGGCAATTAATAACAACTCTGTTATTTTTATTATATTTTGAAACATTGAAGGTGTAATTGTTTTCCTCTTGCTTAGTACATGTGTCAGTGATGGAATCTCACTTCTTTTAGAGAACCTAGCACCAGAGGCCACGAGATATTTAATCATATTTAAATTTTCCATAACTGCTGCAAAATCCAATGGGCGATGGAGAGCTCTTGTTTCTGAATTAATCCTCGCACCGTACTTCAGAAGAATTTCCACCAAACGTGTGTGTTCGAATGTGGCTGCAATATGAAGAGGAGATAATTTGTCCCTAAAACAACTTTCAACTGAACAGCCTGCTTCTAGGAGAATCGTTAACATTTCCTCGTTCCCGTTTTCAACGGCGATGTAAACTGCGAATTGTCCCAATTCACCTGATAAAGAATTTACTTTCATATTTTTGAGAATTTCTTGTACGTTTTCAATGTTGTTGGCTCGCACAGCGGAATGAAGTTCAGTCTCCTTGGAGCACAATACAGCATCAATTTTCGAATAGCAGGTTATTAGGTACTTCCAAAGTTCATACTCTTGCCTGTCTAATGCCAAATAAAGTGGAGTCTCTGTATGATCCGTAACAAGTTTTACACCGTGATCAAGTAGAAATTTCAAGACATTTATATGTTCATCAGTTTTACAGAGGCCGATGAGGGGAATATCCTCATTTATTATTGATCCACTTTCAAACAAATATTTCACTATACCTAAACGATGTTTGCTTACTGCCACACCTAGGGGTGTTTTGTCTGTTAAATTTTTCACATCAATTTTGTCAAAACCATTAGACATTAATAATTTGACCATTTCTAAATTACCACGTTTAGCGGCAAAATGAAGGGCAGTCATTCTTTTATGGACATCTTTTTGTTCTTCCCGAAACTCATCAATTTCATCCATCTTGGCGCCGTACTTCAGAAGCAGTTCAACAAGTCGGATATTATTAAGACTGGCAGCAAGATCAATTGGTTTCAAGCGAGTCATATCATCTAGTACATTCACCATAGTTCCTTGTTTCAAAAGTCTCTCGACAATTTGAATGTTCTGCGTTTTTATCGCGACGTGAAGTGTTGTTTCTCCGTCTGTTCTTGGAATATCAATACGTGCTCCATTCTCCAAAAGAAACTCGGCTACATCGACTTTATTTTGCTGTAAAGCTACATAAAAAGGTGTTCTTCCCTTGAAATCCACGACATTAATTTCTGCTCCATTTTTTATCAACAAATCGACAATCTGCAGGTGACCTCGTGCTGCTGCCACATGCAACATTCTTTTGTTGTGCACACTATCTTCTAAATTATTTTCATTTAGCAGAGTACGAACACCATTCAAATCACCATTGTGAACGGCAAGAAAAATAGGTGTGTAATCGTCAGTATTATAGTAATTCTCAAAATCCTCATATTCGTCACTGTAATCATAAAAATAACTTTCACTGCAGGAATCATCATTTTCATCGTTCGACGTCATTCTGTTAATATTTCACGCAATGATAAAAAAAAATTACAATACGTAATATAAAATTCTTTCGTTGATTACCTGAAACAAATAAAATGAAATACTATAAAAAATATTGGAATATTCTTTAGTCGTTATTGATAATTTTCAAATAAAATATCAAGTTACAAATATTTGATATGGTTTCTAAGAAGAGAAAATTTCTTCAAGGGTTTTAATCAATTGGTTTTAATAATGGTTGATTTCTTCTGTAAGGGTTTGTTGAACTAAAAACGATCTAGACCAATAAAATCTATAGGGATCGTAAAAAATTCTACAAAAAAGATAAATTTTCAGGCGTGTAAAGTTGTATGAGCCTTTAAGTTCAATCATTGTTTTCTCAAAAAAATGTTTTCGCACGTAAGTCCCTTTTTCTAGACCAGGTCATCGCAAATGTATAGAAAAGAATAGATTTTTAGAGATACACCTTAAATTTCTTGATTTCAGCATTTTCAGAGAATAAATTTGTTTAATTTGAATGAAACAAATCTTTTATAATTTTTTCTACTTAACAGCAATATTTACAAATGTATAGAAACTTGATTTTACAAAAAAAGAATTTCTTTTCTAACGATTATATATCCTGTAGTACCCATTTTTTCCCAATATCATATCGTGAGTGTTTAGATTAAATTAAATAAAAATTTGAAATTTTAGAATGCATACCCAATCATCTTGCAATTGTAGATTCTCCAAAATAAATTACCGCTTCTAAAATGTACAACACGGAAGATTCATCTATTGACTTGTAAACTCAATCTAAAACAAAATTGGTAAAAATTGGTATTATTTTTTTCTGTAATTTTACAGTATTTATGAACGTTCGATGGTCTCTGAAATTTGTAGGTTATGTGCGACTTACAGTTATCGCCCAAAAAAAACGGCACTGCCTGTTTGAAATGACGTGAAATTAGTAAATAACCGTTTTCGAACGAGTTTTTCTTTGCACACAGGCACTTTTTACAAAATCTGACAACGTACATTTGTCACAAATGTTTTTAATTGTCTGAATTCAAAAGATTTTGTTAATCCATGCAGAAAAGCGGTTGCAGGATTGGAATTACAAAAGTAATGTAATGACAGGCGGCAAGACGTGAGTTACAGCCATTTTGCCAGTAGAGGGCAGAAGCATGCAGGGAGCGCAAAGGCTCAGCTGTCAAAATGATTCGCATTAAATTGCTACTGTAATTCCAATGCTGCAACCGTGTTTCTGTATAGATTAACAAGATCTTTTCAATTCAGACAATTAAAAACATTTGTGACAAATGAACGTTGTCATATTTTATAAAAAGTGCCTGTGAACAGAGGGAAATTTATTAGAAAATGAATGTTTACCAATTTCACGTCATTTAAACCGGTCAGTGCCGTATTTGTTGGGTGATAACTGTTAGTCGCACATTATCGAGAAATTTAAGAGACCATCGAACACTGTTATATGGAATTTTTATAGAAACAAATGTCTGCTAGATGAAAAAACGTTAAAAAACAAAAACAAAAAAATAATAACAAATACAACAAAAACAAATAGAATTCTACTAAAAAAATAGTCACAAAACGAATGAAATTTTGTCAGAATTTCTGACGTTTCTAGACTTATTGTTACGATTGCAGTCTCAAGACGTCACTATAATTCTAGTGTAATAAAAAAGCATCAAAAGTAGTCATGTCTTTTTTGAGGTTCGCCGTACTTCTTTTTCTTGATTTATGATCAATTCTCATAAAATCCAGGGAAAAATACTATTGTTTAGAACTGTTAAAAAAAATTTTTTTCAGCGCAATTACACTAAAAAAATTTTAAAGTACAATTTTGAAATTGCAAACATTTGGGGATTGTTATTGACCTTTTTGTTAAGGAGGAATGGTATAGAAATTCAAAACATTCAGAATCTTTTGATATTTTGGGAAATGATTTGCTTTTATATAATAAAGTTACCCACCAAATTTCAGAATTTTTCACTAAATAGTTTACAAGTTAAAAATTATTTAATTTAACATTACCTCTTATGGGGAAAGCACGAATTTGCATGTTTATCATTAAAAATTTAATACTTAAAACATTCAGAATTTTTTGTAAAAATTGTATCTTGAAGATCAAGATTTAAGCTTTATTAATCACAAAGGTTCTTTTTTATTCACTAATTAGTTTAAAAGTAATTAATTAGTTTCTGGAAGAAAACTAATTTTATGACAGACAAACAGAGAAAACGTGGCAACACTGCATATAAAAACTCACATGTGACAGCTGTTTAGTGGTACATAGAACCAAGAGATGGCGCCAAAGGTACCAAAAATGACAAATTTTCATTATTTTTAACCACATAAATGCAAATCATAACACTTGACACTGTTACCAACGATCAAAAAACAAACTACTTGCATTGCGAGGTTGTCACGATTAAACGCTCATTACAAATTGTTATTTGACAATGTTTATAATTAATAACATTAATATTACAGCATAATAAGACACATATATACGTAATAATAGCATTTTTTCAAAGTTTGCAATGGAATACTCGATAAATCCGAAAATAATTTTTAGAAAATTTCAGTAACTTTTATTTTCTTAGGTTTTAAATTCGTACAGACAGTAACAAAAATTATTTTCTGCTTTTATAAAAAAAATTAATTTGATTAATTTATTATCTTTTCCTTATTTAATATATACTTTTTAATATTCATTGATGTCTACTTTTATGATTTCAATAAGAAAAACTGCTTTATGTAGCTTAAATAACAAAATTACAAATTCCCCTAAGTGTCACAAACTTTTGGCCCGATTAGGTATACCATTCCTCCTTAGGGTGGAGTCCCATGGTAGCGTTTTGCGTTGCGTTTTGTAACTAGGCCATGAGTGTGAGAGAGATACAGATATAGGTTTGCTCTATTTGCACTCATTGCCTAGTTACAAAACGCAACGCAAAACGCTACCATGGGACTCCAGCCTTAATCACAGATAGTTAACCTAAACCACACTTGAAATTTTGTCTTACAAAAGAAAATTATTAATACATGATGTAATAGATATTTGAAAATCCGAAAAAGAATTTACCGTTTTTTTCCTTAAATAAACGTGATAAACATTGTAAAACAATTTACATGTTGTTAAATTAAAATGAAATTAATAAATTTACAATATTTTTTGTACATACCTGGAATTTTCGTTTCGACAGTTTAAAGGTGCATTCAGTCAAAATCGCCTTCACACGAATGTGTAAAGGTGTTTCTGCAATAGCTTGAAAATGCATTTGTTTTGTCTGATTTAAAATAATTTACAATTCTGTGTACAAATTTAATTTATATCATTAGAAATAGAAAGAAAGCAAATTCTTTTAAACTTGAATGCAGAATGTGTAATTACTTTGAGGGAGCATTTATACCTTCGGTAAAAATGTTCAGAACGGGAAATTTTTCATTGGAGTAAGAGAGACAGACTGTGTATCTGACTCTCTTACTCCAATGCAAATTTTCCTTTCTGGACAATTTTTACAGAAGGTGTAAACGCTCCATGAATCGGACGAAACAAAAGCATTTTCAAACTATTGCAGAAATACTTTTATTGCTTCTCTAAACATTAAGGCCTGAGCACAATTGCTGCACGAACGCAAAGCAAAAGGTAGAAAAGGACATAGATATATTTATGTCCTTTTCAATCTCATAAATCTCGTTCGCCAACCTATTGTGCGTTGTACTTTACGATTGAGATTGCATTTCGAATTTCGATCCCTATTCGGGAAATTTCCGTTTTGTGTAATTCTCTGGAGTTTCTACATATTTGGCTTATGAACAATTTCGGGTAAATTTACTGTATTATATTATTATAAAATCAATTAACAATAATTAAACTTGTTTAAATTATTATATCCTAATGGATAATAATTATCATTTTTAATCTAACATCAATTTATGCGAATCGATTTTTGTAGAATTATAATTTTACAGAACAATAATATACATTATTTATTACCTTACTATTTTCTTTAAATTTCGGCATATAGAAATGTAAGTTATAAAATTAGCACACCAAAGAGAAATAGCTCATCAATTTTAAGTCAAATTGATTAGAGTCAAACTTGTCGGAATACAATGCAACAGTCTGGATTTCTGCGGGTTTCAGTGTACTCGAATTGACGAAAATGTGTCCCTTATTTTGACGTTAATTTAACGATAGTATTTTTCAATACTAAATTAACTTTTTTAAGATAATTTTTAATAAATTTTTTATTTGAAGGGTTTTTATTAAAACTTTCGATAATTTAATTATTTTTAAAACTTACAATTAAAATTCTTCATCCTTTGATTTTCAAAAACTGTCATAAAATACTTTAACGAAGACCAGTAGATGAGTGAATAATAGTTAAAGTAATTGCTTTCTACATAGTTAAAAAACAAAATTTAATTTATAAAAAATGTTTTTATTTTGACGAAATTTCGGCAAATTATGTTCTTATATTAAAGCATAAAGGTGCATACGCGGCTCTGTGGCTCTTATAAATAAAACATAAAACTTCTACCATGATTAGTTTACAATGAAACTAGCACGAAATATTAAATAATTTAATAGTGTTTAACTTAATCTTACATATAACAGCGCAAGTACAATAATATAATAGACAATACAAAAATATAATGGGAAGTACAAAACTTGTTGCAGTAGATGCAACAAATTGATAACAAGAAGCATCTTTTAAAAATATTTCTGTCTAATTGACCTAAAAAACGTAGAAACTGTAACTGTGATAATCTTATAATGAAATTTCAAATTGTTTTCATCGTTGATTAATATTTACCACTTTATTTTATAGTCTAAAAATTTAGAAAAAACTGCTGACAACTTTCCAAGATCGCTCATTGAAAGATATTGTAAAATTTCTTCTACATCAGTGGTTGAAAATTGAATTTTATAATTCCTTTCAATGTAAACATACAAACAACTCGTGGATAAGTCAATTAACTCAATTCTACGCTTTACTTTCTCAGTACACAACTTTACAAATTTTTTATACGCGGGGAATTTATCGCACGATACTTCATTGGTATTTAATAATTTCACATCTCTTACGCAACTCGCAATTTCCTCAGTAGACTTTACTAGAATATCGTAAAAAGTGAAATTTAATTTATCGCTAACTTTTGTTTTTTGCATAATTATTATCTGCTGTCGAAATTCATTTTGAAATTTGCCAATTTTTGCTTTATATTCCCTAGAAGGGAAATATTCAATTATTCTTTCGCAACTGGGATTTAACAGTTCCAGACGTGCAATTACCAACTTTAAAAGTTCATCATCATTTGCTGTCAATTCACCAAAAGATAAATTCTTTCGTGTAATATTCAAAAGCGTGTAAACGTACTTTGTTTCGTTAACTACAAATAAATCATTCCAATCACTTCCACTAAATATTAGATTGTCTAAAATGAAATTGGAATCGTAGTAGTCGATAACAAATTCACAAATATTTAAATTAGAACATAATGCATAATTTAGAACTTCTTCAAGTTTTTTTTTATTTAAATAATTAAGCAAGCATCTAGCAATTTCAGGACGATATTCCCATTTCTCTTCCTCACTATTCACAATCTCTTTATTGTCACAAATCGAAGTTTGTTCATCCTCGCTAAAAACTCTTATAATATTAGCAAATGACAACAAAAAACCAACATGCATTTCACTTTTATGCTCGAGATCTCCGGCAATCAATAACAACTCTGTCATTTTTAATAGATTTTGAAACATTGAACGTGTAATTGTTTCTGAAACTCTACTTTCGTCTAATAAATACCCTAGTGATGAAAAGTATTTCTTTTTTCTAATGAGATTACCACCAGAGTTTATAAGAAATTTAATCATATTTAAATTTCCCATAACTGCTGCGAAATCGAATGGGCGATGAAATGCTCTTGTTTCTGAATTAATCCTCGCACCGTGTTTCAGAAGAATTTCCACTAAACGTGTGTGTTCGAATGTGGCTGCAATATGAAGAGGAGATAATTTGTCCCTAAAACAACTTTCAACTGAACAGCCTGCTTCTAGGAGAATCGTTAGCATTTCCTCGTTTCCGTTTTCAACGGCGATGTAAACTGCGAATTGTCCCGATTCACCAGATAAAGAATTTACTTTCATTTTTTTGAGAATTTCTTGTACCTTTTCAATGTCGTTAGCGCGCACAGCGGAATGAAGTTCAGTCTCCTTGGAGCATAATACAGCATCAATTTTCGAATAACAAGTTAATAGGTACTTCCAAAGTTTAAATTGGTGCATGTCTAATGCGAAATAAAGTGGAGTTTTTGTGTGATCCGTAACAAGTTTTACACCGTGTTCAAGCAGAAATTTTAAGACATGTATATGTTCATCAGTTCTACAGAGGTCGATGAGAGGAATATCCTCATTTATTTTTGATCCACTTTCAAACATGTATTTCACAATACCTAAACGATGTTTGCTTATGGCTACACCTAGAGGTGTTTCATCGTTTAAATTTCGCACATCAATTTTGTCAAAGCCATTCGACATTAATAATTTGACCATTTCTAAATTGCCAAGTTCAGCGGCATAATGAAGGGCTGTCAATCTTTTATGATCATCTTTTTGTTCCTCGCGAAACTTACCACTTTCATCCATCTTGGCGCCGTACTTCAGAAGCAGTTCAACAAGTCGGATATTATTAAGACTGGCAGCAAGATCAATTGGTTTCAAGCGAGTCATATCATCTAGTACATTGACCATAGCTCCCTGTTTCAAAAGTCTCTCGACAATTTGAATGTTCTGCATTTTTATCGCCACATGAAGTGTTGTTCTTCCGCCCTCTCTTGGAATATCAATACGTGCTCCATTTTCCAATAGAAATTCGGCTACTTCGACTTTATTTTGCTGTAAAGCTACATAAAAAGGTGTTCTTCCCTTGACGTCCTCGACATTAAGTTTAGCTCCGTTTTTTATCAATAAATCGACAATCTGTAGATGACCTCGTGCTGCTGCCACATGCAACAATCTTTTGTCATGCACATGTTTTTCTAAATTTTTTTTATTTAGTAGAGTATTAACACGATTCAAATCACTATTGTGAACGGCAAGAAAAAGAGGTGTGTAATCTTCAGTACTATAGTAATTCTCAAAATCCTCATATTTTTCACTGGGATCATTTTTATTGTTCGATGACATTCCGTAAATTTTTCGCGAAGTGATAAAAAAAATTCAATACGTATTAGAAAGATATAATGAGCAGAAAAATTGATGAACTACAATTTCGAAAATAATTCTTTCGTTGATTACCTGCAACAAATAAAATTAAATAATATAAATATTTTTATCTATATTGTTAATTATTATTAAAGAGAATGAACAAAAAACGTGAAATTATTCATCCATGCGAACTAATTAAAAACTATCTTTCGGTTCAGTTATTTATATGGGAAAATCTTACGACGAAATGGACACTCTTTTAAGGAACAGTACATAATATTAATATTAATTACAGAGTCCTAAAACTAAGGTAACCAACATAATAAAAATACAAATAATAACTAAGACTAAGACATCTTATGTGTTTCAAATATGGAGACAAAACGTCTCAAAATAAGACACTTGTTTTTGCAGTGTATTCTTTAGTGGTTATTGATAATTTTCAAATAAAATATCAAGTTACAAAGATTTGATGTGGTCTCTAAAAAGAGAAAATGTTTTCCTTTTCAAGGGTTTTAATTAATTGGTTTTAAGGTGTTTAGTTCCAGGAGGCTAGTCAAAAGTAAAATTTTTTTTTCTAAAAGTTCAAAAAAGAAATAAATATTATAATATAAAATAAAAAATCACATTTTTAAATATTATTTTTTAAGTTACGATGTATAAATTTGTAAATAATAGAAAATTAAATAAAAAATAGTAATGTTTTGATGAACGTAGTGTTTTGTAGTTAGAGACGTGGCAACACTGCAGTCACTGCATGTACGTACAGCTGATGTTAATTTGTAAACTTGATTTTATTTTCGTGATGATTTGTGATTATAATCAATATTTTAATGCAACTACGTGTAAATATTAGTAAGACAAAATGGAAAATCAATTGCCATTTAAGAACGTTCGATGGTCTTTGAATTTTGTAGGTTATGTGCGACTTACAGTTATCGCCCAAGATAAACGGCACTGACTGTTTGAAATGACGTGAAATTGGTAAACATTCATTTTCTAACAAATTTCCCTCTGTTCACAGGCACTTTTTACAAAATATGACAATGTACATTTGTCACAAATGTTTTTAACTGTCTGAATTCAAAAGATTTTGTTAATCCATGCAGAAGCGCGGTTTCAGGATTGGAATTACAAAAGTAATGTAATGACAGGCGGCAAGACGTGAGTTACAGCCATTTTGCCAGTAGAGGGCAGAAGCATGCAGGGAGCGCAAAGGCTCAGCTGTCAAAATGATTCGCATTAAGATTAAATTGCTACTGTAATTCCAATGCTGCAACCGCTGCAACCGTGTTTCTGTATAGATTAACAAGATCTTTTCAATTCAGACAATTAAAAACATTTGTGACAAATGAACGTTGTCATATTTTATAAAAAGTGCCTGTGAACAGAGGGAAATTTATTAGAAAATGAATGTTTACCAATTTCACGTCATTTAAACCGGTCAGTGCCGTATTTGTTGGGTGACAACTGTTAGTCGCACATTATCGAGAAATTTAAGAGTAAATATTTCTTTCTGCATTTATATTTATTATTAATACTTATTTCATATTTAAATACAAAATTTGAAAATTAGTTAAATAATTAAAAATAATATTTATTTAATAATAACAGTAATAATAATAATAATTTAATTTGAAATTAAAATTTAATTTTTCAAGGTAATGTCAATTTAGTATTTAATTTATACGCATATAGTTTACTTCCAATTAAAAGAAAAGTTCATGAATTGTTTCAAAAAAGTAAATAAGTATTACGAAAATTTATTCATGGATTTTTTTGGACAAAGATGAATAAAGCAAATTTTTTCTAAATACTTGAACTGGTTTGAATTTTCGCGTACTCTATTTCCTCCGCGGCAGTTGCAACGTTGCCACATTCTCCATATCAAACGAAATGACAAAAATTTTTTATTTAACTATATTTTTTGGAATAAAAATACTCTGTAACTAAACGATAAATTGTACAGTGTTTTAAGTATTCTTATCTTTGAATATTAAATTAGTTTTGTTTTAATTTTGAGATGAATCCTTATTGTGCATCAAAAGTTATAAAGTGATATATATCAAATAGTCAGTTTTTCGTTCGCGGCGTCCATTAGCTAAATGCAAACATTGAGAAAAATACTAAATTTTGGACGACAATATCTCGAGAACCGTACGATAAAAAAATCTCAGATTCAACAATAATGTGCATTAATAGGTTAATTAATTTTGCTCAAGTTTTCAAGTAATTCTCTATTATCATTGATTTTGAACTAACCACCTTAATAATGGTTGGCTTCTTCTGTAAGGGTTTGTTGAACTAAAAACGATCTAGACCAATAAAATCTATAGGGATTGTAAAAAATTCTACAAAAAAAATAAATTTTCAGGCGTGAAAAGCGGTATGAGCCTTTAAGTTCAATCATTGTTTTCTCAAAAACTTGTTTTCGCACGTAAGTCCCTTTTACTAGACCAGGTCATCGCAAATGTATAGAAAAGAATAGATTTTTAGAGATACACCTTAAATTTCTTGATTGCAGCATTTTCAGGGAATAAATTTGTTTAATTTGAATGAAACAAATCTTTTATAGTTTTTTCTACTTAACAGCAATATTTACAAATGTGTATAGAAACTTAATTTAAAAAAAAGGAATTTCTATTCTAATGATTATATATCCTATAGTACCCATTTTTTTCCAATATCATATCATGAGATTTACCCACTTATGTATAAAAATTAGCGATGTCCGATTTTACGTAAATCTTAATGCGAGTTTTTAGATTAAATTAAATAAAAATTGAAGTTTTAGAATACATACCCAATTATCTTGCAATTGTACAGACTTTTCCAAATTAATTGTCGCCTTCAAAGTGTACAACACGGAGGATTCATCTATAGACTTGTAAACTCCATCTAAAACAAAATTGATAAAATTGGTATTATTTTTTCCTGTAATTGTAGTTTTTAAATGGAATTTTTAAATAGAAACAGATGACTGCTAGATGAAAATAAATTATTCGCGAGAGTACTAAGAGAAAACGTATCTCACAAAAACAAATAAAATTCTACTAAAAAAACTTAATTTTCATGAACTTAATACCATTCTTGAGCTTTTTTCACGTATACAATATACACAAAAAAGTGAACCGCTGTATAAAATGTAGTGACTTAGTCAGACTTAGCCGAAACGTGTAAAATTACGATAATCAGCGAATGTAAATTCCCTCTTGTATAATTAATACTTTTAATTAATGTTTCAGTTTCAGAATTTCTCCTAAATTTACTGTACTTTCAAGTTTCAAAGTATAAGCAATTAATTGAAAGTTATTTTATAAAAAGTTGTAAAACTGAAGCATTGAAAGTATTAATTTTTCAAGAAGAAATTGAATTTCGCAGATTTTAAAAAAGATAAAAAATTTTAAGTCTCTAGAACATTTCATAATAAAAATATAAATAAACAGGAAATTGTTTTATGCAGCGCAATTAAATTTTAAAGATTTTAAAGTACAATTTTGAAATTAGCAACAATTTCAGAATTTTGATTGACCTTTTTGACAATCACAAATAGTTAACCTAAAATACACTTGGAACTTTCTCTTACAATAGGAAATTATTATTACTTGATGTAATATATATTTGAAAATCAGAAAAGAATTGTTTTTTTCCTTCAATAAATATGATAAACATTGTAAAACAATTTACATGTTGTTAAATTAAAATGAAATTAATAAATTTACAATATTTTTTGTACCTGAAATCGTTTTCGTTTCGACAGTTTAAAGGTGCATTCAGTCAAAATCGCCTTCACACAAAGGTGTAAAGGTGTTTCTGCAATAGCTTGGAAATGCATTTGTTTTGTCTGATTTAAAATAATTGACAATTCTGTGTACAAATTTAATTAATATCATTAGAAAGAAAGCAAATTCTTTTAAACTTGAATGCAGAATATGTAATTACTTTGAATCAGACAAAATAAAAGCATTTTCAATCTATTGCAGAAATACTTTTATTGCTTGGTGTAAAGGCTTCTCTAACCATTAAGGTCTGAGCACAATTGATACACGAACGCAAAGCATAAGGTAGAAAAGGACATATGTGGACGTCCACATGAAAAGGGCCCATTTTGGCACTACTGAAGTTATCTATATGGGCGTATTCCTGGCAAAATTTGGAAAATTTTGAGTGGTCTTAGAACTTTTTTGGTTAAAAATTCGCTGAGTTACGGAATTTCAAAGTTTAGAACGCCAAAAACCTCATTTCGAGAAAAACGGAATTAAAGATTGCGATACCAACTAATTGTTGTATCTCTGGTTCCTCTGGAAAGTTATTCAGATAAGAATTGTTTACATTCCAGGGTACCTAAAAGATGAAAAACCAATAAGTTTTTAATTTTTAAAACCTTCCCCCCTCTTAATTTTGAAAAATTTCGTACTTAAGTACGAGAAACCGACAATATGGGCCCTTTTCTAAAAAGGACAGTTTTTCTATTAAAAAACCATTTTTTTACAGGATTAATGATTAGGTACAATTTTATTGTGTCATTTGAAGAAAAAGAATAGATATTAAACTTATTTAAAAATTTTTGACAGTCTCTATTATGAAAAAATTGACGAAATATACAAATTTTCATTTCGATAATTACGAAAAAAAGACTCTAACATCAATATCTCTGGTTCTTCTGAGAAGTTATTCAGATAAGAATTGTTTACAGTCCAGGACACCTTAGAGATGAAAAATCAAGAGGTTTTAAATTTTTCTATACCTCCATTTTTAAAATACGGATTACTTTTGCAAATGACCGACAAAATGGGCCTTTTCATTTTTCTAAAGAACCAATGAAATCAAACAGTTAAATTATCGATAAATTAATGAAAACCGCATGATTCGACTTGCCAAAACATATAGATTGATAATAAAAAATAAAAAAAAAATTAAGAATTTGCTCAAAAATTACTAAATTGCGATTATCTCGAAAACTAGAACCGACAATATGGGCCCTTTTCATGTGGACGTCCACATATATATATTTATGTCCTTTTCTATATCATGAATATCGTTTGCGAATCTATTGTGCGTTGGACTTTACGCTTGAGATTGCATTTCGAATTTCGATCCCGATTCGGGAAATTTCCGTTTTGTGTAATTCTCTGGAGTTTCTACATACATATTTGGCTTATAAACAATTTCTTTATACGAAAAAAGAGGTGGAAAAAGGAATGATTTTCTGGTAATTTTAGTGTTTTATAAAATCAATTAACAATAATTAAACTTGTTTATATTTTTATATCCTAATGAATAATAATTATCCTTTTTTAATCGAACATCAACATACGCGAATTGTTTTTTTTTTTTGTAGAATTATAATTTTACAGAATAATAATATATATTATTTATTACCTTACTATTTTCTTTAAATTTCGGCATATAGAAATGTTTCAGTGTGCTCGAATTGACAAAAATGTGTCCCATATTTTGACGTTACTTTAACGATAGTATTTTTCAACACTAAATTAACTTTTTCAAGATAATTTTTAATAAATTTTTCATTTTCGAATTTTTATTAAAACTTTCGATAATTTAATTATTTTTAGAACTAACAATTGAAATTCTTCAAACTTTGATTTTCAAAAACTGTCATGAAATATTTTAACCAAGACCAGTAGATGAGTAAATAATAGTTAAGGTAAATTGCTTTCTAGTTAAAGAACAAAATCTAATTTATAAAAAATGTTTTTATTTTGACGAAGTTTCGACAAATTATGTTCTCATATTAAAGCATATAAAGGTGCATACGCGGCTCTGTAGCTGTTTATATAAATAAAACATAAAGGTACTTCTACCATGATTAGTTGACAATGAAACTAGCGCGAAATATTAAATAATTTATTCTTGCTTAACTTTAACTTACCTATAACAGCGCAAGTACAAAAATATAATAGACAATACAAAAATATAATCGGAAGTACAAAACTTGTTGCAGTAGATGCAACAAATTGATAACAAGAAGCATCTTTTAAAACTATTTCAGTCTAATTGAACTAAAAAGCATAGAAACTGTGACTGAGATACTATTATAATAAAATTTCAAATTTTTTCCATCGTTGATTAAAATTTACCACTTTATTTTATAGTCTAAAAATTTAGAAAAAACTGCTGACAACTTTCCAAGATCGCTCATTGAAAGATATTGTAAAATTTCTTCTACATCAGCTGTTGAAATTTTAATTTTATAATTCCTTTGAATGTAATGATACAAACAATTCGTGGATATGTCAATAAACTCAATTCTACGCTTTACTTTCTCAGTACACAACTTTACAAATTTTTTATACGCTGGAAATTTATTATACGATACTTTATTGGTATTTAATAATTTTACATTCCTTACGCAACTAGCAATTTCCTCAGTAGACTTTACTAGAATATCGTGAAAAGTGAAATTTAATTTATCGCTAAATTTTGTTTTTTGCATAACTAATATCTGCTCTTGACATTCATTTTGAAATTTTCGAATTTTTGTTTTATCTTCACTTGATGGAAAATATTCAATTATGTCAGAACAAAATACTGAGTTTTTAACGGGGTTTATCAGTTCAAGCCGTGCAATTATCAACTTTAAAAGTTCATCATCATTTTCTCTTAATTTACGAGAATTTAAATTATTTTTTGTAATTTTCAAAAGCGTGTAAACGTCCATTGTTTCATTCACTATAAATAAATTATTCCAATCACTACTTATACTAAATTCATAATCGATGGGAATTAAATTGGAATCATAGTATTCGATAATAAATTCACAAATACTCGCATTACACATTAATGCATCATTTAGAACTTGTTTAAACATTTTTTTCTTTAAATAATTAAGCAAGCATCTCACAATTTCAGGACGATATTCCCATTTCTCTTCCTCACTATTCACAATCTCTTTATTGTCACTAATTGAAGTTTGTTCATCCTCGATAGAAACTTTTAAAATATTAGCAAATGACAACAAACAACTAACAGAACTTTCTTTTTTATGCACGAGATCCCCGGCAATCAATAACAATTCCGTAATTTTTAAAAGATTTTGAAACATTGAAGGTGTCATTGTTTCTGAAACTCTACATTCGTCTAATAAGTAGTCTAGTGATGAAAGGTAGTCATCTTTTCTTATGAGATTAGCACCAGAGTCTATGAGAAATTTAATCATATTTAAATTTTCCATAATTGCTGCAAAATCCAATGGGCGATGGAGTGCTCTTGTTTCTGAATTAATCCTCGCACCGTACTTCAGAAGAATTTCGACTAAACGTGTGTGTTCGAATGTGGCTGCAATATGAAGAGGAGATAATTTGTCCCTAAAACAACTTTCAACCGAACAGCCTGCTTCTAGGAGAATCGTTAACATTTCCTCGTTTCCGTTTTCAACGGCGATGTAAACTGCGAATTGTCCCAATTCACCAGATAAAGATTTTACTTTCATTTTTTTGAGAATTTCTTGTACCTTTTCAATGTCGTTAGCGCGCACAGCGGAATGAAGTTCAGTCTCCTTGGAGCACAATACAGAATCAATTTTCGAATAGCAGGTTAATAGGTACCTCCAAAGTTTAAACTCGTGCTTGTCTAATGCGAAATAAATTGGAGTTTCTGTATGATCCGTAACAAGTTTTACACCGTGTTCAAGCAGAAATTTTAAGACATGTATATGTTCATCAGTTCTACAGAGGTCGATGAGAGGAATATCCTCATTTATTTTTGATCCACTTTCAAACATATATTTCATAATACCTAAACAATGATTGTCTATTGCTACACATAGGGGTGTTTTATCCTTTAAATTTTTCACTTCAATTTTGTCAAAGCCATTCGTCATTAATAATTTGACCATTTCTAAATTGCCAAGTTCAGCGGCAAAATGAAGAGCTGTCATTCTTTTATGGTCAACTTTTTGTCCTTCGCAAAATTCATCACTTTCATCCATCTTGGCGCCGTACTTCAGAAGAAGTTCCACAAGTTGGATATTATTAAGACTGGCAGCAAGATCAATTGGTTTCATGCTGGACACATCATCTAGTACATTGACCATAGCACCCGGTTTCAAAAGTCTCTCGACAATTTGAATGTTCTGCGTTTTTATCGCGACATGAAGTGTTGTTCTTCCGCCCTCTCTTGGAATATCAATACGTGCTCCATTTTCCAATAGAAATTCGGCTACCTCGACTTTATTTTGCAGTAAAGCTATATAAAAAGGTGTTCTTCCCTTGACGTCCTCGACATTAATTCTAGCTCCAATTTTTATCAACAAATCGACAATTTGTAGATGACCTCGTGCTGCTGCCACATGCAACATTCTTTTCTCATGTATATTTTCTGCTAAATTATATTCATTTAGCAAAGTACTAACACTATTTAAATCACCATTGTGAACGGCAAGAAAAATAGGCGTGTAATCGTCAGTACTATAGTAATTCTCAAAATCCTCATATTTTTCATTTCCTTTGTTCGACGACATTCTGTAAACAGAAAAATTGATGATCTACAATTCCGAAAAGAATTTTTTCGTTTATTACCTGGAACAAATAAAATGAAATAATATTAATATTTTTTTCTATTTTGTTAATTATTATTTCAGATTTCTTTTTGTTACATTGTTATTTTTTTAAAATAATTTTTAATTTTAAGTTTTTTAAGTAATGCATAATTTGCGCCTCGATATAAAAAAATAAAAGGAAAAATTGCCTTATTTATTTAATATATTTTGATGTTTACTTTTAGCATGTATAATTGGATGAGTTAATGAAAATTTTTTATGCTAATTTTGGATGTTTCAGAAGATCTATTTGTAGGTTGAGGCGAAAGTTACAATCAAACGACGTTTACTGAAGATTGGATTCAGTGCAGTGTTTTAAATTTTTGGGTATACATGAAAACTGCATTAAATCCTATAATAAATGTTTAAAATGCGACCAGAAAAAGAGAAAAGTAATGTGAACGATTAAAAATGAAGTTTAAGCTATAGAAGCAAAAACTTATAAGTATTGGACATCTCTTCCGCATACATGTGACCATATCTCTTCGTTAAATGTTTAATTATCAATAAAAGTTTAGACAAAAATCGCCTTTTTATAATTTTTACAGTACTTTAAAAAATCTATGGCCATCTCTCCCAGGCTTACCCTACGAAACTTATTTACACTAAGTTTTAAATGGAAAAAAAAATTTTGTTTTTGAGTTAAACGATTTTTTTGAAAATTAAATTTTGATTATCTCCTAAATGGTTGATTCGATTTTCATTAAAAAATAAATGTTACATAACACATAAGAACGTTTTTAAACAAATAATTGTCGACTAAATTCTCACATACAAAGACAATAAAAAAATTTTTTTGGTCGAATCACCGGTTCAGCCATTTCGTCAAATTGATTACACGAATTGACGAAAATGTGTATTACATTTTGAACATTTTTTGACGTCAAGTGGAAGGTAGTATTATTCATTAAAACTTTTCAGAATTTAATTATTATAAAAATTTGTAATTAAAATTCTTCAAACTTTAATTTTCAAAAATTTATATGAAATTTTTAGAATACACACCCAATTATCCTCCAATTGTAGACTTTCCAAAATAAATTGTCGCCTTTAAAATGTACAGCACGGAGGATTCATCTATAGACTTGTCATTATCTATAAACTCAATCTGAAACAAAAATAAAATAATCTGTATTATTTTATCACATTATTTTAAATATAACGAAGATAAAAGCGTAGATTTTCATACAATTTACAATTTATTGCTTCCTTATAGAGGAAGGATTGTATTTGTGAAAATTTTCGATATGGATTTTATGAATAACTTTATTATAAGTAATTTTCTTCGATTTTTATAAGGAAGATGATAGCGTTTTTTATCAAGATGAAAAATATCGTTGAGAAGTTACAAAAATCAAAATAAAAGATACAAAATTTGAGAGAAATACGGCAGTTAATATTTCTGCTGGTATAATAAAAATAAAGAAATAATGTCGAGTAACTAACTTGTCCCACAAAAATTTAAATTTTATAACTTTTTTTAAACACTTATTTCCAAAATTTTCATTTTCCAAAACAGGAGCAGATTCTTAATTACGCTCCCATCTAATAAACCCGAAAAATACCAGCTCGGTGTCACAATTACGAATGAGAAGACATGCGTCAAATCACTTTTTCAGGAAGACTTTTTTCCCGGATGCCCTCAAGAATAAATTCAGTTTAAATGAATTATTTATTCACCTGAATTGAATAAAAACTATTGACTTCGGTCCTTTATAAAAGTTTCGGACCTTTTTATAAACACTTAGCGATGGGACAGTTTCGATTATATCTTAAAATATAATTTGAATTTCATTCATTAAACTTTACATGCACTTTTATTTGTCAATTATAATTTGTACTTTAAAGTAAAAATATAATTTTTACAATACGTACCCAATTATCCAGCAATTGAAGAATTTTCGAAATAAATAATCGCCTTCAAAATAATGCTACTCAGAGGATTTACCAAGGCTTGTAAACTCAATCTAAAACAAAATTCATGAAATTTGTATTATTTTTTACTGCAGTTTTAGAGTTTTTATATGGAATAGTTATAGAAACAGATGGCTGCTAAATGAAAACACGTTATTTGCGAGAATACTTAGAGAAAACGTAACTTACACAAATAAATAGAATTCTACTAAAAAAAATAGTCACAAAACGACGGAAATTTAGTCAGAATTTCTGACGTTTCTAGACTTATTGTTACGATTGCAGTCTCAAGACGTCACTATAATTTTGGTGTAATAAAAAAAGCATCAAAAGTAGTTAGGTTCTTTTTTGAGGTTCGCCGACCTTTTTTCCCACTCTCATAAAATTCCGGGAAAACTATTTATTTAGAACTGTGTAAAATAGTATTTTACGTATTAATTTTTATTTTTATCACGTATACAATATGCACAAAAAAGCAAACCGCTCTATAAAATGTAGTGACAAACAGTCATTTCTAGAAACATCAGAAATAATAATAATAATAAGACCATTTTAGTCAGACTTAGCAGAAAAGTGTAAAATTACGAAAATAAGCGAATTTAAATTCCCTCTTGTAAAATTAATACTTTTAATCAATATTTCAGTTTCAAAATTTCTTTTACATTTACTACTTTGAAGTTGCAAAATATTAAGCAATAAATTGAGTTATTTTATAAAAAGTTGTAAAACTGAAGCATTGAAAGTATTAATTTTTCAAGAGGAAATTGAATTTCGCAGATTTTAAAAAAGATACAATTTTTTAAGTCTCTAGAACATTTCATAATAAAAATATAAATAAACAGAAATTTTTTTTTTTTACGGCGCAATTAAATTTTAAAGATTTTAAAGTACAATTTTGAAATTAGAAAAAATTTGGGGATTGTTATTGACGTTTTTGACAATCACAAATAGTTAACCTAAAATACACTTGAAAATTTGTCTTATACAATAGAAAATTATTAATACTTGATGTAATAGATATTTGAAAATCAGAAAAGAATTTTTTTTTCTTCATTAAATATGATTAACATTGTAAAACAATTTACATGTTGTTAAATTAGAATGAAATTAATAAATTTACAATATTTTTTGTACCTGGAATCGTTTTCGTTTCGACAGTTTAAAGGTGCATTCAGTCAAAATCGCCTTCACACGAAGCTGTAAAGGTGTTTCTGCAATAGCTTGAAAATGCATTTGTTTTGTCTGATTTAAAATGATTGACAATTCTGTGTACAAATTTAATTTATATCATTAGAAAGAAAGCAAATTTTTTTAAACTTGAATGCAGAATATGTAATTACTTTGAATCGGACAAAACAAAAGCATTTTCAAGCTATTGCAGAAATACTTTTATTGCTTCTCTGACCATTAAGGGTGCAGTCCCATGGCACCGTTTTGCGTTGCGTTTTGTAACTAGGCCATGAGTGTGAGAGAGATGAAGATATATGTTTGCTATATTTGCACTCATGGCCTAGTTACAAAACGCAACGCAAAACGCTGCCATGGGACTTCACCCTAAGGCCTGAGCACAATTGTGCACGAACGCAAAGCATAAGGTAGAAAAGGATATAGATATATTATTGTCCTTTTCTATCTCATGAATCTCGTTCGCGAACCTATTGAACTTTGCGATTGAGATTGCACAGATTGCATTTCGAATTTCGACCCCGATTCGGGAAATTTCCGTTTTGTGTAATTCTCTGAAGTTTCTACATTTTTGGCTTATGAACAATTTCGGGTAATTTTACTGTATTATATTATTATAAAATCAATTAACAATAATTAAACTTGTTTAAATTATTATATCCTAATGAATAATATATTTATCATTTTTAATCGAACATCAATTTACGCGAATTGTTTTTTTGTAGAATTATAATTTTACAGAATAATAATATATATTATTTATTACCTTACTATTTTTTTTAAATTTCGGCATATAGAAATGTAAGTTATGAAACGAAAACAAATTGATTAAAATCGAACCTGTCGGAATGCAATTATATTTTTAAAATATTGTTGATTTCTAAAAAGCCAAACAAGAATTATTTTTACTTAGTTTCACAATATTGTAAACATATAAAATTAAATAACAAATCAATTTTTAATAAATTTTTCATTTTCGAATTTTTATTTGAAGGGTTTTTATTAAAACTTTCGATAATTTAATTATTTTTAGAACTTACAATTAAAATTCTTCAAACTTTGATTTTCAAAAACTTTCATGAAATACTTTAACCAAGACCAGTAGATGAGTGAAAAAAGATAAAGTAATTCCTTTTTGGTTGAAAAACAAAATTTATAAAAAATATTTTTATTTTGACGAAGTTTCGCCAAATTATGTTCTCATGTTAAAAGCATGAAGGTGCATACGCGGCTCTGTAGGTAGCTGTTTATATAAATAAAACATAAAAGCCCAAGGAGCACGTAAGTTTATCTTGACATCACTGTAATATTACATTGGAGATTCGTTATATTACACTGTAATATTACAGTGATCTTACTGGGATATCAAAATGTCCACCTGGAGGTAATATTACGTTGTTACATCAAGAGAATATTACCTGGTAATATTAAGGTAATATTACACTGTAATATTAACGTAATGTTAAGGTAATATTCAGATAAAATTAGAATAATTTTATAATTTAGAAAAAAACATTTCACAAAGTTGGACTCGAACCCAGAACCATGTGCATAGTAATCATGAGTCTTACCACTGAGCCAAACTTACTTGTAGTGTATTAAGATTCTCGACGGTATATAATCTTTGTAAGTTTTTTAAAGTTCTTCATATTTTATCAAAAATCTTAATACACTACAAGTAAGTTTGGCTCAGTGGTAAGACTCTTGATTACTGTGCGCAAGGTTCAGGGTTCAAGTCCAGCTTTGTGAAATGTTTTTTTCTAAATTATAAAATTATTCTAATTTTATCTGAATATTACCTTAACATTACGTTAATATTACCTTAATATTACCAGGTAATATTCTCTTGATATAACAACGTAATATTACCTCCAGGCGGACATTTTGATATCCCAGTAAGATCACTGTAATATTACAGTGTAATATAACGAATCTCCAATGTAATATTACAGTGATGTCAAGATAAGCTTACGTGCTCCTTGGGAGGTAATTCTACTATGATTAGTTTACAATGAAACTAGCGCGAAATATTAAATAATTTATTCTTGCTTAACTTTAACTTACCTATAACAGCGCAAGTACAAAAATATAATAGACAATACAAAAATATAATCGGAAGTACAAAACTTGTTGCAGTAGATGCAACAAATTGATAACAAGAAGCATCTTTTAAAACTATTTCAGTCTAATTGAACTAAAAAGCATAGAAACTGTGACTGAGATACTATTATAATAAAATTTCAAATTTTTTCCATCGTTGATTAAAATTTACCACTTTATTTTATAGTCTAAAAATTTAGAAAAAACTGCTGACAACTTTCCAAGATCGCTCATTGAAAGATATTGTAAAATTTCTTCTACATCAGTGATTGAAAATTTAATTTTACAATTCCTTTCAATGTAATGATACATACAATTCGTGGATATGTCAACTAACTCAATTCTACGCTTTATTTTCTCAATACGCAACTTTAAAAATTTTGTATACGCGGGGAATTTATCGCACGATACTTCATTGGTATTTAATAATTTCACATCTCTTACGCAACTCGCAATTTCCTCAGTAGACTTTACTAGAATATCGTAAAAAGTGAAATTTAATTTATCGCTAACTTTTGTTTTTTGCATAATTATTATCTGCTCTTGACATTTATTTTGAAATTTTTGAATTTTTGTTTTATCTTCACTTGAAGGGAAATATTCAATTATGTGATAGCAAAATAATCCGGTTTTAACGGGGTTTATCAGTTCAAGACGTGCAATTATCAACTTTAAAAGTGCATCATCATTTGCTGTTAATTTACCAGATTTTAAATTATTTTCTGTAATTTTGAAAAGCGTGTAAATTTTCTTTGTTTCATTCACTATAAATAAATCATTCCAATCACATCCAGAAAAATCATAATCGACGGGAATGAAATTGGAATCGTAGTATTCGGTAAAAAATTCACAAATATTTGAATTACAACTTAATTCGTCATTTAGAACTTCTTTAAGTATTTTTTTCTTTAAATAATTAAGCAAGCATCTCGCAATTTCAGGACGATATTCCCATTTCTCTTCCTCACTATTCACAATCTCTTTATTGTCACTCATCGAAGTTTGTTCATCCTCGATAGAAACTTTTAAAATATTAGCAAATGACAACAAACAACTAACAGAAATTTCACTTTTATGCACGAGATCCCCAGCAATCAATAACAATTCTGTAATTTTTAAAAGATTTTGAAACATTGAAGGTGTCATTGTTCTTGAAACTCTATATTCGTCTAATAAGTAGTCTAGTGATGAAAAGAAGTCATCTTTTCTAATGAGATTAGCACCAGAGTATCAGAAATTTAATCATATTTAAATTTTCCATAATTGCTGCAAAATCCAATGGGCGATGGAGTGCTCTTGTTTCTGAATTAATCCTCGCACCGTACTTCAGAAGAATTTCCACCAAACGTGTGTGTTCGAATGTGGCTGCAATATGGAGAGGAGATAATTTGTCCCTAAAACAACTTTCAACCGAACAGCCTGCTTCTAGGAGAATCGTTAACATTTCCTCGTTCCCGTTTTCAACGGCGATGTAAACTGCGAATTGTCCCAATTCACCTGATAAAGAATTTAATTTCATTTTCTTCAGAATTTCTTTTACATCTTCTTTGTTGTTAGCACGCACAGCGATATGAAGTTCGGTCTCCTTGGAGCACAGTACAGCATCAATTTTCGAATAGCAGGTTATTAGGTACTTCCAAAGTTTAAACTCGTGCTTGTCTAATGCCAAATAAAGTGGAGTCTCTGTATGATCCGTAACAAGTTTTACACCGTGATCAAGTAGAAATTTCAAGACATTTATATGTTCATCAGTTTTACAGAGGCCGATGAGGGGAATATCCTCATTTATTTTTGATCCACTTTCAAACATATGTTTCACAATACCTAAACAATGTTTGTCTATTGCTACACATAGGGGTGTTTTGCCTTTCAAATTTTTCACATCAATTTTGTCAAAGCCATTCGACATTAATAACTTGACCATTTCTAAATTACCACGTTTAGCGGCATAATGAAGGGCTGTCATTCTTTTATGATCATCTTTTTGTTCTTCGCGAAACTCATCAATGTCATCCATCTTGGCGCCGTACTTCAAAAGCAGTTCAACAAGTTGGATATTATTAAGACTGGCAGCAAGATCAATTGGTTTCAAGCGGGACATATCATCCAGTACATTGACCATAGCACCCTGTTTCAAAAGTCTCTCGACAATTTGAATGTTCTGCGTTTTTATCGCGACATGAAGTGTTGTTCTTCCGTCATTTCTTGGAATATCCATACGTGCACCATTTTCCAAAAGAAACTCGGCAACTTCAACTTTATTTTGCAGTAAAGCTATATAAAAAGGTGTTCTTCCCTTGACGTCCTGGACATTAAGCTTAGCTCCGTTTTTTATCAAACAATCGACAATCTGCAGATAACCTCGTGCTGCTGCCACATGCAACATTCTTTTCTTGTGTACATTTTCTGCTAAATTATATTCATTTAGTAAAGTACTAACACTATTTAAATCACCATTGTGAACGGCTAAAAAAATAGGCGTGTAATCGTCAGTACTATAGTAATTCTCAAAATCCTCATATTTTTCACTAGAATCATCATCATCATAACCACTATCATCGCTGGAATGATCATTTTCTTTGTTCGACGACATTCCATAAATTCTTTACGCACTGATAAAAAAATTACAATACGTAATACAAAGATATAGTAAACAGAAAAATTGATGAACTACAATTCCGAAAAGAATTTTTTCGTTTATTACCTGGAACAAATAAAATGAAATAATATAAATATTTTTTTCTATATTGTTAATTATTATATTTTTTTTGTTATATTGTCATTTTTGAACATAATTTTTAATTTTAAGTTTTTTAAGTAATGTATAACTCGCGCTTCGATATAAAAAATAAAAGGGAAAATTGCTTTAATTATTTAATATATTTCGATGTTTACATTTAACATGTATAATTGGGTGAGATGGACATTAATGATTTTTAATTAAATTTTTTATGCTAATTTTGGACGCCTTAGAAGATCTATTTGTAGGTTGAGGCGAAAGTTGCAATCAAACGACGTTGATTGAAGATTGGATCGCTTTTTATAATTTTTACAGTACTTTAAAAAATCATGGTTGCTACATAACCTGGAAAACCTGGAAATAGCATGGAATTTGAACGAATTTCTGGAATTTTTTTGGGTTAATGAAAGATATTAAGAAAAATTCCATTCAACATATGTTATTTTTCTTTAAAAATGTTAACATGCAATTTTCCTTTTCCATGTTATCTTCTCTTTAAATTAATTTAATTTTTTTTTAATTATTGACTAAAACTGTGAAAAATGTTGTTAAGATTGTTCTAAAAAAAGGATTTTATATCTTTATTAGTATTACGATTGTTAAAATTTTTTGTTACTATTTGCTTTTTGTTCAAGATTTTGAACAAAGTTTAAAGATGAAAATTATTTAATTTAGACATGACTTCAATGTTCTAATTATGGCTGATTCTTCTGAAAGTGACATTTTTGATATCTCGATTAATTTTATAGAATCTACTCTCTAATAATATTATTAACCATTTTCATAGTAATAATTTATAATTTATAGTAGAACTAAATTTTTATGGTTTTTTTCAAACTCTTAGAAATTTTTTAAAAATAGTGCCAAAAAATGCAATGTTTTTCTATCATTATGTGCATTTTAAAAATTTTTGGACCTACGTTTTATATGTGATAAAAATGTTTAAATTTTGTCTTCAGTTTAAGTTAAAATTACTTCACGATGATTAATGATGTTTTTATACATTAAAAATATTCTAAAAAAAATGTGAATGGACATTAAAATAAAGTTAATGGTCTGATGTGTAATTTTTCTATATAATATTTATAAAAAAGAGGAATATTATTGCTTTTATAAATATTAAAATTTTACATATTGGCCCGAGTAAAATTCAAAGAAGAAAGACTTTAATATTTTTAAATTAATTTTGCGCAACTTAAATTCTTACTTTTGAGTATGAAATAAAGTATAGTTTCAATAGAAAAAACCATATAATTTAAAAAAAATAAATTGAAAAATCGAATATCAAAAGTATCACTTTCAGAAAAATAAACATAAAAATGCCTGTGATTTTAATTGTTTAAGAGAACATTAATTTATAACTACATAATAATGAATATTGTTAACATTTTTTTGTAAAATACTTGTTTTTTCATCACAAATAATTCCTAAATTTGAACCTGGAATTTTTAATACTTTTAACCTGGAAAACCTGGAAATAGCCTGGAATTTTGAAATCTAGATTTTGTGGCAACCATGAAAATCTATGGCCATCTCTCCCAGGCTTACCCTACTAAACTTATTTACACTAAGTTTCAAATCGAAAAAAAATTTTGTTTTTGAGTTAAACGATTTTTTTGAAAATTAAATTTTGATTATCTCCTAAATGGTTGAACCGATTTTCATTAAAAAATAAATGTTACATAACACATAAGAATGTTTTTAAAAAAATAATTGTCGACTAAATTCTCACATATAAAGACAATAAAAAATTTTTTTTTGGTCGAATCACCGGTTCAGCCATTTGGTAAAATTGATTACTCGAATTGACGAAAATGTGTATTACATTTTGAACATTTTTTGACGTCAATTGGAAGATAATATTATTCATTAAAACTTTTCAGAATTTAATTATTATAAAAATTTGTAATTAAAATTCTTCAAACTTCAATTTTCAAAAATTGATATGAAATTTTTAGAATACACACCCAATTATCCTGCAATTGTAGACTTTCCAAAATAAATTGTCGCTTTTAAAATGTAAAGCCCGGAGGATTCATCTATAGACTTGTAGACTCAATCTAAAACAAAAATAAAATAATCTATTATTTTATCACAATATTTTAAATATCACAAAGATTAGAATACTTATATTAAGAATTACAAAAGTTTGTAGATTTTCATAAAATTTGTAATTTATTGTTTCCTCATAGAGGAAGGATTATATTTGTGAAAATTTTCGATTGCGACTTTCTGACACATTTCCATGTAATTTAATCTGAGGAGTCTAAAAAACGTTATTTAAAAAATATCTCAGAACCAGCAAGAGTTACAGGCTTACATTTTTACATTCTCATCACATGAGAAAGTATTAGTTTTGGTCGAAAATTGACTTTTGATAATTTTATGAAATCTTTACGTTTTGAGGTCCCCTGAACCCGAAAAACATGGTCCGGCGAGTCCGTCTGTCTGTGTGTCTGTCTGTCTGTATGTATGTATGTATGTCCGTCTGTAGACCAAAATGTTGTTGACACAATAACTTTTAAAAATCTTATCTGATCGTTTTTAAATTTAACACACTTAAAGTTGGTGTAAAAATGAAGGTTAAGTTCGTTAACCAGCCATTTTCGTTGAAAACTACAAAAACTACGGTAGTTTCAAAATTTTGAAAACTCAATTTTTTTTAAAGTTCAGAATTTTTAACTTTATATTATTTTAGATTAGAAAAATACAAACAACTTTTCTTTATAACATTTTTTTTAAAAGACTTTTATTTTCACTTTATGAAAGTTGTTTTCAGTAAAGCAGAAATCTTTTATAAATTTTTCAAATCTGGGGTTCCAAACCACCCCAGTTTTTCGTTAGTGTATAAAAAAATCATTTTTCCACTCTAGGGTTAAAAATGTAGAATGTCCTCAAGAAAAAATAGTCAAAACTTTTTAATTCTAAAACAATGATTTAATATCTCATGTATAAATAAGTACAAAAATAGAACTAAAACTGTTGCAGCAGATGCAAAAAATTGACAACAAGAAGTATTTTTTTTAAACTTTTAAGTCTAATTTAAATAACAAATGTCAAAACTAACAGTGTAAGACAATATTATAGTAACACATTATATTTTTCTGTTCATCGTTGATTAATCACTTTTTTTAGTGTGAAAATTAAGAAAATGCTGATGATAATTTTCGAAGATCGCTCATTGCAAGATATTGCAAGATTTCTGCAATATCAAATGATGACAATTGAATTTTAAAATTTCGTTTAATATAATAAAACAAACAATTCGTGGACATATCCATTAAATCAATTTTCCGCTTTGCTTTCTCAATACGTAACTTTAACAATTTTGCATACATAGGAAATTTATCATACGATAATTCAATGGTATTTAATATTTTGTCATTTTTTATAGAATTGGCAATTTTATCAGTAGACTTTAATAGAATATCGTAAAAAGTAAAATTTACTTGATCGATAACTTTTGTTCCTTGCATACTTATTACCTGCTGTCGACAATCATTATAAAATATAGAAAACTCTGATATATCATCTTCTAAAAGAAAACTTTCAGTTAGTGCCTCAGCACCGGATGGTAACAATCCAACACGAGCAAGTACCAATTTCAATACTTCTTTGTCATTTTTTCCTAAGACATTCACATTATCCTCTTTCTGCTTCAGTGTAATGTCCAGAAGTTTCTGGGCGTCCTCTATTTCATTGATTATAAACGAATCATTCCAATCATTTCCAGAGAAATGAAATTTTTCTGGGAAAAATTTAGAATCGTAGTACTCGATAATCATTTCAGGAATACTTATAATAGTGCAACTATCACATAAGTATGAATTTAGAACATCTTGAAGTAATTTCTCGTCTATATAATTAAACAAACATCGAACAATTTCAGAACGAAATTCCTTATTTCTATTTTTCTCGATATTCAGGTTATATTCATTGTCAATGATCGAACTTTCTTCATCCTTTCCAGAAAATCTTAAATTCATTACACTTTCCAATAATGTTTCAATGTGGTCATCTGATTTATGCTCGAGATCTCCGGCAATTAATAACAACTCTGTTATTTTTAATATATTTTGAAACATTGAAGGTGTAATTGTTTTCCTCTCGTTGAGTACATGTGTCAGTGATGAAATCTTACTTCTTTTAGAGAACCTAGCACCAGAGGCCACGAGATAATTAATCATATTTAAATTTTCCATAACTGCTGCAAAATCCAATGGGTGATGGAGAGCTCTTGTTTCTGAATTAATCCTCGCACCGTATTTCAGAAGAATTTCGACTAAACGTGTATGTGAGAATGTGGCTGCAATATGGAGAGGAGATAATTTGTCCCTAAAACAACTTTCAACCGAACAGCCTGCTTCTAGAAGAATCGTTAACATTTCCTCGTTTCCGTTTTCAACGGCGATGTAAACTGCGAACTGTCCCAATTCACCAGATAAAGAATTTAATTTAATTTTCTTTAGAATTTCTTTTACATCTTCTATGTTGTTGGCACGCACAGCTGAATGAAGTTCAGTCTCCTTGGAGCATAATACAGCATCAATTTTCGAATAGCAGGTTAACAGGTACCTCCAAAGTTTAAATTCGTGCATGTCTAATGCGAAATAAAGTGGAGTTTTTGTGTGATCCGTAACAAGTTTTTCACCATGATCAAGTAGATATTTCAAGATATCTGTATCTTCATCGGTTTCACAAAGATCGATGAGAGGAATATCCTCATTAATTTTCGATCCACTTTCAAACAAATATTTCACAATACCTAAACGATGTTTGCTTATTGCCACACCTAGGGGTGTTACATCGTTTAAATTTCTCACATCAATTTTGTCAAATCCATTCGACATTAATAACTTGACCATTTCTAAATTACCACGTTTAGCGGCATAATGGAGGGCAGTCATTCTTTTATGATCATCTTTTTGTTCTTCGCGAAACTCATCAATGTCATCCATCTTGGCGCCGTACTTCAGAAGAAGTTCCACAAGTTGGATATTATTAAGACTGGCAGCAACATCGATTGGTTTCAAGCGGGACATAGCATCCAGTACATTGACTATATCACCCTGTTTCAAAAGTCTGTCGACAATTTGAATGTTCTGCGTTTTTATCGCGACATGAAGTGTTGTTCTTCCGTCATCTCTTGGAATATCAATACGTGCTCCATTTTCCAAAAGAAACTCGGCTACTTCCACTTTATTTTGCTGTAAAGCTATATAAAAAGGTGTTCTTCCCTTGACGTCCTCGACATTAAGTTTAGCTCCATTTTTTATCAACAAATCGACAATCTGCAGGTGACCTCGTGCTGCTGCCACATGCAACATTCTTTTGTTATGCACACTTTCTTTTAAATTATTTTCATTTAGTAGAGCACTAACACGATTTAAATCACCATTGTGAACGGCAAGAAAAATAGGTGTGTAATTATCAGTATTATAGTAATTCTGAAAATCCTCATATTCGTCACTGTAATCATCAAAATAACTTTCACTGTAGGAATCATTCTTTTCATCGTTCGACGTCATTCTGTTAATATTTCACGCACTGAAAAAAAAATTGCAATACGTAATACAAAATTCTTTCGTTGATTACCTGGAAGAAATAAAATAATATAAAAATATCGTATAATTTTTTTTCCATAGTGTTAATTATTTTTTAAGAGAATAAATAAAAAACATAGCGAACATATTCATTCACTTGAAGTAAATAAAAACTATCTTTCGGTTCTTGTTTATGGGTAAATCTCATGAAATGGGGACGTTTTATTAACTCTTCTGTTCATACCCGGGTATACCCACGACTACACATTTTTTCATTTTAGTCAAATAAATATTAAAATTTCGTCTCAGCGCTCCAAATCTACGTTATTTGTGTTAATTAAAAGCAATTTCTTCAATAGAGAAATGATTTTTTTAAAAATAAATCAGGGCTGATAAAAATCATGAGTTTTTAAAAAAATCAAAACAATCCGATTTTTTTTATTTAAATCATTTTTTAATACTTTTTTTAAATATTTGAAATATTTTATTATTTTATAAGTAGTTCGTTTTTCTAATGTTAAAAATTATAAAATTAATAATAATAGGGTGGATGTAAAATTTCATTTTAAGAATTCTCTGACATTTCCTGACTAATTTTTCAGTTTCCCTGATTGATAAATTTTTAAATTATTTAATATTCTGCATTGATAATTAAAAATTTAATAATGCTTTTTAAGTAACAGTTTTATCTATAAAGAAAAACATAAGATAATTAAAAATTGTTTGTTAAAAAAAATTTTAATGTGTTTAAAACTTTTATTTTTTATTATAAAAAAAAGTTAATGCAAATTTACAATTTAAAACGTGCTCAATAAGTTTTATTTATTTATTTATATAAACCGCCAATGCCCGTTTATCATATTGTACAAAAGAGTCTAAATACAAAAACTAAATTGACATTTATCAAAGTTTTTTAATTTGTGGTTTTTTTCGATTAATATTCTCTGACTTTCCCCTGAACAAAAAAATTCTCTGATTTCCAGTTTTTCCCTAATTTGAGTCAAATAAACAAAACTAACAATTATTATATTATCTCTGTAATGTATTTATTATTATTATTATTTTTTATTTTTTTGAATTCAAAACTTTAAACAAAAATACTAATTTTGCAAACTTTTCTGTTTCTAATGCATTTTGCAGTTTGATTTAAATCATGATTTTAATGACAAGATTTAAATCAAGATTAAAATCATGATTTAAATCAAGTTGATTTAAATCATTGCAGCCCTGAAATAAATAAAAAAATAGTTTTTGTGTAGACAGTAGTGTCTACACTCCGGATGTCTGAGACAAATTATTATCCAATGAATTTTTAAATACATTTTCCCAGGCATCCGGAGTGCAGACACTGCATATCTATACTTTAAACTAGTTTTTTATTTATTTATTATGAACAAAATTAATTTTTAAATTAATATTATTGAATATTGAATAATTTTTTCTTTATTTATAAAAAAATAATTTTTTTAATGAATAAATTGCTTTTATTATTTTAACATAAAATAACGTAGATCTGGAGCGCTGAGACGAAATTTTAATATTTATTTGACTAAAATGAAAAAATGTGTAGTCGTGGTATGTAAGAAAAAAAAAATTGAATTTTATTCATAAAATATTACATGCACTTCTATTTTTTGTCAATTATAATTTGTATTTTAAAGTAAAAATATAATTTTCACAATACGTACCCAATTGTCCAGCAATTGAAGAATTTTCAAAATAAATAATCGCCTTCAAAATATATTCCTACACAGTGGATTTACCAAGCCTTGTAAACTCAATCTAAAATAAAAATAATAAAATTTGTATTATTGTTTTGTCACATTATTTTAAATATAACAAAGATTAGAATATGTCAATAAGTTTCAACGTATACTTAGGCAATAAATAGAAACAATGATTACATATCAAATTTGAAAGTTATAAATTTATAAAAAGTTGTGAAACTAAAACATTGAAATTTCCAAGAGGGAATTTAAATTCGCAGATTTTATAATAGAAAATAAAATGTAAATCTCTAGCATAACAAAAATATATGTAAACAGGAAATTTTTTTAAACAGTGCAATTTAATTTTAAAGATTTTAGAGTACAATTTTGAGATTAGCAAAAATCTGGTATTGTTTTTTCACAATCACAAATAGTTAACCTAAAATACATTTGGAACTTTGTCTTAAAATAGGAAATTATTATTACTTGATGTAATATATATTTGAAAATCAGAAAGAATTTTTTTCCTTTAATAAACATGATAAACATTGTAGAACAATTTATATGTTGTTAAATTGTAATGAAATTAATAAATTTTCAATTTTTTGTACCTGGAATCCCTGGAATCGTTTTTCGTTTCAACTGTCAATGGTTTAAAGCGTTTAAAGGTGCGTTTAGGGTGTATTCATACGACTGTCGGTAGAAAAAAAATTTATCAAAATTCACACAAGCTATAAAGGTGTTTCTGCAATAGCAGAAACTTTTCTAAACCATGCTTTACATTCGCGAAGCAGTTGTGCATTGAGCTTAATGTTGCGGTTTACGTTGAACAATGAGTATAACAAGGATAGAAGTATATGAAAACGTAAACATGTAAACAGAACTTTATGTAAATATTCTGGACGTTCTGATCTCACCTTTAATTCCAATGGAATTCTACTTTACCAACAAAAAACAAAGTTATGGCGCTCATCGCGCTATCGGTGTCCACTCATTCCCAACACCTACTGCCATCTTTGTAAATTAAAATATTTTCATGAATTACATCCTATGAAAGAAGCAAGAAGCAAAGCAATCATGGTAAATCATTATTAGAACAGTTTTTAATTTTATTCCTCTTTTTTACCAACAAAAAAATACACAAGAATAAACTTGAAGTGCGTGAAAATATTGCAACGGTATTGTCATGTGTCGTGATTCTCTCTTGTTTCTCTAATTTCGTGAAATTCTATTTTCCCTCTAATAAAATTGTGTTTGATCCTGCGTGTTAAAAGGTTAGTCGTAAATTTTAAGGCATATACAATGCACAAACACACAACAGTGAAAGTCCGTTAGGTATTGATGTATAGTTATAGAATTTGCACAAGCGAAGGTTGCATTTTTTCCTGTAGATTCCTTCTCTAAAAATCAAACTCTTTGATTTTATCCATTTTATCGGAATCACAGCTTCACTTTTAATGTCTTTCTCGCATTGTAAAACGAAGAGGAAGTGGGAATTTGTGAAATTTTGAAGAGAAAAAAAGCACGCAAATCGTCAACGATCGATGCTTGAAGACGTGAAGCGAGAGATGTTCACGACGAATCCTTGGTGGCATGTCGCATTCTCAGTAGTAATGAATTTTTTTACACTGTGTTTATGATCTAAAGCCAACAATCAATTGGACGGATTACAAATAATGCGATAACATCCACCAGTTTTTAGCGGACCTGTAAGTATTATATTGTCAAACCTCTGAAAATTCTTATCTTTTTTTTTTCTTTATTTACTCTTGAAATAAATCTTTGGCACGCGTTCCCTTAGTAAAAACGAAAGCAAATACTTTTAAATGTCAGTATCTATAGTGGCATTTCTGTTCCGAAAAATTTCTTTTGTGTTTTATTCGTTTTATTTATTTAATTTCGACGAATTCTTTTTTTCTTCTAATTTCGAGATATTAAATTGATTCTTTTATTTTCGAATTACAGCTATAAAAAAATATTTTTTAACAAATATTTAAATTTTGTTATTTATTTTCTATGGAACTTTTGATAAATATTGCAAAAATTTTCTGATATTTCAAATTTTTATTACAACTTGTTTTTAGTTTTTACAAATACTAAAAGTTTCGAATAAAGAAAATATTGTTTTTACAATGTATTTTAGTTGAGTGCATACGTCAATAAAGAGAAAAAAATTGCAGGAATTACGTTCATAGTGGGAAAAATATAATTTCCTTTTTTCTTAGTAACAATCGTGTCAACATTGATTTTTTCTTATGTATTTTCAAATTATGCAGTTATACTGGAAAAAATAAACTTTAATTATTCTTATTGTTTTAAAAAACAAGCATCATAAAGAAAAATAAGTATACACTCAAAATATTTTATTTATAGTGTTTATTTATTTATTATTATTTATTAAATACGTATTATTTCCTCATTGGTACGTTAAACACTTATTCTAAATATCACAAAATTCTTTACATATTTTAAACTTATTTATTTACATTAATTTTACAATTTGTATTCAATATAATATCAAATGTTTTATAAAAAGAATTATTGAGTAATAAATTTTACGATGCCTTATACGGTTTAAACAACTTTATTTACATGATGATATTGACGACGTTTCGATACATTTAGTATCCTCTTCAGGTCAAATTAAATTGAAAAAATAAAAATTAACAAACAGTCATTTTATCAAATGGTGATTATATCGAAAAAAGAGATCTTTAAAATTTCTAAAAAAATAAGAAAACTTACGTCATAAAGATAGTTTCTATTAATTTATTATTGTTACATTTTTTTTATTAATTAATAAAATAGTTTGAATTATATTTTAAATGTAAACTAATTTTATAAGTTGCCACATCAAAATGGAATTAAATGACGAATACATAAATGTAAATGAATATCTAGGGATTATTTTAAGAGTGTCTTAATAAAATGAATTCAAAAATATGTAGAATGAAAGCTTAAAATTTACTGAAACTGTAGCCAGTTGAATTTTTTTCTGTCCAATAATTTATATTGAAATTATTGAACTTCACTATTGACTTTGACAATTTTATTTTCAAACTTCAAAACAGAAGTATGTCATTCTTAAAATTAAAAATAATTGAAAAATTGAAAAAAAGCAAACGGAAAAAAATTTCGAATAAAAAAGCAGAACAAATTAGGGAAAAGAGAAGGAAAGAAAAAAAAGCGAAAAATGAGGAAAATAGAAACTTGCATCAACGAAGGAAGTTGTTAAGGTTATCTTGAAAAAATATTGAAATTAAGATAAACTTAATTATAAATAAATAATAATAATTAAATTCACTAATTTTTATAAAAATATTTAAATTTGATTAATTTAATTTAAATTTATTATAACTTTAATCGAGAGCATTAAAAAATAAATAATAAATATTATAAAAAAATAAAGGCAACCTAAATATTCAAATCCAAAACAATCGAAAAATATAGATTCTAATTTGTAAAAAATCGTCTTATTAAAAATAAATAAAAATATATACGACTTTCAAAATATTACATTTTTAACTGCAAACTTAAATTCTAAATGCTAATTTTTACTTATATACAAATTTTTATTAATATGCTAGTAAATTTTTTTTTAAGTCAAAAGTTAAAGGTTCCAGAGAATTGTCCAAATGGTTTTTTCTTTAATGAAACGAATTCTAATTTTAATAAATATACTTTCACTTAATTATGATATATCATTAAAAATTTTTGTTTTTTTTTCATTTTATTTTGGCTCGGTGAAACTAGCGACCCGCCGGCCGCCAGCCATCAGAAAAATCCATAGGCGCCGACACACATAGTAGCGCGGTGGCCCTATACGGTTCAATCAACGCAAAAACAACGTACGCTAGCTATTACAGTTTATAAAAAAAAATGCAATAGTCACATTTTAAAGAGCAATAATCCCCCTTAAATTTGTGACTAAAAAATAAAAATTTGGTCTAAAATTGTTCGAATTTTTAATAGTCAGCGCCCCACCCGCCCGTATCAGAAAAACGAAAATTGGAAAATAAATCGAAAAAAATTCATAACTCTAATAATTTAAGACCAAATGTTTATTTCTTTGTCAGAAATTAAAGGGGGATTATTGCTCTTCAAAATGTGACAATTGAAAATATTTTTAATAAACTTTTGATAGTCAGCGTACCCACCCGCCCGTATCAGAAAAACGGAAATTGGAAAAAAAAATCGGAAAATAATTCATAACTCGAATAATTTTTGACCAATTCTTTGTTTCTTGGTCGCAAATTAAAGAGGGATTATTGCTCTTCAAAATGTGACCAATAAGAATTTATTTAAAAAATTTTTGATAGCCAGCGTCCCCACCCGCCCGTATCAGAAAAACGAAAATTGGAAAATAAATCGAAAAAAAATTTATAACTCGAATAATTTTTGACCAATTCTTTGTTTCTTGGTCGCAAATTAAAGAGCGATTAATGCTTCTAAAAATGTGACCAATAAGAATTTATTTAAAAAATTTTTGATAGCCAGCGTCCCCACCCGCCCGTATCAGAAAAACGAAAATTGGAAAAAAAATCGAAAAAAAATTCATAACTCGAACAATTTTAGACCAAATGCTTATTTCTTGGTCAGAAATTAAAGGGGGATTAATGGTCCTTAAAATGTGACCAATAAGAATTTATTTAAAAAATTTTTGATAGTCAGCGTCCCCACCCGCCCGTGTCAGAAAAACGGAAATTGGAAAAAAAATCGGAAAAAAATTCATAACTCGAATAATTTTTGACCAATTCTTTGTTTCTTGGTCGAAAATTAAAGGGGGATTATTGCTCTTTAAAATGTGACTATTGCATTTTTTTTTATAAACTGTAATAGCTAGCGTACGTTGTTTTTGCGTTGATTGAACCGTATAGGGCCACCGCGCTACTATGTGTGTCGGCGCCTATGGATTATTCTGATGGGTGGCGGCCGGCGGGTCGCTAGTTTCACCGAGCCTTTTATTTTTAAGGAAGAATCCGACAAACAACTGGAAAATAAAATAAGTCCATCGTTGAATTTCGTATAAGTTATATACAATTTTGTTTTTATTGAATATTTAAGCTTATTTATCTTTAAAAAAATTTGACAATATTATAGATAATAATTGTAATCATTAAGGGCATTTGAACCATGATGACGTCACAGATTTAAAACTAATGCTTTGCACAAATTGTGACGTCATCAAGGTTCAAATCCCCTTAAGGTCATGTTATTCAGTGGTCACGTGTCCCATATATACTATACCATGGGAACACGTGACCACTGAATAACATAACCTTAAATGAAAGATTAAATTGAAAACTCGTATGCTTGTATAATCGCGGATGAGGGTACTATGGTGTATCAAATATCTCAGATAACAAGGTGGCCACATGTCAGTAAAATCAGAGAAATGTCACGAAAACAAAATTTTTGTCAGTAAAGTCAGGGAAATGACCAGGAAAAAAAATTCTTTGTCAGGGAAATTAAAGAATTCAAATTCCTCAATTTCCCTAACAAAAATTACTTATATAATTTATTTTTTTCAAGTATTTTATTACAAATTTTTCAAAATCAACTTTTTATGAAATTTAATTTCAAATTTTGAAAAGAAATTGGATTCTCAAAAATTTTAATGAAAAATCTTCCAAATGTAAATTTTGAAAATATGTAATGAAAATTAGCTTCTAAAAATTATATTCTAATATTTTTGAAAAAAGTAATTCTTAGAATTTTTTTATTATAATTTTTTAAATTTTAAGGGGAGGGTAAGACCGATATTTTTATTTAACCAAGAAAAATAATTTAAATGGTTTTTTTTATTAATATTTTGAGAGGAATTCAATGGTCATAAAATAAAATCGGTCAAAAAATATTTTGACTTTTTATTTTTTTAAATATTGGTAGATTTTAAAATTCATGCGTAATTTTGTAGAAAATATTTTTTTGGATCCACAAAAAAATGCTTCGAAAATTGTAAAAATCAATTTTTTTCATTTGATACTTTTTTTGTGCATTCAAAAACAAATTTTCTACAAAATTACGCATGGATTTCAAAGCATTTCAATTTTTAAGAAAAATTCAAATTCAAAAAGGGTGAAATTATTTTCTGATCGATTTTATAATCATTGAACTCTTCACAAAAAATTATCTTAAAGACTATTTCATGGAATATTTAAATTATTTTCTTGGCACAGGTAAAAATATACAGGTGGAATCTGCCCTTAATTATTTTCATTTTCAATCACATATTTCCTAAAATTCAAGTTCATTCAAAAAATAACATTACAATTTCAACGAAATTATTTAAGTTTTGAATAATTGGTCTGGAAAAAAATTTTATTTAAGCCAATTAAATCGTATTTGAACCGATAATAATTTGAGTATTTGAAGCAAATACCATTGATTCAAGTAAATATTAAATTTGAAAATATAGACAAATTTTTTTCTGTGTGAATTTAAAAATCAGTTTTTCGCGCTTTAATGTCGATCTGAGGTCTGATAGATTTTTATAAATTTTATTCATTTTAATGTCAGTAAAATTAAATTGTCAGGAAAATAAATAAACTGAATCTTGTGACGACCCAGCTTTTATTTTGTATTTTTTATAATTTTTTTATAGACACCATTAGGAAAAAATCATTTAGTTTTCAAAACGTTGGAGTAAACTGTTAAATATAAATAAATTAAACATCATTTGTCCTAATATTTTCGTTTTCTTATTTATCTTATTTGTATTAACTTAAAGTTACAAAAACATTTTAAAAAAACCAAAAATATCTAGAATTCTCATGAAACTTTATTTTGGCTCATTATGAAATCATGGAATTTTCTTTAAATCATTCAGCTTTAATTCTGAGTTAAGTGTGACAGTAATAATAAAATTTATTGGATTCACTTGAAAATCGTTTCTAATGACGAATCTGACGTTAAATTTTAGAAATTCAAAATGATGCATCCAATTTGTTGGACTTTCTTTTAATTTATCATATTCAGTGAATTTTGGGGTCGCTTACTACAAACGGACATGAAACTGTGGTTATCATCCGAAGTAGAGTTATTAATTCTTGTGCAAAAATAACAAAACAAGACATGTAAAATAACAAATGAATGCGAGCCTTAGACGTATTACTTAGAAAAAGTTTTTCTTTAATGAACATATATTAAAAACTGTCTCTAAAGACTTAAAATCATTTGGAATTTATAATGAGAAGTGCATCAGTTTTTTGCAACTTAGTAACCCTCAGAATATTGTACTTTACACTCGTTGGGAAAGATAATTGAATATGTTTATGAATAATTTGGTCACTATCTTATGTTTTCAATATAATTAGCAACATAGGTGTTTAAAATAGATTTTTACGATTTGCTGCTCGAATTCCTCGCATATCTTTTAAAGACAGACCCATGGTTACAGTGAATTGCGTACCACTAAGAATATCTCACTTTTAACTTCAAGGTTCCTTTCCACTGACATGATTTTTTGTACAGATTTATGAATGAGGCTGTTTACTGTCCTATACTCCCATCAATGGTTAACTTATCAATGCTCAGAGTAATCAAATGACATTGCACATATGGTCAAAAATATAATAGTTTGTTCAGTTAAATTTTCATTATTTCATTTGTAAAAAACTATTTTTTTGCATATTTCTTAAAATATTTGATATTTTGAAGTTTTCCATTCTTGAAACATTTGCTCCGATTCTATTGAAACTAAATTTTTAACACATACTGTAATAGACAAAAAATAGAGGAGATATTTTAAATAATGTCTTTTCCTCCTCACTCTCCCTTATTCGGATCTTTTACACAAAATTTTTGAGATGCGTTTTACTTTTGGAATCAGTAAAAAAAATTAAGTTAATTTTATATAAAAATTACCCAGTAGGGATATTAAATAGATTTTTCAATTTATTTATATTACTTGGTCTATTTTCATTGTTTAAGACATAATTTTATGTTACTCTATCAAGTCCAATAATTAAAAAGAAGCTTTCTGCTTGATATAAAAAAATTTAAATAATATTTCAAAAATATGAACACAAATTATTCACTAAAAAGCTTAAGTGTTTGGGGCTACCCCATTCTCCCCAAATTATTAAAATCAAAATTAAATACTTATTTTCCTCACATTAATAATAAATTTATGAATCACCTATTCACCTTATTGTTTAAAACACGTAAAAATTTCGGTACTTTTAACTTTATCATTAAAATTGATCTAATCTAATCAAATTTAACTTCTTTCAAATTTCACATTCGATACAAGTTTTAAACTTGAAAACTTTAACTGTTGATAAAAAACTTCAATCAATTGAAACTATACTACAGGTATAGATTACATATTCTACAAGTTTATTCAATCTAACAATTTTTAGTACCTCTTTTATTTTTTTACTTTTATTGTAATAAAAATAGCATTGTCAATAATTACCAAACTCAATTGTAAAATAATGTGAATTTAACATTTACTCGATTAAGAAATAGTTTCGTGAGCCAGTGAATGTACACCAATTTATCAAAATAAAATAATGACATTTTAAACACAGGATTATAAGATTTAGAAAGTATTTTTATGAACAATACATATTAAATCAGGGTGTCTAACGATCAGGTGAGTCAGGGAGAAGTCAGGAAATTTTTTTGGTCAGGAAAAAGTCAGGGAATGTCAAAGAATTATAAAAGTCAGGGAAATTTCTAAAAATTTATATAAAAATTAAAAGTGTTAAGTGTGAAGACTATTAAAAATGTAAAGTGTTTTTAAAGAGCCCAAAAATAATGAAGCTAAATGCCTTAAAAAAGAAGAAAAAATGTTGAATTTTAAAAAATTCGGTTTTTCGAATTTTTTATAATTTTGAATTATTTCAAATTTTTTACCAAAGGGTGGAGACTATTAAATAAGTAAAGTATTTTTCAAGAGCACAAAAATAATGAAGCTAAATGCCATAGAAAAGAAGGAAAAATGTTGAATTTTAAGAAATTCGGTTTTTCGAATTTTTGATATTTTTAATAATTTTAAATTTTTTACCAAAGGGTGGAGACTATTAAATAAGTAAACTATTTTTGAAGAGCCCAAAAATAATAAAGCTAAATGCCATAACAGAGAAGAAAAAATGTTGAATTTTAATAAATTCGGTTTTTCGAATTTGTTATAGTTTTAGATTTTTACTAAAGGGTGGAGACTATTAACAGGTGGTGTCTAACGGTATGGGAAGTCAGGGAATGTCAGAGAATTTCATTGAAAGTCAGGGAAATTTCTAAAAATGTATACAAAAATCAAAATTTTTGTGAATAAAAAATTGTTTTAATCTAACAAAACTTAGAAGATTTTTATTATCGTTTGTGTCTATCATTAGATATTAATTTATTCTTACATATGTTAGTTACCATTTTTTTGTCCCAAGAAAGCAGAAATAAAATTAGTAAAAAGTCAGGGAAAAGTCAGGGAATTATTTTCTCAATCCTTGTTAGACACCATGGAAATCATAAAAATATTGTTTTATGCAAAAAAAAGAATCTTTTAATAAAATTTAAATTAAAAGTGGCAAAAAATATCGGCGTTTAATGTTCTTTTAAGTTTTACTGACTCATGTTTTTTTCAAATGTCAATTAGGTTTACAACTACATTGCTTCATTTCCCCTCAATTGGTTGTTGTATTTTGCGATAAACATTATATTCATTTCTTTTCCGACACCCTTTTTATAACTCCCAATTTATTCTTTAAATAGTACTTGGTGCAATTTTCATGCCACTTGTTTATGAATTGCTCGATCTAAAGTGATGTTATGAAATCTAAAATCAACTCATAATGGACTAATCTTCAAGTTCAAATGTTGCGTCTCATAGCATATCAGGTTTAAATTTTTACTTCCGTTAAATATAAATATATTATTTAATATTAACGATATATAGATTTTAGAGTTTATTCAGAATCTTAGTTTGTTTATTTTTAGTAATATTGTATTTATTTTCTTCTATTAATTTATTACTAAAGTGCCATTAAGTAATAGAATTGTCACGCACTATTTCATTCATACGCGAAAAGTTACTCATGCATGAAATCTCGTTTCTTGAATTATTGCAGATCAGTAAGTAACTGATTAAACGACAATGGCGGCAGACGACGAAGGAACGGAATGGCTACAAGAGCTCTTACGTGATGTACAGCTTGGCCAATTTTTCACCAGGATTCGCGATGATCTACAAGTAACGCGTCTGCATCATTTCGACTATGTGCAACCGGAGGATTTGGAGAAAATTGGTTTGGGAAAACCTGGCGTCAGACGATTATTGGATGCTGTGAAAAAGAAACGCGCTGCCCAGTGGAAGAAGACGTTAATTACTAAAATTAAACCTGGAAGTAGTGCTAAAAATAATAAGAGAAACTTTCAACCTGCCGAAACAACTTCTGTGTTAACATGCCTCATTCAGGACAAGGATGTGACTTTATCGATTAAATTGGGCGACGGAAGTTTTGGAGTGGTCAGACGAGGCGAATGGACATCACCCTCGGGGCGAACGTTACCGGTAGCTGTTAAAGTTTTAAAGGCAGATGCTCTCACACAGCCAAATGTTATTGAGGACTTTGTCTCTGAAGTGCAGTCGATGCACAATTTAGATCATCAAAATCTTATTAGGTAGGTGAAGAAAAATAAATACAATTTTCGGAAACTTTTCAAAATTTGTACACTGGGATTCAGGCTTTGTACTCATCTACTATAAGCTACTATTTACTACTTTTTTACGATTTGCTACTATTTGGATACTTTTTTCTATGTTTGAGAATTTCAGGCTTCGCACTCATCTACTACAATCTACTATTTACTACTTTTTTTACGTTATGCTACTATTTGGGTACTTTTTTTAGATTTAAGCCACTAAAAGCTACTATTTTTGTTGTTTTTAGAATTGCACTACTTTAAATTCGCTAATACTAGAAATCAAAAAACTTCTCAAAAATTATAGTCTCAAATTCTTTAAAACGATTCAATTCTTTTGAAAAAACATTCGAAATTCAATTATTTTCAATATCTAGTTTTTTTCATCAAATTTCGCAAAACAATTCAATTATTTAAAAAAAAATGGATAAGATTCATCTAAAATTCAATTATTTTCATAAGTAATAAAATTTCCACAGGAATTCAATTAATTTAAAATAGAATTTTCAAAAAAATTTCGAAATTTCACAATAATTCAATTACTCTCACTAATTGGCAATGAAAATTACCACCGCGGGCTCGGTGCCGCTAGTGTTTTACACCAAAAATGGACGAAATGGGTGTACAAATTTAAAAAAATATAAACTTATATTGTGACTTTTCTGTTTTAATTTTAAGTAGTTTTTCAATAAAAAGATAAATAATGACCAACAATCTTAACAAATATTTCTTAAACATTAGAATACTTTAAATATTAACATTTTTTGCAACCTTGTACACCCACAGTAGCCGTTTTTTTTTAGTTCACGTTATGGTCACTATGTGTCGCATTGCAATTTTAAATCCCCAATAACATTTTTCATGGAAATTCAATTATTTAAAAACATTTTTGATAAAATTCTAAGCAAGAATTTAATTATTTTCATAAATAATAAAACTCATCGAAGAATTTCAATTATTTTTAATTCTATTTTAAATTAATTAATAGAAAAATTCAATTATTTTTACAAATAAAATTTTTCACAAGAATTCAATTATTTAAAATAAAATTCTCATAATATTTATTATATTTTGAAAAATTAATTATTTAAAACAATGTTAACAAGTTCTTATGAAGAAATCAATTATTTTCAAAAATTAACAAAAATTTTTACTGAAATTCAATTCTTTTTAAACATTCTAATAAAATTGTTAGCAATAATTTAATTATTTTCATAAATAATAAAATTCTTTTGAGGAATTCAATTATTTTTGAAAATTTTAATAAAATTCTTAGCAACTATTCCATTATTTTCAGAAATAATAAAATACATCGCAGGATTTCAATTACTTTTAATACAGTTTTACAGGAATTGCTAAAAAAATGTAATATTTTTAAAAATTTAATTTCCATTCTTAAAAAAATCAATTATTTAAAAAAAAAGGTTTTTTTAAATTCTTTGGAAGAATTCAATTATTTACAAAAATATTAGGATTTTTCACAGAAATTAAATTATTTTTAAATATTTTAATAAAATTGTTTGAAAGAAATCAATTATTTTAAATACAATTTTAATTAAATTTTTTTGAAAAAATTCAATTATTCTTTTAGATTTTAATAAAATTCTTCCCAAGAATTTAATTATGTCGATAAATAACAAAATTATTCGGAAAATTCAATTATTTTGAGGCATTTTAATAAAATTCTTTGCAAAATTCAATTATTCTTGTAAATAATAAAAAGCTTTTTAGGAATTCAATTATTTTTAAAAATAATAAAATTTCCACAGGAATTTAATTATTTAAAACTAAAACTAAAAAGAAATACATTTTTAATTAAATTTAATGTAAAAATTTAATCATTGTTAAAAATTTTAGTCAAATTCTTTATAACATTTTAAATATTTTCAAATAATTTTGATAAAATTCTTCGTAGAAATTTAATTAATTTCAAAAAATTGTCGCAAATCGCAATTCAATTATTTTAAATGAAATGCGTCGGATAAATTTTTCGTACGAACTTAAATTTTCCTTGAAATAATTGAATTTGTATTTTTTTATTATTTGTGTCTATTATTTTTATAAATAATAATATTTTGACAGAAATTAAATTATTTAATTAATTTAATTAAAATGATTTTTAATACAATTTTAAATGAATTCTTCGGAAAATGCAATTACTCTTGAAAATTTTATTAAAATTATTCGAAAGAAATCAATTATTTAAAAAAAATTTGTTAGAGCTTTTTATCAGAATAAAATTTTAAGAAATATTCAATTATGCAATAAATTAAATATTTTTGTATTTAAATAATTAAATTCTCGTAGAACTTTCTTATAAGAATTAATTCAAAATTTAGTTTCAGTTAAATTTTTTGATAATAATTGAATATATCAGAAGCGTTATAGTGTGAATTTTTAGAAGTAATTAAATTGCAAAAGATTTTTAAATTGAAATCTTTGAAAATTTTAATTGTCGTATACTATCTAATAATATTAAGGTTTTTATTTTGAAATAAAATGATTAAAGTTTTGAAGAATTTTATTTAAAAATTTCAACAAAAAAGTAATCGAATTTTTTATGAATTAGGTACAGTTGTAATTTTTCGATGGTTTTTCAATGTTAATGCTACTTTTTGATACTTTTATAAAATTATTCTACCGTTCATAATTGAGCGGACACTTTCATCCACTGCTATTAAAAACACAACTTTCTTTAAACCGAGATTAATGGGCGAAAAATGAAGATAGAAAAATTTAATAAACAGATTCGGAAACCTTATAAAATTTCCAAAAAGATGAGTTATATTTGATGTATTTTAATTTATAACGAAAGAAATATTCAGAAATTTTTAGTTTTTCTACAAATTTCTAACCTCAACTTTGACTCGTTCCCTCAGTTAGGAAAATTGTTAGAAGAATTTGAAATCTGTCAGGTATATTTATTGTCTTTTCCCCTTTAATTTAAGCGTAAGAAAGTTAAAAAATGTTAAGTAGCTTACGAGTTATAAGTAAATCTCTAAAATCTCTCTACCCTTCGGCCTACCTCTCCTTCGATTTTTGTAAACAAAAACGCATCGACTGAGGGCGCAATTATTGAAATTCTAGTGTAGTTGAACATGTTAGGTATTTTTGTAAACATTTAAAAAGGTATGTTGTTCCTAGTATTTCGAATTATTTACCGATGTAGTCATAATTTTTAATTACAGATTGTATGGAGTTGTTTTATCCCAACCAATGATGATGGTAACTGAACTGGCACCATTGGGAGCCTTACTGGATTACCTACGTAAGCAGTGTAGTCACATTTCAGTCAATACTCTTTGTAATTACGCCCTGCAAGTCGCTACTGGAATGGCGTATCTCGAAGCAAAACGCTTTCTTCATCGAGACTTAGCTTGCAGAAACGTTTTACTCAGTTCAGTCGATAAAGTAAAAATAGGAGATTTCGGCTTGATGAGGGCTCTACCCCAACAAGAAGACTGTTACGTTATGACAGAGCACAAGAAAGTTCCATTTCCATGGTGCGCGCCTGAGTCGTTGAAAGCCCGGCAATTTAGTCACGCTTCGGATGTCTGGATGTTTGGAGTGACTCTCTGGGAGATGTTGACATTTGGCGAAGAGCCTTGGGTCGGACTGAATGGATCGGAAATCCTGCGAAAAATCGATCGCGAAGGTGAGAGACTTTATGAACCCGAAGCGAGTCCTCCGTCGATGTATCAATTGATGTTGCGCTGTTGGGCACGCGATCCACTCGAGAGGCCGAGTTTTGCGTCTCTGAGGGAATCGTTAACCGGAATGGTTCCATCGATAATGAAGGCTTTGAATCGATTTGAGGAACCTGATAAAATGTCCATTGAGACGGGTGATCATATTGTGATAATAGATGGCAGACCGGAGAACTATTGGTGGAAGGGACAGAATCAAAGGACGTTTACTGTTGGCTTCTTCCCGAGGTGTTTGGTCGATCCAATGAGGCGCAAACAGCCGGAAGATATTAGCAAACCTTTGGAGAATTCCTTTATTCATACTGGACATGGAGCGCCTTTCGGAAAGAGTTGGGGAAGTCCGATTTTCATTGACGATGTTTACTTGAGGAATCCGATGGAGCCGCCTGATGTCGTTGGTACAACCGCGATAGACCCTTCGAAGAAGAAGTTCGCCACAGGCACGCCGCGCTCCCGTAAGCAATTTAATTATACCAAGTTTCAAAATGATCTTAGATCTAGTCCAATAAAGACGGCTTCAGTTCCCCAACCCAGCACTAGTCAAGAAGGAAGCCTAATAGATCTTTCGCCGGAGGAACTCGCGAACGCTGTTGCGCTCACTTGTCCATCGGACACGGCTTGTCGAAGGGTGGTCAATATTCTCGATGAACCGATTGATGTTGAAAGGGGGTCACAAAATTGCTGGCAAGATGACGATCCAACTTATGTGAATGTTGCCGAGAATGGAGGACATCAGGATTCTCAACCCGATCCTTTTGATACTTCGAGAGTTTTTGCCAATTCGACCCAATCTCGATACTATAGTGACGTGACGCCGGATATTGCTAGTCATTATCTTAAAAGTTCACAGCAGCAGCAGTATGGTAACGTTCGGACTGAGGAAGCAGCAGGATCGAGTAGTTCTTACCAGTACAACGGAGACATTAATCAGCTAAATTTAAACAAAGACATTAGGAGTGACAGTATGAATCTTAATGTCAATGTCGACAACGAAGGAAGCGAATACAACGGGGAACATTACAGCGAAATCGACAAGGTCAGTCCTGCATCGACAACTTGGCCGGAAGACTTGGAGGGTAGTGGTCAAACCTACGTAAACGTGTCAACCATCCCGGTTGTAGCAGGACCACCGCCTTTGCCTCCACCAGTGGGTCCGAACGAAAGTCCGCCGAAGCCTAAGTCCAACGTCGATTTGGCCCAAAGTATGAAGGAGTTGACGATCGACACCAAATCGCAAACCTCCCCTAAAAAACTCGACCCAGCTTTCCTTGCCGAACTGGAAAAGCACCTAGGAGAGAAGGAAGCGTCGAAGAATACAAATGCTGCCCTACAACATCAGCAACAATCCGCCGTCTGTTTACCGTTCACAAGTGCTCACAAACCTGCCGACAATTCGACTATTCCAGTCCTGCGACCGCCTCCGCCAAAATCAAAGTCGCCCCACGACCCTCGAGCAGTAGTGAACATCACGAACAAGGTTCAAAACTCCTGGCAATCGAAAAGCACCAACATTCAGCGACCGCGAAGTCAATTGGGCCAAGCGCCCAGCCAAATGCTCGAAAGCACCACCGACGCAATCGTCAGTCAAATGTGGCAGACCCAGACCAGCATTCAACAAACTATGCAAATCTCCTTTCAAAGTAGTTCCAATCTTCTACAAATCGCCCCTAGTAACTTAACCCAAGCTCCAAGCAATATCCAAACCGATCAAAGTTTATTAGCGCAAAATCAAAATTACTTCCAACAACAAACATTTACAATGCCAGTGCCAAATCCAACAATTAGTCAAAACGTAATTCAGGTGCAAAACGACCTCCAGCATTCCTCACCCAGAGGAAATTCCCTCCCCAGATCCGTCTCCCAATCCGGTGCTATGCTATCGGAGCAAGTTTACGCCGAACTGAAACAAACGGTGCCAAATTTGGAACAATTATCCCAAAGCGAATTCAATACTCTTTACAACAAAACCGTACAGCAGAATATCCTACGCAACTATCAATCCAACAACGGAGCGTCGTGCAATAATTGTGTATCAAGTACAAATTACAATTGCCAACAGCAAATGACAATGGCTATTGGAAACAGTCTGCAATCAAACGTTCGCCAGGGAAATACCCTCCCGAGATCTTTCAAGCAGGAGAATCCTGCGAATCCTTACGATTTCAGTCCGAGTTTAAAGCAACCACCGGTTTATAATCCTCCGCCCGCCTGGTCACCATTAAAACCGGTTCAGAACGGAACTGTCGCGAATCAAAGTACGAAATCAAATACAAACGTGACGGGGAATCAAGCGGGGAGTTCGAATTTAATACAGTTCACACCGACCAGAGTGTCGCAACCCTCTACCTCTCAGCCCTCTGCGACTGCTCGGAGTCTATTACCTCAATTGAATGAGACGACGATTAATACACAATTGGTACCTTCTTCTTCGGCTTACCCTTCGGGAGTTAGTCCGCCTTTGAGTGGAGCGTCGAAGCAATTGGTGATGTCATTGAATGATGAGTTTAGAGCCAGTAAAGTTATGAAAGTTCAAAGAGAAGTTACCGACGCTTCTCAGCAGGAGGTTCTTACTGCTCTTCAAGCCACTGGATGGGACACAGCTCAAGCCGCCAAACAAATTAGTAAAGATAGACAAGCGAAGGTCGAGTCTCTTTTGCGGTAAGTTGCATTTTTTTTAAGAATACTGATCTCAAATTTTGTTCTTTATTCCTACACTGAAAATGAAATTCAGTATTTAAAAGATATAATAAGGACGTTTCACGTCAACCGGTCCAGAGCTCCTTTCAAAATTCTAATCAACGAAAATCAACTTATTGCGGATCAAAATAATCGTCAGCTTATACTGTTTCGAATAAAAAGTGTCGAATTCAAAATGGCGTCCTTACTGCACCAATTTTTGCAAATTTGTATACTAGTCCAGCTAACAAATGTATTAATTAGCTTCAGAAAATAATTATAACTTGTTGAATAATGCTATTTTGGGGTCGCTGAATGCAAATCTAAAGTTAGATTTTTAAAAAATTTCTAAATTCAAAATGGCGGATTTAATATGGTGACTAAAAATTTAAAAAAATTATCAGATTTATTTGAAACTTGTTCTTGGGGAGTTTTTAAAGTTGCTGATTCCGAATCTTAAGTTAGATTTAAAAAATTTTAAAAATTCAAAATGGCGACCAAAATTTAAAAAAAATTATCAGTTTTGCTTGAAACTTGTTATTCGGGGGTTTTTGGGGTCACTAATTTCAAATCTTTAGTTATATTTAAAAAATTTTCAAAATTCAAAATGGCGGATCCAATATGGCGACCAAAATAAAAAAAAATCCAAGAAAACAAGTCTCAAGCAAATCTGATAATTTTTTTAAATTTTGGACGCCACATTGGATCCGCCATCTTGAATTTCGAAAATTTTTTTAAACTAACTTAAAAATCGCAATCAGCGATCTCAAAAACCCCTGAAGTAACAAGTTTCAAGAAAATCGAGTAAATTTAAAAAAAAAATTTCGGGGTTTTTTGGTATTGCTGATTATGAATCCGAAGTTTCTCGGATTTTAAAAAAATCTACGGATTCCCTTCAAATTCGTTGCTTGAATATTTTCGTGGTCGATCATTACAAATCCGACGTTAGTTTCTCAAAACTTAAAAAGACGGATTTAAAAATGCAATAAAGATTTTAATCTTTTTGGTTTTTTGTCCAATATTTTGAATTTTTGTAAACCTGGCATTGAATTCGTAATAAAAAACCCTGAGAAACGACTTTTAAGGAAATCCATTGAATTTTTGTCCTCCACATTGGATCCGCCATTTTGATTTTTGAAAATCTGACAATTTCAAATATAATTAAATTATTAATATAAAATACACAATTTTAGTTAATTAAACTAAAAATTAAGTTTCGTAGCCCAAAACTTGCCGTGTAAGAATCCTCAAACGAATTTTATAAATAAAAAAAAATTTTAATTAAGAAACGTTTTTTTATAATTGCAGATTGGCACTGGCAGATAGGCAGCAATGCGAATCTGCACTGAAGCAGACTGAATATGATGTAGAATTAGCAGCTTCTCTTCTATTGGACCGCGCGAGGTAAAGATTAATTTCCAAACATCAACAAGTAACTCCAAGTACCGAAGTTGATGAAAAACTATTCAAAGCTCTGGTTGTAAGTATTTAAATAACAAATTTAAGTTGTTTTCAAGTGTATTTTATCAGATAAAAATGAAAATTGCGTAGACAATTTCAAAAGAAATTAAAAAAGCCTTTATTAAAATATTATACACAAGCGACCAAAAAGATGAAAAAAATGCTTTTAAAGCTTAGGAACGTTTTAATTTTAGAACAAACAACAGTTTTATTAATCGGAGTAAAATTAAAAAAAACTAACGTAAAGAAACGAGTTCATAAATAAAACATAGTTAGGTAAAGAATTAAAGTATTACTACTTTCACTCTTACTGAAGAATAATAAGAAAGCTCAGAATTATGAAAAATTTCAATTAGTATTTATATTGAAAATTAAAGGCTTGTATTTAAATTAGCTTAATTTTTTAAGCTGAGAGTAAAAAATGATATTTATTAGTTTTTACTCTTGACGAGTATTTTTATTATAAATGACTGAAGTGTATTTAGTAAATGAAAAAATTTGTTGGGATATCCGTTATTTTTCTCTACGACGATGAGTCTCTCTATGAAAACATATTTCTTTTAATTTTATGTTTTTTGGAAGCTTTTGGGATTTTAAAAATTTTGAAGTTTGTTGTTTTACTATTTATTTTTGAATATTTTTTCTGTTTCATTGTTAAATATAGCATTGCATTTAATTTTTAAATTTAAATGACAAGCCATTAACAAAAAGACAAATCTATTTTTTTGCTTTTTATAGAATTTTTTTTATTGTTTCAATAAAAGTTTTGAAAAGAGATTAATTTTATTTCTTGATTTTGAGTAAATTCTTTAAAAGTTTGTTTCAATTTTGATTTTAAAAAAGCATTAAAATGGGTTATGGTCTTTAAAAAAAATTCGTATCAACAGACTAGATCACAGGGTGTTTTTAAAGAGTTTAAGGGGGATGAAAAACCATCTGAAGAATGAATGTAATCAACTGACAGGATATGTGCGCCAGTGATTAAAAATTTTTGACGTCAAAGATTGGGAATCTAATACTGTGATATATGCTATACTAAAGGCACTAGGCGCTTATATCGAGAGACAAATTAGTGCTTTGATCTTTCGTGTGGTAAATGTAATTAAGAAAATGCGTACGTGTACAGTGGCAAACGGTAAATGTGTCTTGAAATCAGATTATTTCCGTGGCATGTAAATAGAACAAAAGTCTAGCATAATATTTAAAAGTAAAAAGAAGGAAGTTAATAATACTCTGTACATTAATTGTGCGCTTCTAAGAGGTGTATAGATAAATCTGTCAAGATAATAAATTAAGTCGTCCAGTGTGTTAGCGATTAAAATATTGTTCATGTTTTCAATTCGCGAGTAAAAAAGGGAGAAAATTTGTTTCTCCTCAAATTTACTTGTCTTTAGTTTAAGTTCTTAAATTCAGGTGAAGATTCTAATTATTAGCAAAAAACATTTTTTTACAAATTAATATTCTGAATTTCAGTAAAAAAAACAGTTCGACGCCTCCTATTGATAACATGTTAACCCATTTATCAATAAAATATAATTTTAACTCAGAGTTCAGTGCTTGTTTCTTTAATACGATTAGAATTGGATGATCAAAATAATGGCTAACTCAAAATTACGTTTAATGTAATTCCTTTCCAAATCTCAAACAAATATTCTTATTCAAGTCGTTCAATATATTAAACAAACGAGAAATAATAACTAAAATTTTAATTTAATTAAAAAAAAGAATTAAAATTATAATTCAATCTAATTGTGATAAATTTCAACTGGAAATTTAGTTTCAATTTCTAATTACAATTTATCAATATAAAAATAATTGAAAAAATGAAAAGAACATTCGATTCTGTTAGTTAAAGTTAAACTTTTGATTCCCGGGGCCCGATACACTTGATTTTGTTCTTTGTCGTGATTGCTGGACACCAATCTTTGCGCCACTGCATCAGCATTTTCTACATTGTGCGTGTCATATTTGTCCTATCCTGATAGCAATGCTATCTCTGCGACATTGTTCCAGCTTCAGATAGTAATGCTGAGTAATGTTTCACCTATCACGGAACTTTATTTGGAATTAATGTTTTCTGGGCTACTCATTTATTTAGACTAATTGTAAGACTTAGTCGCCTTCATTGTCTAAAATATTCCCCACTTTTCATTATTTAAGTAACTAATTCAGACAAAGTTACTCTTAGAACTGTAACAATTTTTTGCTACATACCTCTGATAGCACCTCTCACAAGAGTCACTCCATTTAATTAATTGTACCTTGGTGCTCCAAATATCGATTGAAATCTTTCGATATTAAGAAAAACGCACATCTTAAACCACATAGTCGCGCAAACTGAGCACCATGGTATTCACGAAAACAAAGTCGACAGAAAGCTCTCTTCTTCTCCCCAACCGTAGTTTGAGTATCAACGCCTGAGTTTGTAACTTTCAACCCATGTCTATGATTGTACACAGAGACAACAGTATCAGCAATCAAATTCATCTCTTTTCCCTTCATAAAATAGAAAATGGCACAAGGATGAAATTCTAAATGCCCACTAGTAACCTCCATTCCACATGAAGTTACCCAACGATCTCCAATCACTCTTAAAGGTTTCACATCCGACGAAATTAAAGCACTATGTAGTCCCAACAAACATGGACGGATTAATCGTTCAAAATATTCATCACTAAAATATGCAATTTCCGGACACATCACTAACTTTAATCACTTTCCTAATTGTGTCTTAACTCCAAAAATTTCACCATGTCTGAAAATTACTTGTTGAATCTGATGACTAATAATCTGAAAATAATCATCGGTTTCCAAATATAACTGATACTTGTACATCCATTCACATACACATCTCAGAATCTCAGACAGTTTAATCGCAGGAGACATCTCTTCGAAACATAAAACATTGACTATCTTCCACAACTCCCCAACCATTGGACAGTCAATATGTGGGAAGGAATGGACCAAACCAATTAGCCGAGTGTCTATCTTCAAAAACACTTTATACCAAGTAATTGCGAACGCTCCTAATGCTCGAACTCCAAAACATGTTCTAAGAGCACGATCAAAAATTACACTAACATTTTTGACATCCTCTCCATCTAAATGTAAATATACGAATCGAATATTGGCAATCTTTATAATTGTTATTTCTCTTAAAACCGTAACAATTTTTTGCTACCTGATTACCTGAACTATTCGATAAATTGATTTGATCTTGTCGTGATTACGAGTCACCAATCTTCGCGCCATTGCGTCAGCATTTTCTACATTGTGCGTGTCATATTTGGCCTATCCTGATAGCAATGCTATCTCCGCGACATTGTTCCAGCTTCCTATAGTAATGCTAGGTATTGTTTTACCTAACACGAAACTTTATTTGGAATTAATGTCCTCTGGGCTACTCATTTATTTAGACTAACTATAATACTTAGTCGCTTTCATTATTATGCCTCCATTTGGAGGGTTAACGAATCTCCTTCGAGTTTGAGTAGTATTGTCTCATCTGATTCCATACATTGCCCATGCTTTAAAAATATATAAGTAATTGAAATATTTTATGCATATATCAGATTTCGTTACCCACCAATTGTCGTAAATTAGTTCGTAATTGCAATAAGGTCGACTATCGCCTGTGTACATCCTGAAACCAGTGTCAAAAGCAAACTTGTTCTTCTTGTATGGTTTTAAAAACTGTCTCTCAAAATCTCTATACGTCATGTTTTGGCAAGTCATTAAATGCGGTGCATCATGTTTAATCGCAACTCCATTTTCAAGTCCAAGGTCGTATGAATGTCCGTCAATGCCGGTTACTGATATTTTAGAACGAGCCGCTAGAACGGAGTGTACCCAAACAAGGTACAGTACGCAAGAGCCCCTCTAGCAATCATATATTGTCGATTTTTTAACAGCCATCCGTACACGCATAATGCTACGGCTCCGGCGAGGGTGTAAGTCAATGACTTTACTCCAAATAAAAAAACCCCCGCTCCAACTAATAAAAAAATTTTTGATGTATGAAGACTCAAAAAACCGACAACAGCAACGATCATCCACATCTTTGTCTTCCAGTCATCCGTCCATTTGCTCGGATCGATTGAAAAACCATGATAGCAATGCTATCTCCGCGACATTGTTCCAGCTTCCTATAGTAATGCTAGGTATTGTTTTACCTAACACGAAACTTTATTTGGAATTAATGTCCTATGGGCTACTCATTTATTTAGACTAATTGTAAAACTTAGTCGCCTTCATTATTAAAAATATCTCCTACTCTTCCTCATTTGAAGAAGCTCCAGACTGTAAGCTCGCAATACGTAAGGGGGAGTACCCGATCCTCCCACACATCAGACTAGTGGTTTTTAATTCATAAATGCCATCGGGTTCAGACGCTGGAGTCGTGGTCCCAGAAAATAACCCAACAAGTCTTCGTTTAGCTTCTCATTTGCAGGAAAAGCTGTGACTGGTAGTGGATTGTAGTTGTCGTATAACTGTCGTTATGTGCGATCTAGTGTCGTATACATAACTAACGGGCTGATGTTGACTTCGTCGGCGTTGTACATCGCAGCAGTTATCCGCCCAAAACTTTCAAACGCGACAGCTGGAATGTCAACAGCCGGTTGCAGAGCTGGTTGCGGAATGATAGCATCACAAAAGTTCGGCTTCACAATCGAACCGTCGTGTCCAATATACTCGGCTATTGGTAATGGAATGGTCAAATCCGGTGGTCAAGACACGTAATCGGGTCGTCTTGTTCGGTGAATCGCGGTTCATCATTTTCTTCGCGAACCTTGTGAATGATGACAGTCTGTAAGGCAATATTACAGTCATGGATAAACGCAGAACGGGACAAAGTCGATGCAAATTTGTTGTCTATACTCCCATGTTCATCATAGATGGAACTGACTAGAGGCGAGAGCTGTGACATTTCAAGATTCCGTTCATAAAATGCATTTTCAGGAACTGATCCCATGTAAGGGCCACGACTATAGAGGGAAGTATCCAGCGCAAGTGTCTCACGCTTGGATCAAAACCTTGACAGGTCATCCTCTGTCATGTCTTGTACCTTGGTGCTCCAAATATCTATGGAAATCTTTCGATATTAACCTCGATGTAATTGTTATCATAGAAATTTTTTTCACAACTAAAATATATTAAAATATATATATTCACAACTAAAAATATTTTTTCACAACTACCGTCTTGACACCATTTGCTTTTTTCAAAAAATCTCCTTCCTCCACACGAATACTATACATTTTACTTCGTAGGCCAACAAATTCTGTTATTATTCGTCCATTACACTCATCTTTCATGAGTCCTAAGACTTTTTTGTTAGCTTGCAGAATTTCATATATACTATTAGCAGGATAATCAGATGTATCAAATTTACAAATATCTGCTTTCACTTCAGAGTAGATATCTGTACATTTAATTTTATAAATAAGGCTGTCGGTATCAGTGTAGAGTGATTTACCATTTTTACCATACTTGATTCTCATATACTTATAATGAAAATCATACATCATGTTTTAGATATATCTAAAACGCTAAGTCCAATATAGATGTGTTTATTCATAAGCACTTCACTTTTGTTAAGCTCCACAGCAACCAAGTTTTTTTTGAAAATAGCTCGTGTGTGAAAGTTTGGTTTTGAAATAAGAGCCTCTGCTCCATACCTACCCTCCCATTTTGTTACAAGTCTAACATCGACACGTTTTCGTACATTCTCCATTGTCTTACCATAATTGCATTGTTTATAAGTTTGGAAAAGATTTTTTTCAAATTCATTTTTTGCATTTGTTCGCATGTCGGTATTAAAATCAATATAACGCTTCAACCATGTAGATTGTTTAAATTTTAAAACTTCGTGAATTTGAGTGGGTTTAAGACCACTCTTTATTGCTTGTTGAAGCGCACGATAATGGAAAATATACTTTTGTTTTGGTAGGAGCGTAGTGAGCAATTTCTCTTGTTTTGATCTAGGTGGCTTTGAGTGTTCTGGACAAAATGGTAAGTCACTATGACTTTCATGTAGATCATGTGGATACTCTAAATCAACTTCTAATATATAACCAAAATCTGAATCATTATTGATATTAAAGTTAAAAGACTTATCTACATCTTTTACCCACTCAAAATCACCATAGGGAAGTGCTTGAATCATAGCCCAACCATAAAGGTTATTAGCATCCAAATATACAATGTAAGATGGATCTTCATTTTCATTATAATTTTTCATGTACGGATTATTGGCATGAGCATATCTGTTTGAACATTGACTAATCCCCCCTCTAATATTAGCATCCAAATATAAAATGTAAGATGGATCTTCACTTTCATTATAATTTTTCATGTACGGGTTATTGGCATGAGCATATCTGTTTGAACATTGACTAATCCCCCCTCTAATATTAGCATCCAAATATACAATGTAAGACGGATTTTCATTTTCATTATAATTTTTCATGTACGGATTATTGGTATGAGCATATCTGTTTGAACATTGACTAATCCCCCCTCTAATATTTTCAAAAAGTCTTCTTCCTCCACACGAATACTATACATTTTACTTCGTAAGCCAACAACTTCTGTTATTATTTGTCCCTTACACTCATCTTTCATGAGTCCTAAGACTTTTTTGTTAGCTTACGGAATTTCATATATACTATTAACAGGATAATCAGATGTATCAAATTTACAAATATCTGCTTCACATCAGAGTAGATATCTGTACATTTAATTTTATAAATAAGGCTGTCGGTATCAGTGTAGAGTAATTTACTATTTTTACCATACTTGATTCTCATATACTTATAATGAAAATCATACATCATGTTTTAGATATATCCAAAACGCTAAGTCCAATATAGATGTGTTTATTCATAAGCACTTTAGTTTTGTTATGCTCCACAGCAACCAAGTTTTTTTTGAAAATAGCTCGTGTGTGAAAGTTTGGTTTTGAATTAAGAGCCTCTGCTCCATACCTACCCTCCCATTTTGTTACAAGTCTAACATCAACACGTTTTTGTACATTCTCCATTGTACATTCTCTTGTTTTGATCTAGGTGGCTTTGAGTGTTTTGGACAAAATGGTAAGTCACTATGACTTTCATGTAGATCATGTGGATACTCTAAATCAACTTCTAATATATAACCAAAATCTGAATCATTAGTGATATTAAAGTTAAAAGACTTATCTACATCTTTTACCCACTCAAAATCACCATAGGGAAGTGCTTGAATTATAGCCCAACCATAAAGGTTATTAGCATCCAAATATACAATGTAAGATGGATCTTCATTTTCATTATAATTTTTCATGTACGGATTTTTAGCATGAGCATATCTGTTTGAACATTGACTAATCCCCCCTCTAATATTTTCAAAAAATCTTCTTCCTCCACACGAATACTATACATTCTACTTCGTAAGATGACAAATTCTGTTATTATTCGTCCATAACACTCATCTTTCATGAGTCCTAAGACTTTTTTGTTAGTTTGCGGAATTTCATATATACTATAAGCAGGATAATCAGATGTATCAGATTTACAAATATCTGCTTTCACATCAGTATAGATATCTGTACATTCAATTTTATAAATAAGGCTGTCGGTATCAGTGTAGAGTAATTTACTATTTTTACCATACTTGATTCTCATATACTTATAATGAAAATCATACATCATGTTTTAGATATATCCAAAACGCTAAGTCCAATATAGATGTGTTTATTCATAAGCACTTCAGTTTTGTTAAGCTCCACAGCAACCAACTTTTTTTTGAAAATAGCTCGTGTGTAAAAGTTTGGTTTTGAAATAAGAGCCTCTGCTCCATACCTACCCTCCTATTTTGTTACAAGTCTAACATCAACACGTTTTCGTACATTCTCCATTGTCTTACCATAATTGCATTGTTTATAAGTTTGAAAAGATTTTTTGCATTTGTTCGCATGTTGGTATTAAAATCAATATAACGCTTCAACTATGTAGATTGTTTAAATTTTAAAACTTCGTGAATTCGAGTGAGTTTAAGACCACTCTTTATTGCTTGTTAAAGCGCACGATAATGGAAAATATACTTTTGTTTTGGTAGGAGCGTAGTGAGCAATTTCTCTTGTTTTGATCTAGGTGGCTTTGAGTGTTCTGGACAAAATGGTAAGTCACTATGACTTTCATGTAGATCATGTGGATACTCTAAATCAACTTCTAATATATAACCAAAATCTGAATCATTATTGATATTAAAGTTAAAAGACTTATCTACATCTTTTACCCACTCAAAATCACCATAGGGAAGTGCTTGAATCATAGCCCAACCATAAAGGTTATTAGCATCCAAATATACAATGTAAGATAGATCTTCATTTTCATTATAATTTTTCATGTACGGATTATTGGCATGAGCATATCTGTTTAAACATTGACTAATCCCCCCTCTAATATTAGCATCCAAATATACAATGTAAGATAGATCTTCATTTTCATTATAATTTTTCATGTACGGATTATTAGCATGAGCATATCTGTTTAAAGATTGACTAATCCCCCCTCTAATACCACTTTTAACAAACATAACCATATCAATATCTGTTAGAAGTTCCAACTCTACAACTGTATATTTTAACATGGCATCCCAACTAAGTCCAGGTGTTGTATAATAATAAGCTGGATCTAAACCATATGCATCATGGCATTGGTCTCTGAAATTCTCAAAAACATCTGTGTGTAGTAAAATATCAGTTTTCATATACAAATATACATACTCGTAGGGATATTGCCAATTAAAAGTACATTAAACCTTTTGTGCATGATGATAATCTTAACCGTTTACATGAGAATCATGTAGGGTACTGTAAAATTGTTCTTTTGCAGGTAGTTGTGTCTCGTTTAATTTCGATCTATTGTCCAAGTACTCATACGGAAACATTCCTTTGCGTGTTAATAACTGAATCTTATTAACATCATAAGACTCAAATTCGGAATGTACTATTGAATAATTTGATAAATATGATGCCAATTTGTCTAAAAATGATGCTATGAATCAAAGAATTTTAATTTTATACCATTTTCTGGGAATTGTTTTGTGAAGCTAATATATTTTTCTTTAGTAATAGGAAGGAGATCAATTTTTCCTTCAAACTCATTCGCAATGGCTTCTATTATGAAGCCATAAAACCACTCAAATTATGAAAAACAACAGGAATAGTATTCAATTCCTGATAGTTAAGATTACAATATTGATGAGCTACACCTCTATATTTACCAGTTAGGTGACAATGGTCCCTAACCTTAGTCTCTCTCTGACTAATCAATTTTTTACAAATGTGACATTTATTAATTTTTTGAAAAAGATACTCTTGCTTAGCACTTAAAACTTCCATCGGAATGATAGTTTTAAATATAGGCTCAAGTCTCTGAGCAACTTGTTTCAATTCATGAGCAAACCATTTTGATGCATCTTCTTCATCAATGGGGGATGCTTTGTATACAGATTTTATATTATTACATCTTTGTTCATTGAATTTTAAATAATATCCAATGCTTAAAAGTTTATGATTTTGAATAATTTCTGTATTACCTCCCACAGATGAAGAATCTGTTTTATATACTTCTTATGTTCCTGTTGAGATAACTGAGAGCTTACAAGTCGTGATAAATTTTTAATCCAAACATAGTGATATTTAGTTTGCGCTTTATCCACCTCATGAATATTATAATTATCTTGCATTAACAAAAGATTAACATGAGTTTCTTTTTTATTTAAAGTCTGATGTAATGGAACTACGTTAAATTTATCATCCTTCATCTTTTATAATTATTTTGTTGTTTTCCCTAAATAGCAAAAGGTGGATGTTTATACCTATAATGACAAATTAGAATATTAACTGTGGTTTGACTAAACTTTCTGTTTGGAAATAAATTTTCTGTATAGCAGAGGACAATTTTTATGTCGGTATAGTAGACATAGTACAAAAATTGTTAACAATGTTAACCAATTTGTCCATCTTTCTCTTACCTTGTTGCTTCGGCCTGTATAAGTAAAAGTCTTAGCTCATCGTATTTAATATTTTTACCTTTTGTATTTTATTTTCTCCGTGACATTGTTCCACCTTCCGATAGTGATGCTTAGTACTGTTTCACCTATCACGAAACTTCATTTGGAATTAATGTCCTGTGGGTTACTGACTTGTATAGACTAATTGTAAAACTTAGTCGCCTTCATTATTAAAAATATTCACCACTCTTCATGATTTGAGTAACTAATTCAGACTAAGTTTCTCTTAAAACCGTAACAATTTTTTGCTACATACCTCTGATAGCACCTCTCACAAGAGTCACTCCATTTAATTAATTGTACCTTGGTGCTCCAAATATCGATTGAAATCTTTCGATATTAAGAAAAACGCACATCTTAAACCACATAGTCGCGCAAACTGAGCACCATGGTATTCACGAAAACAAAGTCGACAGAAAGCTCTCTTCTTCTCCCCAACCGTAGTTTGAGTATCAACGCCTGAGTTTGTAACTTTCAACCCATGTCTATGATTGTACACAGAGACAACAGTATCAGCAATCAAATTCATCTCTTTTCCCTTCATAAAATAGAAAATGGCACAAGGATGAAATTCTAAATGCCCACTAGTAACCTCCATTCCACATGAAGTTACCCAACGATCTCCAATCACTCTTAAAGGTTTCACATCCGACGAAATTAAAGCACTATGCAGTCCCAACAAACATGGACGGATAAATCGTTCAAAATATTCATCACTAAAATATGCAATTTCCGGACACATCACTAACTTTAATCACTTTCCTAATTGTGTATTAACTCCAAAAATTTCACCATGTCTGAAAATTACTTGTTGAATCTGATGACTAATAATCTGAAAATAATCATCGGTTTCCAAATATAACTGATACTTGTACATCCATTCACATACACATCTCAGAATCTCAGACAGTTTAATCGCAGGAGACATCTCTTCGAAACATAAAACATTGACTATCTTCCACAACTCCCCAACCATTGGACAGTCAATATGTGGGAAGGAATGGACCAAACCAATTAGCCGAGTGTCTATCTTTAAAAACACTTTATACCAAGTAATTGCGAACGCTCCTAATGCTCGAACTCCAAAACATGTTCTAAGAGCACGATCAAAAATTACACTAACATTTTTGACATCCTCTTCATCTAAATGTAAATATACATAACAACGTAGTGAGTTTAAAAAAGAAGAACATCCAAACTGAACAACTCTAATCAAATCATTCGAACTCAAAGTTCCCTAAGCAAAAAAAAAGACTTAGTCGCCTTGATTATCAAAAATATTTCTCACTCTTCATCTGATCTTAACGACAACTTTTTACAAATGTTAAGCGTCGTTCATCACTAAATTGAATGTTGTATATATTTGTTTCTCGAAAATTATTCCTTCTAGGTTATCTAGTAATTTTAGCGAAAACCTTTTTATGAGTTAATTGCGATTCTATATACTAACGTGCGATATTAAATTTTTATTCATCGCTACATTGAATATCATCATAGATGTCATAATCTTCAGAAGTTTTTACAATAGTGATGGACATGTTGAATTGAATCGAATAATGGCAATCTTTATAATTGTTATTTCTCTTAAAACCGTAACAATTTTTTGCTACCTGATTACCTGAACTATTCGATAAATTGACTTGATCTTATCGTGATTACGAGTCACCAATCTTCGCGCCATTGCGTCAGCATTTTCTACATTGTGCGCGTTATATTTGGCCTATCCTGATAGCAATGCTATCTCCGCGACATTGTTTCAGCTTCCTATAGTAATGCAAGGTATTGTTTTACCTAACACGAAACTTTATTTGGAATTAATGTCCTCTGGGCTACTCATTTATTTAGACTAACTGTAATACTTAGTCGCCTTCATTATTATCCCAGTAATAAGGGGTGAATTAAAGTGGATTGGTACTTTTATGCCCTTAAATTCCAAACCAATTCCGTTTTTGTCCGCAATCTTAATGAATTCCTTTTCTATTGTTAAATTGATAATTTCTATCCAATTCAATTCTCTGTAATCACGTGACCAGAGTCTGAATTCACTTTAATGCCGTTTAAGGGAATCATTTGTTGTGGAGTTAATGCCTTTGAATTAACATTGAATTCTTTAAAGGGCATTAAAGGGGTTTCAAAATCTGGTCACGTGGTTATACACGGAAAAGTTTTTGGGCGAGCAGACGTCTCTCACTCGCCTCCCACAGAAAAGGTTTTCTGCTTTCTCTCTAAAGAGAGCTCTGATGCCCCACAAGAGAGCTCTGACGCCCCACAGTAGGAAAGCAGCAGTCTCTGTGGGTGAAATGAGCTACCAAAATGGGGCTGTCACTTTACCATAGGTACTGGTCACTCAGCGCCACCACAACAGGTACAGCGACTCGCCCAAGAACTTTTCCGTGTAGAGAATTGAATTGGATAGAAATTATCAATTTAACAATAGAAAAGGAATTCATTAAGATTGCGGACAAAAACGGAATTGGTTTGGAATTTAAGAGCATAAAAATGCCAATCCACTTTAATTCACCCCTTATTACTGGGATGCCTCCATTTAGAGGGTTAACGAATCTCCTTCGAGTTTGAGTAGTATTGTCTCATCTGATTCCATACATTGCCCATGCTTTAAAAATAAATAAGTAATTGAAATGTTTTATGTTTTTATCAGTTGATTCAATAAAAAAATTAATTTTTGTCGTCGCCATTCTGTGCGCATGATTAGAAAATCTTATCATTGAATAATGAAAAAACAGAAGTATTTAAAAAAGTTACTTATGTCAAATTGATGACTCTCAAGAATATATGATTGAAAATAAAGTAAAAAAAATAATTTAAAATAAATATTCAATAAATTAAATTTACCGATTACTTACATAGTAAAAATTGACAACAAATAATAGAAGGTTGAACGTAATTTTGAGTTAGCTATAAATATTATTTTAAATACTGAATTGGAATCATTAAGAAAACACCGAAGTAGCTTTATGTTGCATTGAGCTAGGAGTTGAAATAAATTGACACTTGATTTAGCATCTTATCATCGAGAGGCGTCGAGTTATTTAAATTTAAAAACTTTTCTTTTTTTTCAAAAGTAGCTAATAGTTGGTTTCTTTATTGTACCTTGATTTTCTTATTTATTTTGTTATTTTTATTTATTTTTTTAACTGTATTATTTTTAAAAATTAGAAGAAAAATGTATACATGAGACTGATAGCTCGTGTCTTCCGTTGTTTAGAAAACAGCGCAACAATAACATTATTTTAAAAGTCAAATGTGCCAAAGGGCTTCTTGACTTTTTATAACAATTATTTCCTGCTTTGATGATCAATTATATTAATTTTATACTGTATTGTTTGAAATAAAATTCATCGTCCAAAGAAAATCAAGGGATAAAGTGAAATTTATAAATATTTTTCTTGCTTGGTAAGACAATGGTTATGTTAATTTCTTTGTTTTAAAGAATTCGATCATTTTTAGGTATTTTGAAATTTTTACAGTTTCAATGACAATATTTCTAGTTATGAAAATAGTTTTCTTTAAATATAGTCTCGAGGACTATAATAAAAATCGACATACAGTTTGTAAACATGATTTTAGGAATAAGGGAAAAACTAGCCAAAATATTTAAATAAAAATAATGTTAAATATATTAAATAATAATAATTAGAAATAATGACAAATATTGTTAATATGTGTTTATTTGTCTTTAAAAAAGTGTAAAGTAAAATAAATGAAGTTAGTAAAATTCTAAAGAAAAATGGTCGGAAATGCATAAATGGCTATAATTTTCTTATTCCTGATCGTGACGTTTAGTTGATAATATCGGCGTATGTTTTTATATGATTTTATTTGGAAAAAAGTTAAACATTCATTAAAGTTTGGTAGATAAAGAAGTTGATTAATTTTAGATAAAAAAAAATGATCAAAATTTGTTATGAAAGGGATTTTCATTTGATGTAAATTTCGAATTTAAGTTATTGAATATTTTACCTACGATCTTGAATTTATAATATAGTGAATTTTCGTTAGTTGATCGATTTGCATCAAATTCTGATAATGTGCATACATTCCTGCTCTCAACAATGAGGGAGTAAAAAAGAAAGGCTTCGAGTAGCAATAGTTCCCTTTACATTTCGACCTTTCCCACAATCGTACAACATCTATGATCTTCTTTCATTATTTAACCTTCGATAATAGAAAAATACCGTATAAAATAAAATGTCAGATTTACAAGATAAATTTTCTTTAATTTTATAAAGAAAAATTATTCACTGCATTAAAAAAGAAATATCGAAAATTATTATTTTTCCCTTTTACACTCATTCTTATCTCTCATTGATTTGGATTAAAATAAAAAATGAAAGTAATTTTTACATTAAAATAAATATTTAAATGATTAAAAAATAATTTTTTCCACGTTAAGTACTTTTAGTAATTAAAAAACAGATTATTAATTTTTATTGTAAGGAACTATTATCAGAATTTGAGAAAGTAAATCAATTTTGTAAGCCTCTGTCACATATCTGAGAAAGGATTCCCTCGTCGATTGTAGGTATTTTAAAATTTTTAAATTAAACTTTCTATACAGTGAGTAATTTGTTTGGAGTCTAATACACACGTTTCCATGGTAACGTGTGCATAAGACAAGGATAGGAATGTTGACTTATCCAACTGCTGCACATGCGCAAAAATAGAGTGATCTGATTGGTCCAAAAATGGCGGGCTTATTTGAATTTACTTATTTTTAAAAACTGTTTAAATAATTATTTATATTCTAAATATAAATAATCTTTTCATTATATTAATTTAAGAATATAATTTCATTAATTGAGATTGTAAATAAATCATTTTAAATAAGCAATAATTTTGAGCAATCGAATTACGCTTGTGTTGCACAGTGGAACATTCGCATTCTAACTACTCGTGTATGTGAAAAACGTTTAATTTCTCAATACACTTTTTATTCCTCTGCTCGTCGCGGAGGTAATCAGTTTATATTATTACTAATGGAAATGGGTTATTGAACGATTTCTTCATGTATTTCTCAATACGGCATTAATTTATACAAATGTAAAGGGAATCCCTCAATGGTATGCTGCTGCACTTTTGTGTTATTGTTTTTGATGATGTGTGACGGAAGTGTTAATTCATCGCATATAGAATATTCAAATTATTTTTGTTAAATTTAATCGAGCCTTAACCAAACAAAATTTGATTTTACTGTCTTGTCGAATCGCGTAAAAATGTTGAGTTAAAAAAGTGTACATTTACTTGCGTATGAATGTTGTAATAAAAGTAATGCAAATATATATATATATATATATATCAATATACTCGTTACATTTAATGGTTTACTTACTGACTTTCAATCCTTTCTCGTAAATTAAAGCAGGAAACTTGAAATGATATTTCGCGGTAGTAAAAAAATCAATTCTTATATAAAAATAAAAAAATACATTATTTTCAAAAATATGGTGTTTAATATATTAAAATTATAATTTAGAATTGAGTTTTGATAATTTGAAATATAATTTTTAAAATTAGAAATTATATACAATTGAGCTCCCGCGTCCAATAACTCGATCTGCGCTTGAACTGAGAAATTCAAGCCAGTCAAGCCGTCAGAAAATGGAAAAAAATAAAAGTCAGAATTTTTAATTTTAAAACATACTAACGTATAGAGCATAAAAATGCCCAACTTTTTTGTCTTTGAAATTTTTTTGTAGGACTTTTATTTTTAATAATAATGGACAAAAACTGAATTTTTTTTATTCTTCAATTTCATTGAATTTCAAAACATAAATCGACTTTTCTCAAACAAATCTTAATGAAATTAATTAAAAATTGATATACTTACTTATCAGGGTCTACCGAAGACGATGAAATGATTGAAACATTAAAAAATGTTTATTGCAAAATTATTTGTTAATATAAATACAGACCTGTCGGTAAATACGTTTTCTCAACTTTGACGAGAAAAAGTGTGCGGTGAACTTTCGAGTTGACACAACTTCCAGTGAGACATTTGTTTATTAACATGTGAAGAAGTTTTTTGGAAATTTTTATTTAAATCGGATGAAAAATAAAGAAGATACATAATGTTTAAAAAAATATGCGTCGTGCGGCGTTTTGACATTTTGACGCAAGAGGAGAAAACTATTGGAAACTATTGCTATTTTCTGTTGATTTATTTAAAAATAAGTTTATTCATGTATTATATTTAAAATAAAAACAATTCTATACATTTATAATATGATAGGCAGTAAAAGATTTATTTAGATTTACAACGACAGGAAGAAAAATAGGAATAAGTTAAACAAATGCGCGATGCATAAAATTACCACCAGAGGGCAGCACCTAATGGGCATATCTAATTCTCATATTTTACTTCCTAACGTCGTGTATTATATTGGATTTCCAATTCCTTGTGCACAAATGAAGGAACAAAATTTCAGTATAACTAGTATTTTTCCCTATTTTGCAATAATTGTCCAAATTGGGAGAAAAATCCTTTTGAAATTTCGTTTACGTTCAAGCAGCCATTTTTAAAAGGCGACCACTGTTTGAAATTGCGCAACACCGTTAATGTAAACAAAGCAGATCCTTGTATTTTTTTGAAGAAAATACAGTTTACTTTATTACTGCTGTTAAGTTTTTCAATAAATCACGTGTTTTAAAATTAAAAATTAATAGTAAAGTAATAATAAAAAATTTAATAATATTAAAATATAAAGTATAGAAATTGTACAATTGTATAGTATAGTTAGTTATAGTATAAATTAATAACAATTCTAAAGTATAGAATTGTTTTTATTTTAAATATAATACATGAATAAACTTATTTTTAAATAAATCAACAGAAAATAGCAATAGTTTCCAATAGTTTTCTCCTCTTGCGTCAAAATGTCAAAACGCCGCACGACGCATATTTTTTTTAAACACTATGTATCTTCTTTATTTTTCATCCGATTTAAATAAAAATTTCCAAAAAACTTCTTCACATGTTAATAAACAAATGTCTCACTGGAAGTTGTGTCAACTCGAAAGTTCACCGCACACTTTTTCTCGTCAAAGTTGAGAAAACGTATTTATTGACAGGTCTGTATTTATATTAACAAATAATTTTGCAATAAACATTTTTTAATGTTTCAATCATTTCATCGTCTTCGGTAGACCCTGATACGTAAGTATATCAATTTTTAATTAATTTCATGCAGATTTGTTTGAGAAAAGTCGATTTATGTTTTGAAATTCATTGAAATTGAAGAATAAAAAAAATTCAGTTTTTTCCATTATTATTAAAAATAAAAGTCCTACAAAAAAATTTCAAAGACAAAAAAGTTGGGCATTTTTATGCTCTATACGGTAGTATGTTTTAAAATTAAAAATTCCGACTTTTATTTTTTTCCATTTTCTGACGGCTTGACTGGCTTGAATTTTTCAGTTCAAGCGCAGATCGAGTTATTGGACGCGGGAGCTCAATTACATAAAAATGTAATTGCGAATATAGGTTTTATAAGTGGGTTATCTACTATGGTACCGGTATATGCTTTCGTAAGTCAAGGTTGAATACAATAATACAAATAAACGATAACGCTAATTTCACCTCATGCTCCAAAATCATTCGAATTATTATTATTAAAGTAAAATATAAATATAAAATGAATAAATATTAATTTAACTATTAGCAATAATTATTTTAAAAAAAAACTTGACCATCTTATAGGTATTTTCAAAAATTGTTTTCTAATAAATTTTTGAAAAATGCCTGTTTTCACGTTACAATTTGTGTTTTCTTTTTAAAAATGTCATCTGAAAATAGGCTCTAGGTGCTGAATATATATATTTATTATTTGTCTAAGTTTTTGAGAAATACAAGACTTAATTTTTAAAAAGCCTTCTTTTATTCGAGTTATTACCAAACTGACACCTAGAAAATTACTTACAGTTTTATGTTCATTATATCAAGTTAATATTGCCGTAGGATTTGACAGAAAGCATATTTAAGTTTCTGATTATTACTGCTTGAAACTACCGTAATTTTCCAGGAATTACTGCTGGAATTTTTTTAGAATCCACCGGAAGCCACTCCCGAAGAGACAACTCAAATATACTCAGCAATCGTTTCACGTTGGTATAGAATTAGAAAAAGGGCCAAGCCTATATTATATATTAAACAGCGAAGAAATATTCTCTTCATAAGGGTTTATTCTAGACAATAAAATAAATAAGAAAATATTTTTGATTCGTAATCATCGACCCTAAACACCTCCGAGAAAGGATTTTAAAAAAAATTTAATTACTTAGCCATGTTTTCAGCATTTGGAACCATTTGTGATTTGGTAAATATAATGGAAAATATTTTATTTCTTTATTATTTTTACTATTATTAAGATTATTTAAAAGTTTTGAAAGCTTATTTTCATCATTTTACTCATTTTGAACCTACTTTTAGAATTTTACTTATTTTTAGATAATTAAATTTTATTTTAACAATAAGGTAAGTTAACATGTGCCATAATGGGAAGTTAAAACTAATAAGTTGTCTATCCAGTGATTTAGTTTATTAAATTTACAAAAAAAATTATTTTTATCTAGCGGCAGGATATTTTACGCACCAAAATAGCCAAAATATTGGTTGGTGTACAGTTTTTCTAAAACTTTTTTTTCTAATAATGGTGAATTTCTAAAAAAAATTTTTCCAATGAAGGTGATTTTCTACTTTACTTTCTTCTAATAAAGATCATTTTCTAAAAATTTCTTTTTCTAATAAAGGCAATTTTCAAATTTCTTTTTCTTCTAACAATGTTTAATTTATGTAATGTCGATCAATAGGCATATGATTAAAAAAAAAGAGATTTATGAAAATTTTTTAATTCTTTAAAAAAATATTTGAGATTTCGTAACTTAAATATTAACTTGTAAATTATTTATACGCTATTTCTATCAGGACGTAACAAGATTCTGAGAACCAATACAAATCAGAGCAAAATTAATGACGAAATAAATCGATTCAAAGAAAGACTAACATGTTCTGTCATATAAACTATAAATTGAACATTGCGAATTTAGAGAAGAATCAAGGAAATAATTTAAACTGAAAAAACATTGTTAAATTTAGTTATAAAGAAGTTATATTAGTTATTAATCAAGAATCAATTGAAACCGAATTATTGAATTATTTGACATGGTGCAATCAAGCATCTCATCTATACAGAAACACCTTTCCCGCTCACTTGGCGGGGAAGGAGATGCGAAACTTCTTTTGATTTCACTCTCCTTTAGTCTTCGGAAAGAACTCAGAACGTTAGAAGGCTTTGAGAATTCGAAAGGTGCATATAGGCAAGGCCCTCGCAATGAGGGGACAGAGAACACGTTATCGAAATGTGTATGTTTTGACAGTTCATTGAAATGTTATTTAATGCGTTAAAAAATGAGGATGTAATTGACAACTTAATTTTTTTCAATTTGTCATATTTTCTCGTTTATATTTTAATGAATGTGGTTTTTTTTTTGACTGATTGTGGATTGATTAATTTTGTGCAAATAGTATTTTTTTTATCGTGCAGTGCTTAAAAAAGTGAAAGTTGGTAAACAAGATCAGATTATAAGTAGTTGCATTGTACAAGAAATGCTATACCAATTAGTTTTTTTGGTGGAAAATAAAAAATTATGAAAAATGCGAAATACATCTTCGATCTATTGGAATTCGTCGATAGACTCACAACGGTCATCGGGTGACAGTTCCGGTGAGGCCAACTACGGAAATGGACGGAGCTATGTAGATCCTTGGGATTTGGAGAATTATGCCTATCTTAGGCGACATAATGTACCGCAGCCTATTTATCAATCACCATCGCGATTTGGACAGAGTCGCTCATCATATTACTCACGTGTCGAGCCTGATTATTGGTAAATAAATAAATTATATTTTATAAGTAATTTTCAGTTAAAACCTTTTGGCCTCTTTTATTTTACCTAAGTTTAATTATTGTGTCATTCATAATTATTAACCCCTTCACTGTTTACGACCCATACGTTGGGTCGTTAGCATCTTATCTAAAAATAAATATAATTTGTATATAGATCGAAAGATTTTTGTCTGTTTATTAATATTTTAAGACTAAGCTTCACTGATGCTATTTTTTGTAATAATTAAGTAATTAGTTAGTATTTAAATATGTTATTTGATTTTTAAAGAGCATGAAATTTTGTTGAACAGATTTTGCTGGCCATTTTTGAACAAACATGAAAATTTCTCTCAAACAGTGAAGAGTTTAATTATGCATAGTAAAACTTAATTAAATTCATTTAAAACTAGTATTAAGGGGTTGGGCCACCGTGAACTTTTATATAAATCAATCCTTCTTTTTCATATTACAAAAGTAGGTCTCAAAAATATGAAACTTGGCAGTCTATTATAGATATTAATGTAACTTAAAATCTTAGCCATATTTGGTTAAGAAATATTAAACTAAACGAAAATTATGATTATTTTTCAAAAAAATTTAAAAAATTGCAAATTTTTTATTTTTTGGCAGAATGATGCGACATTAACCGTTTTAGATAAATACAACCCATTTTTACTAACATGTATTTAAAAACCACAAATTTGAATGTCTAAGTCAAAATCAAATTTTTGATTTTTAGAAATTAAAAAAAATTGTTTTCCAGTTAAATATTGTTTAATTCTTTACTTTAAGGTATGTTTGTCAGTAATAGGAAGCTGGTTTTCTCATAAGTTTCAAAAGAAATTTATAAAAAAAGAGGCAAAAAAAAGATCTTAAAATTTTTAATATGTTATAAAATTTAGACCTGATAAAATTTGAATGTATATTAAAATATAAATTGATTAAATTATAATTTATATATAAATTGAAAATTATATAATATTATAGATAGATTAATAAATAATCTAATTATGCCTAAATTTAAGGTATTAATAGATTTAGTAAATAATTATATAAATAAATTAAACATATAAATAAAATTTTTCTCTGAAAAGACACTTTATAAATAAATTTAAATAACTTTTTAAAATATTTTCAAAAATTTTAGTTTAAAACCTTCCGAAGCTAAATTATTTCTGAAAATTGCAACAGTTTTTAATTAAAATCTTTTCTATTAGACAATAATTATAATTTATTTAAATATTTAGTAAATAATTTATTTAAAGTTATTCTAGAATTTAATTATTTAAGATGAATTTAATAATTTTGGTACAGAAATAAAAAAAGGTCAAGGTGTTATTTAAAATTCACTGTCATTTAAAAGTTTTTATGATGAAAAAAATTCAAGGAGATTTCCTTAACTATTCCTTGACTTTGTGACAACCCTGTTTTTTATTTTGTTGAGAAATATTATTTTTAAATTTTATTTATATAAAATTAAAAATTTATGAATTATCTTTAAGGTATTCTTCCTGTAAAAGAGAACCTGGTTACGATACTCCAGCTTCTGTGGAAGAAATATACTTTGGAACATCAAGCAGACCCAGTAATGGCTATCAACCCATCTATGAAGATGAAGTTTCATATGCCGCACCAATTTCCATCTATTCTCCATTCTCTGGTATGTCACTTAATATTATCATTTTTATTTACCGTTAAAATACTTTTTTGTCCCATTGCAACTTTATTTTGTAATAGTTAAAATAACTTTTAATTAAAATTCCTTTCTTTCTAAACTATTTTCCACTTTTTATATAGGTATAAAAACTGGGAAATAGTTTCAATTATCTTAACCTACGAAATTATTTAATGTTTTTAAATTTATAAAATATTTTCACATAGAGTTGTTTCACAAGCTGCTGGGGGACATTAAAGATGGCACAAAAAATGTGATTAGTTTTTATATTTCTGATACAATTATTATTTCAAAATTTATAAAACTTATAAAAATTGCATTTCTCAATGGTAAAGTACTTAATTAATGTCCTTTTAAGCTATTAAACACATTAAATTTTTTACATTTATTTCAAAAAGGAATTAAGTGTGATGTCAATTTCCTCTAAGCCACTTTCATTCGAAGAAATTAGTTTGACATATTTTCATGTTACATAGCAGTTAGTGATTAAAGACACAAATTTTGAGCACTTAACTTAAATTGTTCGAAAAAAATTATTCAAAGTTACTTGTAAAGATAAATTCAGTTAGATTGAAATTAATATTTCCTGTAAATTCTTTTGAAACAATTGAAAAAATATTTAAATGAATATGATTCCTATATTTAAACCAATATTTTGCGTATGTAAAATCTTTGAATTCAGTAGCTTAATCAAATGATTTTCTGTTAAGAATTTGAAAGTTCTTCCAAATCGAAAGTATATTTAAGCAAACCTATCTCTAAAATTATGTGAGGCGGTGACATTTGACTTTGATGTTTTATATGTGCTCGTTAAATCGTACCCCAACTTTTCTTTTCGATTGACCAACATTCGAAGCAGCAAAATTTTATTTTTAATTTATTCCACAAATCGCATTTGCAAATTTTATCTTTTTGATGACATTCTTAACAAAATTATAATTTTTTGTTGTCAAATTATAATTCTGTTTTAAGACTTTTATCAAATAAGAATATGATACACTAAATATCGACAAATAAGGAGTTGTTTAAAATTAGTATTTTACCAAATATAAATTTAATTATATAAAAGTTCTGCTAATTTTAAATTGTATTAAATAATAGTATTGAATAATAATATTCGTACATTAAATTTCGTAAGACTTGCCATTATCATAAAAGATAAGGTTACTTTGTTTAATGTAATTTTGGCATAAACATACTCTCTTTGATCGAGAATAAATTAAAGAAGTGAATTTTTTATTAATATTATCATTTAAAGTGCAACCGTTCCGGTGAATACGCACACAAGAAGGTGTGGACTAAATAAACAATAAAAATTTTCGCTCACTGCTTGTCTACTTTTCTTTCTCGGATAATTATTACTATTCACTTTTCTAATTATTAAAACGTTTGTCAGGGAATTGAAGTGAAATCTCAAATTTAAAATGTCCTGCTCTGTTTCTAAATATCATCATTACTGCACATTGCGAACACATTCAGAATAATTAAATGAAAGCGAAAATTACACAGCGACACAAAACAAAATTCAATTATTTTCAAAAATTTATCGAAAAATTTAATTATTTTCAGTGTCTATTTTCATAAAATTTTCCAAAAGAATTCAATTATTTAAAAGAATTTTATAATTAAATTCTTGACAAACATTCAATTATTTTAATAAAATTTCCCAAAAGAAGTCAATTATTTGAAACAATTTTAGTTAAACTTTTGGTAAACATTCAATTATTTTTATAACATTTCCCAATAGAATTCAATTATTTAAAAGAATTTTAATTAAATTTTTGGTAAACATTCAATTATTTTCATAAATAATAATAATATATTTTTACAGGCATTCAATTATTTAAAATACAATTTTCATTAACTGTTTTCGAAAAAAAACAATTATTTAAAAGAATTTTTGTAAAATTCTTCACGGGAATTGAATTATTTTTAATGCAATTTTCATAAAATTTCTTGAAAGAATTTAATTAATTAAAAAAAATTTTAATGCAATTCTTCGCAGAAATTCAATTATTTAATTATTTTGAATAAAATTTTTATTAAATTCGTCGAAAAAAATGTGTAAGAATTCAATTATTCTCATAAATAATAAAATTCTTTGCAGGAATTAAATTATTTTCAAAAGTAATTACATTCTCATATAGGAATTGAATTATTTAAAATTCAATTTTCATAAAATTATTGCGAAAAATCAGTTTTTTTACGATTTTGAAAATTATTCAAAACTTAAAAATTTTCGTTTATTTTCTATAAAAAATTTCAAAAGCGTAAAATTCATCAATTTTTTACAGAAAATTAGATTAAATTTTATGCAAAAATTCAGTCTTTGAACGATTTTGAAAATTTTTCAATAATTAAAATTTGTCGATTTTTTTTCTACAGAAAATTTAAAAATCTTGAAATTCGACTAAATTCATGAAATTTTCCATTTTCCAACTAAATTATACGCAAAAAATCAGTTTTTAAACGATTTTGAAAATTTTTCAAAATATAAAAATCGTCTTTTTTGGTTTTTTTTCTATAGAAAATTTCAAAATCGTGAAATTCGTCGATTTTTTCAATTTTTTTTTCTACACAGTATGTATTAAAAATATTGTAACTCCTATGAAAAAATAAATAAGTATTTAAATATTTATTGAACAAAAGTTATTGGAGTTTTGTATATATAATTTAATTTGTACTTTATGAAAAAAATTTTAAAAAATTTAGTAAACTATAAAATGTAAATTTCCCATGTAATTTCAAAGTATTTAGATAAATTTGATTTTATAAAAAATTATTGAATCCGTCATTTTGAATTTTTAAAAACTGTTGTCAGATTCGTAATCAGGCAAAAAATTTCAAGCCAATCCGGTTAATTTTTTATTTTGCAGTCCGACATATTGGATCCGTTATTTACAATTTTGAAAAGCTGATGTCAAATTCGTAATTAGCGACCCCAAAAATCTCCGAGTAGCCAATTTCAGGATTTTTTTAACTTCTTAAATTTGTAATATTCTATATAATTGAAAAAGACCCAAGGTAACAAAACAAACTGCGTGAATGATACAGAAAGAATTTATTCTAATCAATTCTCAACCTGAATGTCTACAAAAAGCAGTGACAAAAAGCTTTAAAACCAATTGTTCAGAGTTTAGAGCCTTGAAAAGTCTTAAAATCCAGGGTATGTCATCCTCGACACAAAGGAAGAAGTTTCTTATGTCTACATTTATATACGCGTGAGTTGCATGGCACAGAGAATAACAAGTTAATTCGTGGGAGTGTTTCGAATCCCTACGAAGGTGATTGTTTGGTCTCTTTCTCTCTCTCTCTCTCTTGGTGTTTGCCATTGTTTTCAGAGTGTGAGTTTCCGAGTAAAGAATACAAGATAAAATTAGATATGTATACAAAAATGTTAGATTCCTAAAAACAGACGCAAGTACAGAGAAAGAAACGTGTGTGATGTTATTTTCCGTTTCTTTTGATAAAAATCTTGTCCCAACCTATCTCTGGTTGAAAGTATATTCAAATAAACTTTTAAGTACCGAGAGTCTTTTGTTTTTGTGCAACTGGTGCAAGATCATCTAATCTACACTGTCATAAAGATGTCACACGTCAGCTTTTGTTAGCTTGAAATTTCCGACAATTTCAAACAGTCACTGACACAAATAAAAAAAAATTTGCTGCAAAAAGTTAAAGCTGAAATCTTTGTGTTCATTTTGTTAAAAATGAATTTTATATTTTACATGTGAAAAAAAAATCTGAAACCGACTGGCGCCTAAAATCATCTTTCGTAGGTAATCTTTTATTATTTTAGAAAAATATTAAGGTTTCACCGTATTAATAATATACTTTCTAGTACTTTATAAGCTTTATAATATTCATTTCTTCGCTTTGAAATAATTTTTTTCAGACCAACAAAAGTATATTCCACGAATATCCGCAGGATATACTGACATAAGAGTAGAATTACGATTTCTATTAAAATTTATTATTTTGCAATAAAACTTTTTTGTCAGGAAAATTTTCCCAATTTTGTTTTATATTTCTTTAAATTTCTAACTATATAGTTAGAAATTTCGGAAGTACATCCGAAGTTATATATTATTATAATTATCCATTTTTTAAATATTATAAAAATACACATTTTAGTTTCATAATAAAACTATATACTATAATGTCATTAACATTTAAAATTTCAAAAGGATTCGTAACATTATTATCATTCATCTGAACTCTGTTTACAACATGCTTTCTGAACAAGCAAAAAAGAAGGGAGCGCGTATAGCGTATATTGGTTTGTTCCAGTAATACTAATTTAATGTCAGATTGTTTTAACTCTCCAAGGCACAGTTACATTTATAGAGAATTACATTTCACTTACGTTTAATAATACGAAGAGATATACAAGTCTACTTATTAGGACAGAGAAATTGTAAGAGAAATCTCACTTGCGTATTTATTATATCGTGTATTCATATAAATATATGCGTAATTTTATTAAATAACTGATAATGATACGTGTAATTACATTTGATATAACTATATAGAACTAGGGCGTATAATAAATTGTTATTAATTTATTCTAAAATTAATTTAACATAAATGCAGGCCTCGGATTGACTTTTAGACACAAAAAAAGTCGCTGCAGTCGATTAAAAATACAAAAAAATCGAAATAGTCGTTTATTTAATTCAGTGTTGTCACAAAAATTTTATTTTGTATGTCCCTGACCTTTCACTGATTTCTAAATTTAGTTATTTTAAACTGTAATAATGTTGTTAAATTAATATTTAAATACTTATTTGTATTTTCCCTGAAAATAAAATTTTTAAAATTTCAATTTATTAAGATCTTTTGAAATTTAATAATTTCTAATAATTACAACTGTTAATAACTCTTCCAAACTTAAATTATTTTCTACAATTTTTAACTAAACTTCATCCCTAAATTAATTATTTTTAATAATTTTCTGAAAGTTCTTCGAGAATTCAATTATTTAA